CAATGACACAAGCTCAAATATCACTTTATATCAGTGGTATAATAAGTATGTTTTCTTTAGTGTATGATCACCTGAAAATAAGAACTGTAGTGTTTTTGATATGTTAATATGAGCAATTTATATCTACATAGGGAGTGGGTCCTTGTCTCCAGAGATCGCTATGTTGCACCAGTATGTTCCTACAGTAGCCTGGCATGGACAAACCAAACACTGGCTTTAGGCGGCCATTCACATTTTTGCATTGACATACGTTGTTAGCAGCTCCTCCACAACAAGCAGCATCAGAATAACACAGATTTTTAACATGAAACTGCTTGATTCAATGTTTTTTAACCGGCTTAAATTACTAGATCCGTTTGTTCTGGAGAGAAAGAGACCTCTGCAGATGATGCTGTCCCCAGTAAAAAAACCTCCTCAACAGTGAATGCTAAAGGAATTCTATCCAGGAGTTTTCAGCTGGTTGCAATCGGCAATTATCACCACTTCATGCCACTAAATCCCCCTAAATCTTGCACATTTGACCTTTAAGTCACAACCCGGTTAGTGATGTGTGGCTGTTAACCTTCCTTTCCAGGACTAAGTGTGGATATTTAATTTATTAGAGTTAATAATTCTGGCATGATCCATTCAGTGTTTGAAATTAAGCGTCAGCCACCAGCCAAATATGAAAGTGGCTGCTGGATTTGCTAAACTAGCCAGCCAAAAAAAGCAAAGGTAACAGAGTTCCTGCTAGATTTTGGATTATATGCACCTGCCACAGTGGCATGTGGACGAAAAAGTTAATTTCCCACCTTGAATCTATTCAAGATGTCAGGCTGCACTGAAGCTAACGTTGAGTTTAAGAAACAAGTTCCTCCATTCAGACAATGTTATTTGGTTCTTTCAATGCTATCGTGACCCTCATTACTGTCAGGCCTTGCTATGACTTTGGCCACCTATTAAACACTGGTCAACAGAAGAGGTAAAATAACACAATTTCACTTGTCTACACTAAGTGTTGGCGGAATAAGAGACATTGTTTTTTCACTGACGAGTTCAATAACTTATCTGCACTGACAATAACGTAATGCAGTTGGCTAATGTTAGTGCTAACGTCCCAACCTCAACTTGAGTTCCGTTAGCACTGAATGTGTAGAAGTCGGTTGACCAAAGGAAGAGAATATTTGAAAGCAGATATACAGTTAATATAGTTGTTGGGTTACTTAAACTTGTCTATCAAACTACTCCAATTAATGAATGGCTGCTAGTTAGCGTGCTAGCATAGTCTCTACTGTAGAACTAACTTAGATAGACTCTAATTAGCAAGATGCTAGCTAGCTAGCCGAGTACACCTGCAACAGTAGCACACACAACCACAGTAAGTGCAGATGATAGCTTCATGTTAAATTGCTGACGTGAGGAAGGAAACTGTTTTTCTGTTGTGAGTGAAGTGACTTCACTAAATACGTGCAAACTCTTGTCTTACCTTTCAGTTTGTCACGCTGCTGTGAGAAGGTCAGGACAGCCGCTGCAGCTAACGTCAAAGTCGTGGAGGAAGTCTTCTTCTACGCTCAACGGTGTAGTATTACATACATGTTTTGGTTTGTAGCGCCACCAAATGGAGGTACATATTAATGTATTTGACAGCCTACCGGCTATCTCTTGGCTCCACCTTGAGGACCTAACCATAAATGCTAAACACAGTGATCGTCTCTCACTTGACTCATTATGATTTTAAATGAAATCTGAAATCTAAAGTTATAGGTGAACACCACCTAAGTTAGGAATTCCAGTATGTTATTTCCATGGCCAAGGAAAGTTCAATCAATGTTTGTGAACATGAGCTGCTCTCTCTCAAAGCCAGAAACCAGAGAAGGAAGTCATACACTTGTAATATCATAAAGTATAAAATCTGGAGCTGATCTTTAGACAATTAATGGGAGCCACATGAGCTTCATTCTATTGTACTGTTCTCCGTTGTGAAACAGAAAATGTACCCATATACTCAGAATATAGAGTGCTCAAAGGATGGCGACACATAGTTAGCGTCACCCTGTTTCCCCTGTCAAAAAGATAATGGGATTTTTCCATTGGATTTTGGATTATTGCAGAACGTAAGCTCTGTGGCAAACAAGTGTTAATGATAGTTGCAATTTTAGGCTATAAACATACTGCACCACAGTCACATGATTTAAACATCCTATCATATTGAGGCTGTAAAGTTGTGTTTAGCGTGATGACATTCTGTAGTGTCATTCAGCCACTTATTAGCAACCACATTTGTAAGACACATAGAAGTGTCAGAATTCATGAGTGGTATTTACTGACATGTTTTATGTTGTGGAACAAAATGTGAAAAACTCTGAAGCTTGTGTTAACCACAGACCCTTTTTCAGGCATGTAACCCAAATCCTTTTGGGAGGGAACAGCAGATGAAGGAACCAGGAGCGGTAAAATGGGGCACTTCATTGCCCTGGGTGCTCTCAGTGTCATCTAGAACACCTTTACCTATTCACTGTCAATGGAGCAGCTCTAGACTTTTTACCCTATGACATTACAAATTTGAGTTTTTGCACTTAATTTTTTGGATTTGGGAGAGAGTTGTTCATGTTTTCTAATATTTTTGTAGCGCTTTAGACTATAGGAATAACATGTATGCATTTTGAAAATGGGCGTAGTGGCCCTTTAATGAAGTTATATTCAATAGAGTAAAAAGGTAGTGTGGCTATAATGCTATAAACTAATAACTGATTGTCATAGTCTCAGAATTAAGTTAGATTTTTTTTGTCATATAACCTATGTAACTCATGGAAATCATGGATATGAAGCTCATTTTGGTAATTCTCAAGATACCTTTTATTGGTGATCACTGAACAAAGCCAACAGTATGTGTTGGAAAAAATAATGGTACCCATAAATACAGTGCAATTAAGTCTGTGTCAGATTGGATGGATTAGTCAGAAGAAAGGTTTTGGACATTATGTGTGGGGTCAGAGGTCAACAAATGGTCAATAAGAATTGCTTGGTTTTATCTTGTTTTGCACATTGGCTCAGTGTCTTTAGGTTAACAATATTTGACCAATGAAAAATATTATAACTACTCTGGTGGCACATGTGAGCCTTTATAAGTCAAAATAGCAGGATGCAAAATTGATCTGTCAGGGGGACTAAGAGTTTGACAACTGTCACATACTTTTTCATGCAATTCAGCCTGATACCAGTTTCCGTTAAAGCTCCAGTGTGTAGGAATTAGGGTGATATATTGGCATAAATGCAATATAATAAATATGCTTTCTTTAGTGTATAATCACCTGAAAATTAGAACTGTTGGGTTTTTGTTAACTTAGAATGAGCTGGTCCTCGTCTATGGGTCCCCTTTTATGGAGATTGCCAAGTTACACCGTCATGTTTGTCACCAAAGACTCTTATCAGTTGCGTGCCTCATGTCTCTGCATTCTCTGCATTTTGCATTTTATCTTTACTTTTCTGTTATTTAAATTTGTAGTTCTCTCCAGACTCAATTTTTTTCTGTATAGCTTACTTAGATCTAGATTTATGTGTACATCGTTGCAATACGGGTCTCAGAGTAACGAGATTTCAATTGTCCGTATGTCCAATGCATATGTGATACTGACAGATAAAGTTGACTTTGATCTTTCTACAGTAGCCCAGAGCAGACGAACAAACCAAAGACTGGCTCTTGATAGGGCTATTTGAGTTTTCAGGTTGGCCACCATAGTAGCTCCCCCTGCGGTCGTCTTTTATAAACATGAAACTGCTTCATTCAGTGTTTTTAGTGGTTTAAATTAGCGGGGTCGTTTTGTTGTGGAGAAGACCTGTACGAATTATTCGGCTCATGTTAAGGTGAGCCGAAGGTTCACCTTAGGATCAGGAATAAGGTTAGTATACATTAAGTTACCACAAAAAAAAGGTGTGCACGCATAGCAGGCGCTTGGCAAGTAGCCAAACTGCGACATGCCAAACAGCATAGAAGAAACACTGATGTGTAACATTTGTAACAGCTTCAATCTGTGTTTTTACTGATTTTAGTCTCATGGTCTGTTTGTTGTGGAGAGGACAAGACCTCTGCGGAGAATTCGGCTTTCAACAAAAAGCTCCTGAGCATTGAGAAGTTTTAGCTGCTTGCAATCTGCAATCCCCACCGCTAGACAGCACAAACTCTCCTTAAATCTTATGCACTGTTCCTTTTCCCTTAAGTGGTGCTTTGCTTTTAAAATCTACGTTCTCTGAACACAGTTGTCATGCACTACAATAACCTTTTAACATGAAAAACCCCCCTGCCTCACTTTCAGTTTCAAACACATTGTTATCATGGTGTGGGTATTTTTTTACTTGTTGTGTTACACAGTTTTAGACTTCCCAGAGAATCAGTTCAACTTTAACTGTTCTGCTTTTTTGGCGCCTGTGGCACAGCCAGAGCAGAGGTGGGAATGTGAGGTGAGAGCGCAGCTGCTACATGGCACACAGACTGTCCACCAGCTCTGTCTGCTCACCATAGTGAAACAACAAATACAACACTGGCACTGCTGTCAAGGGTAAAAATGGCATAGGGTAACATGCTCCACTGGTGCTGCACCCTGTTTCTGTTCAGGTGGATGGAAAATCCTTGAAATTGCCCTGTAACTCAATGTGAAACTGATGAGAGAGAAAGTGAAAGCAGAATCATTTTTTGGATTTGATACCATCTATTGCAGAGTCAGGAGTCAGCATGACCCCTAAAAGGAACCCAAAAGTTTCACATTAATGCATCAAACCAAAGGTCTTTCTCTGTAAATGGAATTTATATGTTCCTGTTTCCTGAAATGTCAGCAACAAAGATCAAACTAATCAACTCTGGGATTTGAGCATTTGATAACTTTTTAGCCAAAGGATACTAAGTTTGACTGAGAGCCTGCAGGAGTGGTTTGGCCTGTTGTGAGCGAGGGTGGGACTTTCCACCCTTGTTTGTCCTCATACTCCAATCGGCAAGAGGCACCTTGTTTCATTTATGAGCACCTAAAGCCAAGTCCTATTTGAGGGGACTCAACACAGTGAATCACCGCAGACTTGTGCCAATATGAAAGGACACAGCTGAGGACATTTTTTGGGACATGGTACACACTCTGAATGCAGCATGCTGTAGCTGTCTTCAGTGACAACAGTCCTGCTGCAGGTATGTTGAAGATTTGTGACCAGGCCATCTGTTTTTGAATATCTGTGTTACGGCAGTGTGGTACTGTGTCTTTCCATACAGTACAGGATGGCTATTCTTCCTCTTTGAGCTCTTAGTTTGAGGATTTGCGTGTGTGTACTTGTATCTGTGTGTGGTAACGTAAGGGTGTGTATGGGTGCATTCTTAACGTGACTACTCAGCCAGTGGAGGCGGCTAACTTGAATGTTGCGGAAGGAGCTTTGACTGTCGTTTTTCATTGTTTGACAGAGCAGTTTCTCACTTTTTGGCACTGTTTATTTCTCTTGAGTGAATGATTTACTAATCCATGTCTCCTGGACCTTTCTGAGGTTGACTACGTGCTGTGTGGCTGGAGGCTACATGGCTTCAGGTGGAGCAGAGGAGGATGATGGAGGGATTCCATTGGACATTGACAACGTGCACATGCTCCTCCAAGGTCAGGCTATTTCTGTACTTTTATACATGTTGTGACATGTGATGTGCTGCATGGGGGGCTCACAGTGGTGGCCAAATTATGAAATGTGTTAGGGAGATATTTCAGCATGTGGAAATGGAAGTGGTGAAAGGAGATAACTGTTCTGATTTTTAAAAGGCAGGTAACAACAGGTTAAAATAATTTCAGTGCCTGGAAATGAAACAGTTATATGCTTATGGTTGTTGTCTTGTTAGTGTTTGGTGAGAGTGTTGGTTATAGAGGTGTGTCAGTGTGTCCAGCCTTCTGTAGACACAACATGTATTTGCTCCTCTGATCTTAAGAAAACTAGTTAACAGCTGTATTCCATTCACACACAGAAGAGGGAACTTGTAACATCCCAGTTTACAAAATACAATATGTTAATAACGGGATCTTTTCAGCTTCTTACTTAATTTTCATTATTGAATTTGAGAAGAATCATGGCTTTTGTAATTTATATTTCTTATCTTTACTTGCTTACATAATATCTGTATTTTTGTATTTGTTCAATTTCAATTCTACTCTTTAGTTTTATTCAGTCTGTGTCATGGATGTTATTGGCAACACGGTAGAATGATTGTTCTCCTTAGTTTAGACATCAGTAAATATGTGATCGTGGCAATAGACTAGTCATGGAAAATTACATGGAAAGTCACCATATTCAACCATTGGGCAAATGGTTAGTTACCAAACGTGCTGGTACTCCCAGTTTTGTTATCTCACCTTTGAAAACGATACAAATTTCGTCTTTACTTAACATTTACCTGTTGAATTAAGTGTTGCATCTCTGTAAGTGGTGCATGTATTAAAAGGAAATAAATCCATAAAGCCATATCTCATGTGATTTGGAAATATTCATATGATAGCAAGATGTGCAAAACTTTGTCATCATTTAATGCTGCAAGAACATGTTTTTTTAAATACAGCTGTAGTTTCTTATCAGTTACATACTTGCACTTTTTTTAATTTGAATTTTTTTCACGAAGCAAGTGTACAAACTATAACATTACAAAACTGGTCCATAAAAGCAAAATAAATAAATAAAAAGGCGCACTGCACTTGCATATTAACAGACACAACATGGTGAATTTAAATGATAACTATTATGTACATCGATCCGATTTATGCCCATGCAGTGTCCCTAGTTCAGACATTTGTCTGCATTTTTTTTTTTTTTTTAAGATTATTTTTTCTGGGCTTTTCTTGCCTTTAATGATAGGACAACATAGCATGAGGGGAGAAGAGAGGGGGGACGACATGCAGCAAAGGGCCGCAGGCTGGATCCAACCCGCAGTCGCTGCAGCAAAGACAGCACCTTTTATCCATTCAAGTCCAGATTGTATTTAAATTCCAGCAAGTCCCACTGTTTCTTTAATTTCTGCAGAAAAAGATGAGTCTCTCCATCTGTTTTTATTAGTCACAACCTTAGAGATTTCCACCGACTTTACCATGATTGCTTTCCTCACCAGCATTATAAGCAATTGATTGCACTTTATTTTTTAACTAAGGATTGCACATCAGGGCATATCAGACACATGGCAATGCCTACTGTGTATATATAATGCTACTATCAGTAAATCATGTCTACATTGTGTCATTGTGTTTGTTGAAAACACGTGTAGACATCCATGATTGTGATTAGGCCTGAAAAAACATATTTGACTGATGCCAGGTAACAACAGCCTGAAGCAGGACATTATTGTTATTGTGGTGAAGCCTCTTACTGCTGTTTGCACTGGGCATGCCAGGTGAACTGGGTGGAGTCATGTGATTACACTGCTCAGGAGTTTCCTGCCTTGGCACTCTCTTAAACAAACAGCACATATCTACAAGTGGGAGTTTATAAATCTGACTGTGTGTTTCAGTGCAGGATAAATTATAGCCATATGTTAAATACAGTTGCTAATATTCTGCAAACAATTTTGATTAAAGCAGTAAACAGCAGCAGACACAGAAATAATCCATTTGTTCCCAGTTGTTCCAAAACAACTTGCATCTTTCCTTTAGCTTCCTGTCACTTCCTCAGTACTGTAACCAGGAAAGCTTTTATAATTTAAACATAGTAAAGGTTCATGTCTTGGCAACAGAAGCTTAGGATCTGGTCTAGTGAACCAAGAACCATATATGCCCAAAGTCCCCTCAGTGTGTGTGTGCATATGTCATTCTGATAATTCATCATTGCTGTAAGTGTGACGTATATTTGCTCTGTGTGTGTGTGTGTGTGTGTGTGTGTGTGTGTGTGTGTGTGTGTCAGCCTCAGTATCTATGTTTGTCTGTCTTGGAAGCCAGCCCGTCTTGTAGCCAGATCCCAGCCGGTAGCTAAGTTTAAAGAGGAAGCATGCTACTCTGGGTCATCTTGTGTTAGAGAAGGCAGTTATATGTTGGTTAAAGTAGAGTCTTTGCTCATCATACATGGAATTATTGGCCATTAGTCATCAGCATGGAGGGTCGAAAAGTCCTTCAGTCCTCTGATGTTGGTGAGTAGCAGCTCAGACAAGGGTTCCCACTGCTCTTACTAAAATTCAGGATTATTATGGACTACACAGCAGCATATTCCAAACAGTCAGGTAATGCATTTGAGTGTTTTGTGTATTTGGTCATATGGCATTGTGGTAATCAAGTGTATATTTTAACTTATTTATTGTTTGCAAAACACAACTGCATGCATACGGCTATGATCCCAGTGTAACCCAAAATGGAAGTGATAAATAAAGTCATATTGAGGGCACTGCAACAACCCAGGAACGAAATTTATGTTTAGTTACAACACATATCTGATATCAGCAAAGCCTTTGGCACAGCACATGTGCATGGGCAGATGCATACCCAAAATTTGAAGTACAGAACATTCATTTCAGCTTCATACAGTATTTGTCCCACGTCCGTCAGATCCTTGTATCATCATGTCATCAGACAAAAGTCCGACAAAGCGTGTGCCTGTGTTATTTGGGAGCATCAATAAGTGTGACGGGTGCTGATGCTTCTCAGGTTAACTACATGTTAATGCACAAACTACACATGCTTATGAGACACAAAATTAAACATTTTGGTAACACTTTACTTGAAGGTATCTACATAAGGGTGACATGACACTGTCATAACTATGACATGACACTGTCATGAACATTATGTACATGTCATGAACGTTTATGACTGCTGTCATTAAGTGTCATTCAGTTTTTGTAATGGCAAGTTGACATTGTTTGGGTTGTCTTGATTATGACAACTTGACATAAATCAAAGTGACATTACCAGAAGTTGTCTTTGTCATGACAAGTTGACATTAAATTTGTTTGGGATGTTCTTATAATGACAACTTGACATTAACCAGGATGACATTACCAGAAGATGTATCTGTCAAAACAATAATAATCATTATGTCAACTTGTCATAAACACAAAAAGAGGTGCATTTCTTGTTTATGTCAAGTTGTTATGACAGATACATCTTCTGGTAATGTCATCCTGGTTAATGTCAAGTTGTCATTATAAGGACATCCCAAACAAATTTAATGTCAACTTGTCATGACAAAGACATCTTCTGGTAATGTCACTTTGATTAATGTCAAGTTGTCATTATAAGGACATCCCCAAAAAAAAAAATAATGTCAACTTGTCATGACAAAGACAACTTCTGGTAATGTCACTTTGATTAATGTCAAGTTGTCATTATAAGCACATCCCAAACAAATTTAATGTCAACTTGCCATGACAAAGACATCTTCTGGTAATGTCACTTTGATTAATGTCAAGTTGTCATTATAAGGACATCCCCAAAAAAAATAATGTCAACTTGTCATGACAAAGACAACTTCTGGTAATGTCACTTTGATTAATGTCAAGTTGTCATAATCAAGACAACCCAAACAGTGTCAACTTGTCATTAGAAAACCTGAATGACACTTAATGACAGCAGTCATAAACGTTCATGACATGTACATAATGACCGTGTCATGTCATAGTTATGATAGTGTCATGTCACCCTTATGTAGATACCTTCAAGTAAAGTGTTACCAACATGTCTTTGTGATCAAAAATTATGTCACAAAGTACTTGTTGCTACTGCCAGCAAACACAAGCGTACAAGATCCACAAAGAGTCATCATGTTTCCTTTTAATGTGTTTATTATGTTCACAATCAAATATCATCTGAGAAAGAGGATTTTAGTGTCCAGTACTTCATAACTGTTTTTATGTAAGACATTAGAAACATACAATTCAATCACATCTTTTTGTGTGTGTTTCCTCGACAGTGGAGCATGAGCAGATTCAGAAAAGGACCTTCACCAACTGGATAAATGCTCAACTCGCTAAGGTATGTTGAAATATCATATTTATGAGTGACGCTTATAAGAATAATGGAAATGCAGCCCCAAGGGGCACAAGCCAGTGTTTTCATTGGGCCGGTCCCGAGCCCGGATAAATGCAGAGGGTTGTGTCAGGGAGGGCATCCGACGTAAAAACCCTATGCCAAATCAAACATGCGAATCACGAATATGACTTCCATACGGAGGCAGACCCCTGAAGGGAACAGCCGAAAGAAGAAGAAGCTTATAAGATAGATGAACATTAACTTTTGTTGCATTTGTTGATGTAAAAGTAACACATACTTATCTAATTGTAAAGATCAGATAGCTCCTGGATGTTTTTTTAATGCTTTGCTCTTCCATTTTTCAAAGCAGTATTTCTACTGATTTCTTTTGCTTTTAACTAAATAAAGACCCAGTGCTTTATCAAAGATGCTCCCACACAAAGGTTAGATTCAACTGTCAGATAGGACATATTCATCCATCCATCCATTTTCTAACCGCTTCTTGAGGGTCCTGGGGGGCTGGAACCTATCTCGGCTGACATTGTGCAACTATCACAGGGCTGACACATAGAGACATACAGCCATTCATACTCACATTCACACCTACGGACAATTTAGAGTCACCACTTAACCTGCATATCTTTGGACTGTGGGAGGAAGCCGGAGTACCTGGAGAAAACCCACGCTGACACAGGGAGAACATGGAAACTTTTACAGAAGGGCTCCAACACCTAGGATGGAACCAGGAACCCTCTTGCTGTGAGGCAACAGTGCTAACCACCACACCACCATGCCACCCTAGGACATATTCAATTCAATTTTATTTATAAAGCCCAATATCACAAATCCCAATTTGCCTCAGAGGGCTTTACAGCATATGACATCCCTCTGTCCTTAGGACCCTCACAGTGGATAAGGAAAAACTCCCCCAAAAAGGGTAGAAACCTTAGGAATATCTTTTGGAGATTATCTTTATGGCAGTTAAAGTATATTAGTGAGTGCATTAGAGAGAGGCAGGAGTAATGATGCAGAAAGGGACTGATGAGAAAATGTTACACAATGCTACAGGTGTATATGCATCATCACTTCACCTTTAAGAAACTGTCTATTCTTAAAACCCTTTGGTGTTGTGACCCTTTCCACTACTGACTGTGGTTCCCTCTTGATATTGTATATGCATCACAAAAGAAAGAAACTGTCTTCTGCATGTACTGCATGGCATCGCTTTTCTTAAAGATATACTACCCAGGATTGTCTGTTACTGTTTGTGCACACGCTTGCCAGAGAAAGTGAAAGTAAAAGGCGACTTCTGATTCACCATTGTTTCCCGTTTTGCCTCACTATGTTTGCATTTCGCATCTCTTGGATGTCTGCTGGTTGTAATCTGGCAACTGGTCGCTTTTATTTTTTTCATAGGTTTCAGTAAAAGTTTGATATGTTACATCTGTTGTTGTCAAAACCTACTATTAATTTGAGAGATGTCTCAAGAAAAACCTGATCAAAAATACTGATTTATGTTTTACTGCGACATTAGCTGCTTTTCAATATGCAATATTTGGACAAGAATGAACATTAAGATACAAAAATATATGTTTTGAGAACTCTACCCAAACTGTGTTGAAAAATGACATTACCATGCTGTGGTCAGGCTGTAAATGATCTGAAACAAGCTGTAGACATGCTGACTCATTGTTCAGACAGAGAGGTGCAGCGAAGCAGCTCACCGTGAGTCTTGTTGGAAAGAGACCTTGAGCTGCGTGTGACACTCAGCTGGAGTATAAATAGTGTTTCAGTGAAGCAGAACAGCACGTAATCTGAACTCAGCCACCTCCTCCTAACCTCCTGTCCATATGACTGCGCTCTGAAATCATTGGTTCATAACCTGCCATCTGTTACACCAATCTGAGTCCACTGACAATCCCCAACAGGAGATATTTCCTTTATGTCTAGAGGACAGTGTTCACTGTTGTCACTGTTGGCTTAAAGCTTTGACCCAGACACTTTTGGATTAAGTTTACTATAGTTTCATAGCAGCAAGTTTTGGATAAATCATGTCACTGCAAAATTAATATTTATACACAGAGTTTTTCCCTACAAAGTTGATCACATTTCCCAGAAACCATTTTGCTTCCTGTTGAACTTAAGATTTTCTTCTGTGGTTTGCAAATAAATGATTCAGCACATTTCCCACCAAGTATGACCGAGGATTATTCATCTATTTGATATTTCACAAGGCCCCAACTGAATGTGGTGATGATAAAGAAGACGCCCCTCAGGATAGTTCATGGTTTGAGTAGGTATCTGTTTCAGTTCAGGTGCAGGAGCGTGCTGCTAGCTGTCAGCTGCTAACTGCCCAATAGAGTTTGCTAGGAATGAGTCCTAAAACCAGCAATGGAATTAGTATTTTACCACTTATGATGCCCTCGTCTCAAAGTCACTGGGTTTTTTGAATGAGTTTTTGGTTAGATTCCTGAAATAAGGTCTGTGGTTAACACAAGCTTCAGAGACTTTCATGTTTTGTTGTGGCTAAGTGAGATTACAGAATATCATCACGCCAAACCATGCCAAACATGGCTTTACAGTCTTGTCATGGTTGTGACTCAAAGTCATGTAATCATAGTGTAGTTTGTTAATAGCTGGCGATTGCATTTGGGCTTTAATAACCATGAAAATCGTGTTCATTTGTGAAGACTATCTTCTTTGTTCACCACAGAGCGGCAATAATCCAAAATCCAATGGAAAAATCCCATAAGCTTTTTGTTGAGGGAACCAGCGCAATGTTAACTTAATCAGCCTACAGAAAAACATCATCCCTGGAGCACCTTATAGCCATGAGCCGAGCCTAACTTTTCTTTAGTTGACTGATGTTTATGTGATGTAAACTACGAATAAAACATAGTCCGGATGAAGATTCCCTCAGCCTCTGATTGTGACAGTACTTAGATGCAGTCAGCTTTATTGTAATTAACATACAGTTTTAGGCTACACATGTATGTGGGTTGTTTTTCCTGTACTACTACTGTAGTAGATGAAACAGGTGACATTAACTATGGATAATAGCTTTCATCTTAACTCACCTGCTCCTTTATCTCGTTGCAGCTGGACAGATGAATCACTAAGACTTACATTTTCTGTTTTGTTACAGAGATGTCCTCCCTCGTGTATGGCAGACCTCTTCTCTGACATCAGAGATGGGTCACAGCTGCTTGACCTGCTGGAGGTGATGAGTGGTCAACCTATGGTGAGTTACAACTGCATGCGCCTGTAAGTAAGTTGAGTAGATTTCATATTCCTCCAAGAGATCTATAATCAGTCAATCGTCAAGTTTTTGGGAAGTAAAAACATGCTAACATGAGCATAATTATCACAATAAAGCTGACAGTGTAATTTGCCTCCACAGAAAAGACAAAGGGGCCGAGGGGTTTTCCAGCACAGGGCAAACATTGAGACAGCACTGAACTTTCTCAAGAAGAAATCTGTAAGTTTCCTCAAAATAAAAAACATGGCATCTTTTTGTGCAGTGGGTTCTTATTTCCAGTTGTTTTGGTTGGTTGGTTTAGATCAAACTGGTGAACATAAACATCCCAGATATCATAGATGGACGGCCCTCCATCATCCTCGGACTTGTGTGGACCATCATCCTCCACTGTCATGTGAGTACCAGTTGTAAACCAGTGCCAGAACAGATTAGTCTGATACTGCTGCTGTGAAAAAGGAACTAGGTTCCATATGTAGATATAAACAACCTATTCTAAGGTTCTGCTAATATATCCCTCTAAATCCTACACACTGGACCTTTAATACTTAAAGTGAAATACTTTACGCCAATTATTTTTGTCAGATTTCATATATGTATGAACCTTTTTAAAGATACTGATAACTTAATGTCCAATATATTGTTACACTGTCTCTGTTTCAGATCGAGGAGCTGGCCAGCACTCTCGCCTACAACTCTTGTCATTCCTCCCTCGACTCTCTGGCCAGCCTGGACTCCTTTCCTGGCAGCCCCATCCCAGCGAGTCCAGTCCCTGCAGGCCGGACGTCACCTCTCCACAGACGCTTCCAAGTATCCGCCAAGAAGGCCCTGCTCATGTGGGTCAGGGACCAATGCAAAAAGTGGGTTATCGACCATATACATATATGAATGCTTAAAGACATGTCACGAGTGTGGAATTTAAGAAAGAGGTAGGGTGTAAGTTAGACCAACACTGTTCTTTGTAGGGTTTGCATGTTTTCCCTGCTTGCGTGACTTTCCTCCTCCCCACAGTTCAAAGACATGCTCAAGACATTCATAAAAGTCTCATGGACACTAATCCAAGCAACACTGTCTTTGTCCCCTTCTTTTTTTATTTCATGTTCTCCATCCATCTTTCTCTCTGTAGGGTCGGTTGCTCCATGAGTGTGAAGAACTTCAAGTCGAGCTGGAGAAGTGGAGAGGCCTTCTTGGCCATCCTGTGTTCTCTCAGACCACAGCTGGCTGATCTCTCACTGGTTCAGTCCAGAAGCAACCAGGAGAACCTGGAAGAGGCGTTTCACCTGGCCGAGAGGGAACTCCACATCCCCCGCCTGCTCGAGCCCCAGGGTCAGGCTTACTACGTAATATTGTTGTCACAATATTTCTAAATAACCAGGAGCATGACAGATTACTTAACCAATCAGCAGTAATAGTCATCATAGATTTTTGACTTGACTTTTTCAATAAAACAAACAAAAAAACAAAAAACTGATGACTTGCTGCTCCTAGGAAGCACAGAGATTATTAGAGTGTATATTTCATCATTTGGCAACAAATCTAAAACTGATTTTCCTTATTGTCATCTTATAAAACATCGTATAAAATGATAGTTGGGTTGAGTCAAGCCCAGTTCATACCAAAGATTCGTAATGACGAAACAGTTTTAGAATGTTGCATAGAGATGATACATCGTCTCATCTAGTTGCATTGGTGTGAACCCGCAAGTGTTTGGAACGTTGCAGAATGTGTATGTAATTGTTGTGTATTTTTCTGCACCTCAGATGTTGATGTTGAAGACCCTGATGAGAAGTCCATCATGACTTACGTGGCCCAGTTTCTACAGTACTCCAATGACATGCCGGCACCTGATGACCACCTGCAGGTCGGCAAACAAACCACCATTTTTAAATGACTTTACTTAAGAACTGACCTAATCTAATGTACGTCTGCATCTCTACAAATCTTCTCTACTGTTTCATGCTGCTTCCCTTCCCTGTTTCAAGCCTGAACCCACAATCTCCTGCATGAAACTGTTAATTATTTTCCCTCTTCTCCTCTGGTGGCGGTGGTGTAGCTGTTTCCTCTGGTCCAGCCCTTTTCTCTCTCACCTGTGAACTTGCCTGCTCACTTCACTCCAGCAATCGCTGTTTCCCCATTACGCCAGGTATACACCAGGCAAACATGTCCTTCAGTTAATATTTGTCCATTATTAATGTCTTTTGGGGTCAGAAAATATTGTCCTTATGGAGTGAAACGCACCGTAGTTGAGGTTTGCTGTTAGGTCTGTAGGAGTCCACATACTTCTTACTTTTGTCTACTGATTATGCACCTTGAAGCTACATAATCAGCTTGCTCTTCACTTCGGTAAACACAGAAGTGCAATTACAGACGGTTTTCCATTGTAGGTTTCTCCAAGTGAGCGAGCACTAGAGGTGACTTGCTGGCTGCAGCAAGCCTTCGAGGAACTATCAGAAGCATGGACAGCGACAGAAAAATCCAACTTTGCAGAAAAATATCATGTAAGCACAAGAGCTCAAAGAAGAAAACATTCTTTCGTGTGCATTATTCTGTATTGCAGTACAGTGATTTGAAGTTGTTGCTATGTTTGGTTTCTCAGGTGTTTCAGAACGTTGCTGGTTCCTTCACTGAGCAAAGGAAACCAGTGATGACCCTCCTTGCAGCCATAAGACGCTGCCCTGAGCTGAGCCAAGAGCAGTGTGCTCTCAGAACAGCATGGGATCGTCTGGAAGAGAAGGTGAGGAAGTTAGTGAAGAAAAATGGGACAAGCTTTTGTCCCCAAGTTTGCTTTTAGTCCTGCTGATTCACTTCCTTTGTCTCTCTCCAGATGAATGAGAAATGCTTACAGAGCACTCCTTGGACTACATTACAATACCCAGGTTTTGTGCTTATCCCACGTTGTGTGTGTGTGTGTGTGTGTGTGTGTGTGTGTGTGTGTTGTTCCCCAGCTGCAGAGATGTAAAGCAGACCTGGACTCCAGCCTTCCTCCTCCTCTGAACTCAGTTGTCACGTGGCTGCAGCGTGCAGAGGCAGCGCTGACAGAAGAGGGAGGAAGAGTGGGAGATCATGCAGATGCTGCTAAAGAAGCAAGAGCTCAACAAGACGTGCAAAAGGTTATTTATATTTTGAAGCTGCAAAACAGATTTGATCTTTTCTGTTTTCAAAAATCTTAAATGTACAATATTTATTCAGTGTTGTGAAACCCTGGAAAAAATCTAAAACAATGTATAGGCTTTGGGACAGGGATGGGGCAGATGTGGCCTACATATGAACAGACAGTATAACAATATTTTGAGATATATAACATGAAACTTCTGCTAATCTTTTTTGCTGTATTTTTTTTTCAGTCATTAATGAGAGAGATGAGCCACCACGTCAAAATCCTTGATACCTTTCTCAACATGGATGACTCAGGGAATGAAGTAGTGCCCCCTGAAAAGTTTGATGAGATAAAAAGACGGTATGTTACATAATTATTTTAACTTCTAACTTCCATAATTACTGGATTTTATTAAGATCAGTTTTCTCACATGGACATTTAAAGGTCCAGTGCTTGAGATTTAGGAGGATATACTGGCAGTCATGGAGTACAATATAATAAGTATTTTTTCTTTAGTGGATAATCACCTGAAAATAAGGATTGTTGCGTTTTCGTTACCTTTGAGTGAGCCGTTCATTTCTACATAGGGAGGAGGTCCTTGTCTTCGGAGATCTCCATGGTGCACCGCCATGTTTCTACAGTAGCCCAGAACAGACAAACCAAACACTGGCTCTTGATAGGGCTGTTCATTTTTCATGTTACGCTTTCAGGCTTTAGTGTTTTCACGTCGGCCACTGTTGCTAGCGTTGGAAAAACACAAATTCTTTAAAGTGAAACTGCTTTATTCAGTGTTTTCACCTGTTTAAATCAGCGTCCATTTATTTTTGAGAGGAAGAGACCTCTGCAGATAATTCGGCTCCTGATGTAAATCTTAAGGTATCAGAGAAGAAAGGTGAGCACAGAATTGCAGGTGCTGGGCTAGTGGGCCGTCTCTGACACACCAAACAGCATCAGAGAAACACTGATTTGTAGCGTGAAACTGTTTTACTCAATGCTTTTATTTGTTTAAATCACCTGGTCCATTTGTTCTGGAGAGGAAGAGACCTCTGTGGATAATTCAGCTTCTGGTTAAAACCTCTTAAAGAATGATCACTATTCTAACTGGGAGAAGTTTCAGCTGGTTGTAACCTGCAATTCTCACTAAATCTCTTTCAATCTTAAACACTGGACCGTTAAAGCCATTAATCTTTAGAGCTACAGTTGGTAACTTTTATAAAAAATAATTTTGTGTTATATTTGCTGAAACTGTCGCTCTATTCTGAAAGAAATAAACGAGACACAGTCTGTGAAAAAAAATAAATGTCTCTCCTCCTCTTCCTTCTGCTATTAATGGCACTTTTACTGTTAAGCCATAAAATGACAGAGTTTATGACCTGGACTCCATGTTTCTGGCAACATTTGAGGCCAGAAAAGCCAATCTTGAAGTAACAGCTGAGACTCCTCGACTCTGATTGGTTGTTTTTGTTTACCTGTGGTAAGGCCATTAGAAGCACTACAAGGCAATAGAGTAGGCAGAGCAATATGATTTTTTTTTTTATAGATTGTCTCATTTAGTGATGTATAAATATAATGACAGTTTCAGCTACATAAAGAAAGTACCAATAAAATGAAATAATGTATTAACGCCGTCTTCATCTGAAAACAGTTTAACCAATATCCGAGTCACTGCCAAGTATCAAGGGATCAAGTTGGAATACCGGGAATGCCGTCACACTGTGCTGGATCTCCTGGGCCGCATCAGTGCTAAGCTTCAGACCTGGAAAGCTCCCTACAGTTCCCAGGAGACAGTACTTCTGCTTCTGCAGGACTGGCATGTAAGTATCTGAAAGAGCAGGAGATAAAACCTTATTTCACTCAGAAACATACTGATGTGAGCCACATTATTGTGAGATAATGGAATGATATACTATCATGCTAACGCGATAAGGATTCAGGGGAATAAAATTACTGGTGTACTTTTGAGTCATCTGACAAATTATGCTCCCTGGAAATCCAGAAATAATTCTGACTTCTGTTGTTTATTTGTCTAGGAAACAGTGGATCGCCAAAGCTTGCTGTTAATCCTGATGGATGCTCTCCAAAACCTCAAGGAGAAGGCGAATGCTTACAACAGCAAGGCAGCGCTAGGTATGAGCTAAATGTGTGCTTGTGACAAGAGCCTTCAACCACATAATCCTAGCGTAATCTCTGCTGTATTGTAAACTCTGCAGATGGTATACATGTCTTGAAGATTTTTTTTATTTTCTAAAACTCATGACTTCACCTTTACACACTTTTCCCTCCCAAGGTAACGACTCCCAGCTTGTTACTCGTCAGGTGAAGGAAGCAGAAAGTGAAGCTGAATTGGCCACACAGGTTGTGACGGCAGTGAGAGGGACGATGGAGAGAGTGCTGTCTGCGTGGGAGACTTACGACAAGTGCCTCACTGCTCTACAGACATGGCTGGCACAGGAGATACAGTCGAGCACCCAGTCTCCTGCTGCGGGGACGAAGGTAAAGTCTTGTCTGGAATTCTGTCAATGAATAACTTAAAAAGATTCCTTCATGACACTCACTATACAGTGCAGTGTTTGGAAGCAGCAAGAGCCAATTATTTTTTTTGTCTTTTGGTGTGGGTGCTGCAGGACATGAGCGAGTTTACATCATGTCAAGCTAAGTTAAACGAGGCGGGGAACTTCCTCATTGAAATGACGGAGCCTTCAACCAGCCTGGCTCTCGCTGAGCACCTCAGCAGGGTCAACATGCAGTGGGCTGAGTGCATGAAGAGGACAGTGTTTGTAAGTATGTGTGTTCTCACTGTTCTTTACACACAGGCGCTGACTGTACGTCAAGGTGCAGCTAAGATTAATAAGTACAATGTTCAGAATGTACAGAATTAAGCTCAAAGATCAAAACCTATTGTTTTATTTTGAATGTGTAAAAATTACCTTTAAACTTAGGAAAACAGCTGCAGAGGAAGGAGTAATCAGATCTTTTACTTAAGTAAAAGTAGTAATATCACAGTGTAGAAATACTCTGTTAAAAGTAAAAGTAAAGTCGTAAAAATGAAATCATCTGTCAAATACGACCACATAAACCCGAGCCCCTACACAAATTAAGTGACACAGGAATATGTTAGCATATTATACAATAGGTTTAGGCTGTAAAATGAGCTTACAAACAGCGTAACAGTGCCAAAACAGAAATTACTACGAGAACAATGTCGCTTACCTCTCCCATGGACTACAACAGCAAAAGGTAAGAGGCAAGGCAGGAGACACCCCTTTATATGTGGGGGACCCCCAAAGGTGAATGTAGGGGTACAGAAACTGAGTATCAAATGTTCCACATATGGAGGCCTAAGTGTGTCAGATATTAACAACTGAAACAAAATTTGTGTAATTATAATACTTGATATTACCAATGTACATTTGATTTTGTTACACATATTTCTGCTGTACAATTGACCCTGTCACAATAATACGTCAAACATATATTCGTTGATTATATTTCTCTTTTGAATGCAGGGCAGTCGAAAACTCTAACTTAGTACTAAGGGAGAGAGTTCAATTTTTGTTTCACTGTGGGGTAAAAACTGTTCCTCAGTCTGGAGGTGCAGCATTTCAGGGCTCTATAGTATCTTCCAGAAGGCAACAGTGTGAACAGGTCGTTAAAGGGGTGCTTGAGCCTTTTTGCGTGTGTTTTTACTTGCTGGACAGCCTGTTGCCCTCCAGGGACAAAATAAAGTTAAAGCTGAAGTATATGGATAAAGTAGCATAAATGGAAATACCTAGCTAAAGTACAAGTACCTGAAAATATGGACAGCACTTAATTAAATGTACTTGGGTGTTTTCCATCACTGGATAACAGGACACACAGACATTAACAAAGGTTGATTGTCATGAAACATGTCTTTCTTAGGGGGTGTCATCGGAGCCCAGTGTCAGCCCCATGTGTCTTCAGATGGTGCATTCACTGACCCAGGAGGCCAGCTGGCTACTGAGGCAGCCGCTGGAGGTGGCCTCAGTCTCACTGAAGGCTAACAGACAGAAACTACAGGTTGGCAAAGATACTAATTAATTAATGAATGGTTGGATACAAATCCACAGCAAAATATAGGCATGATTTTTAAATCTTTCCATACCTGAGCTAGTATCTCCTTTTTGCTTCTTGTGCTTGTTATCAGCTCCTGAGCAAAAGGATGGCAGAGGTGGATCTTTCATCTCTCAGTCCATCCCCAGACTCTCAAACAGCCCACATGGAGAACCTCCAGCAAACTCTCCCACAGGTACTCTGCTGCAAAAATTCTCTGACTGTGATGCATTTCAACAGGCCCCATTTCTTACTCCAGTTTTTGATGTAACCCATTCTGAAGCTTTATTAAACACATGCACAGGTGAACATAAATCCACTGCTGAGACTAGAATGAATAAGCACTGCAGTTGTGGCTGTTGATGCATTTACAACATCAAGATTTGTTATTGACATATCACCCTGTGTAAATAGTGCTGCTCCCCTTTGTTGTATTATGACAAGCTAAGGGTAGGGTTCGTCCTAATTGCTTGTATCTGTGCGACAGATGGTTGTTGAAGCCGAGAGGACCTGTGGAGAGCTGCAGCAGGCTGCATCCAGGCTAGAGGGCTGTCTAGCTGAGCTGGACCACTGGAGCACAGACGCCCTGGACTGTTACCAGCACCTAAAGGAGGAAAAGCACAGAGGACGCTCTTTGCTGGAACCTACAGCCAAAGTCAGCAGACCAAAATTCCAGATAAATTTTAGAGTCCTTAGAGTCCCTTTTGTCCAGATGTTTCATCTTATGTGCTAATTGTTGTTTCTCAATAATTATCTGTGAATAGCGCGGGTACTATTTGTGTTACTACTTTTTTGTGGATTGTCAGTTGACTGTGTTCTCAGATATGCACAAAACATTATGGTGTGCACAGATTCTCTATGGGCCAGGGGAAACAGTGAAAAAGGAATGATTCTTGTGGTATCTGTGCACTGTGCACCCTGAAATAGTGCTGATAGTGTGACTTTAGGGTAAATAAAAAGCTTGAATGTCACCTGTAAAGTTGTGAAACTATGCTAATGTTTGGTTAAGGTCCCTAAAATTAAACATTACAATACAAATAATACAATGTAGACAATATGCTCTAGGCGCTGATATCTCGAGGCATGCAGCTGGAGAACCAGGTTGTAACTGAGAGACAGGATCTGCTGGACCTTGTGGCACGAGTACGGAAAACCTCTCCTCTGCAGCACCTCTGTACGTCCGGCATACAGGACAGGATCTCAGAGACAGTCTCCCACTGCCAGGTCAGTTTATCAGTGTATGGTAACCTTTTTCAGTTACCGTTTCTCATATTTGTACAGTAATTTTTTGTATGTGTTTAATTTTCTAGGAGATTCTTGGAATGTTCAGCAACCTCGGATTTCGGCAGCACGTTGAAACAGCTCATCAGACACAGAGACAGCTCGAGGCAGGGTTACTTGTTGTGGTCAGAACCAAACATGTAGACCAGGTTGGGAATGTGATGCTGCAAGCCCAGGACTCAAATCAGGCTTCACATCGGATGCTTCAACAAGACGCAAGAGCTCCCCAGGGTTGGCCTAAAAACAAGCATGTGAACACACAGGGTGAAGCAACCATTGTTAAAATTGTTAAACCACGTGTCGGAATCCAAACGCTGCCTCTGCCAATCAGGGAATCTCGTATTCAATCTCCTCTTGCTCAAACTGTAAAAGCAGCTGAATCTGAGCCCATGATGCAGCCTCCGCCTTTTTCCAAATCTAACGCTCAAGCTCCACGTCCGAGTCAAAATGATCAACTTCAAACACCCCCATCACAAACTCGGATATCGATCTCCAGAATAAAAGGGCAGCCAAACACTCAGAGTGATAAAACACCTCCACAGCCGCCGGTTATGGTCCGCAGTGAGGTTCATTCAAAAGCCCAGTCCATGGCAAGGAGCAGACTGGAGAAGGCCAGGTTTCGTCTGCAAGGACGCATCCAGCAAGCCATCAAGTTATTTGGTGGCAAAGAGATTTCGGCATCACAAGCTAAGAGGAAACAGGTACAGTTTTTCAGTGGTTGGAAAAAAAGTATATTAAATAGTTCCTCATTCAGTCTTTATTTTCAGATTTTTTTCCATCAATTGCCAAAAATCCACTGTTGCATTTGCTACAAAGTGTGAGCTGTGTCCAAGTGCCTGTAAAGCCAGCTGTCTGCCCACATCAAATGCTTTAAACAGAGCAAAAGCTTTTCATGTTGCAACATCCAGACCTTGGAAACTCAAAATTTTATTTCAGAATTAGGACACATCCTTTAAATGTCTGTGGTGTTCTGCTTCACTTGGCTGCCTGTTTGTGCATATCCGTCCAGCTTTATGTCTTTCTATGCAGAGGGCTTTAAAGATTCTGCAGCCTGCCATTCTCGAGGAGTTCCTTGGAGCTGTGGAGGGTTTTGGGGCCTTTTGCACCGGGCCCCAACTCCAGGACTTGATGCTTCTGTCTGACTCAGTCAGAAAGCAGTGGGAGGTATGACAGGGACCATACACAGGAGATTTAAACTCTTAACACGATGTGAAGAACTGTATTTTACGAAATGTCAAACTATGTCTTTAAAACAATGAAATGATAAATACATCCAGTTAGATTTCATTTAGCTGTTGACACAAGTAACACAATAACACACATTCATAACTGAGGAGCCCAATTAATTCAGTATTTATTAGCTTGAACAGCTGTCATATGCCTTAATAAATTGTCACCATTAACATGTTTTCTAACAAATGTTCATTAAATAGCAGTGTCTGCTTGTTTGTGTCACACTCAGGATGTACTCAGAGAAATGGCTGCCTTTGTTCCCATCTTATGGTCTAACATCAGAGAGGGAAAGCAGCCATTTTCTGTTGTGCAACGTGAAACCCAAACTAACGCTCTGCACAATGCCACTGACCAGACTGACCATGATTTTTTGCTGCAGCAACAGGTATTTGTCATAACTCTAATGTCTGTTTAACGTCTGATGGTGCTGTGTGGCAAACTTTATGATTTTGGCAACAGATCAGAAACATACGTGGTTTCAGTTTCTCAGAAGTTGACATTCCTCCCAGGTCATTGAAGACGGAGCTGCGTCTGTTGACGTCGAGTCACTCCAAGAACTGTGTGAAACACTAACACCGAGACAGTCCTCCTGCCTGGCAACGGACCAACTGAGGGAGTCAGATGAAGCGCAGGAAACACAGCCCAGTGACACAGTGCTCCCACCTGACTGGTAAGATGATACCAAGGAGATGCTGCGTCATGAGGTGTAATATATTAGCCATGACCGCATTTAAGAGGGAAGTTATATGACCAGCGTGCCACTTCAAGTCAAGTTTGAGTACTTGATTTTTACCAAGTAGGTGCTTGTAATAATTGAATTTGCTCCAATAAACTCTAAAATTAAGTTGAGCTGCATTGTTCAATTGAAGCAGACAGCTTATTTATCAACAACTGTCACTCTGTAATCCTTAAAGTCTATTAATCTTAATGAGATTCCTGCAGTGACTGAGTGGTTCTAACTGACTGGCACCGACCTCCCCCTTGATAAACCGTTTTTGACCCCAGCAGGGGACAGCAGCTCCGGGGAAACACCCCGCTGAGAGCGACTGGCGTGTCGGCCGACACACAGCGCAGCAACAGTCTCCCACAGAAACAAAGCGTGGACAGCCAACAACAAGACTTGTCACCTGTGTGTGTTGCTGAGTCAGTGCTGCCTCGTGCTGATACCCTCCAACTGCGAGATCAGGATGTCCCAACACAGAGTGAGGATGTCCCGACGCAATGTAGAGGCCAGGGGTCAGAGAGCAAACTAAAGCCATCACTTCGATCCAAAGAGCGGCCGCTGAAAGCTCGTCTGCTGAACATCACAGAGGACAACCAGCAAACCCAAGCTCATGTACAGGTAGGAAGAGTGCAAGAGTGCTTTTGTTTTTCTTGATGTTCTCAGTTTTGTGAGCTCCCAGAGGCAATTATTTCATTTTGGAAAGTTTTAGGCACTTAAATTTAGCTTTAAAACATACAAATTAACACAGTTTGACATAATTGCTGCTTTGTAGTATGCCCTCAAGATGGAGGTAGTTTCAGTTCCCTTTTCCTTAGATGTACCACACACTTACTGTGGTTTAGAAGAAGTTTAGATTTCAAGTTTTTTTAAAAAAAAAATGTTTTAATTGTATTTCAGTTTGTGGCTTCCTTTGTGAATATCATAGTCCACCAGTGTATTCAACTGTAGATCATAACTTGGACCAGTCAGGCATGTTAGAATCCTCTCTAACTAATGAGACACATGACATTAAGAATAGTGACAGTATGTTTTGGCATCAAAAAAAGAAAAGATTGGCATTGATAAAGGAAACATTGGCATTGAAAAGAATCCACTAAAAATTAAACACACCCATTAGAATTATTTCATGATATTATTGTATTTTATTCTATTTTATCTTCATTTTCATTTTTATTTTATTTTATTTTTATTTATTTTTATTTTATCGTCATTTTCATTTTTATTTTATCTTCATTTTTATTTTTATTTTATTTTTAATTATTGCATTCTGCAGGTGGGTCCAGTGACAATGATGTTCTCTCCGCAATATGCAGATTATATGTAAATCATGCAGTCCTTGCCTCTCCCCTCAAGCATACGAGAGGATGTTGATGCAGATAAAAAAAATTAAAGTCATTTTCCTTTTTCATTTTTTCTGACCTAAACATTTTGCCTATACAGCTTTGAATTTGATATGAGACAGATTTTGCTGTAACCTTTCCAATGAACTGGTAACACAAAGCGAAAAGGACTTGTAGCATTAAGCTCATTACATTAGGCTGTTTATGTTGCATATGTTAATTACCCTAAATGAATCTAATTTACTTCATACAATGCATTTAAACTGGTCGTTCCTTAAGAGTCCCTGGTCAGAGGAAAAAAACTCTTACGTTTGATTGGCTGTGACTGACCTGTCCAAGACACAGCACCAGCTGCAGGGCACTAATCCTCTGTAATTGGATAGGCTCACCGCTCCATCTCTTCGTCTTTTCTTCACTGGACTGTTACTATCTTCCAGGCGGTTGTCAGGGGCGACACTGTGGAGACCAAGCAGGAGGCAGAGTGGACCGTCATCTCAGAGACAGCCGCCCTACAGCAGGAAGAGCACTCCTCCAGGCAGGAAGCACAGGAAAGGTATGGATAATATTTCAATTCTTCCTTTTTTGTTGTTTGAAGAACTGTCACTTTAAAAAATGATTTTTTCATAAGTCACTAAGGCTGAAAAATACAGAAGTTACCCTTTTAGGAAGTTCAGGATCAGCAACATCCTCTTGAAGTGACAGTTTTATTAATCTTTAAAACCAATATTTTCAATTTAGCATGGATTTTACTGTCTGTATGAACCATTTTATCTCATTTAACAGTCTGAAATAAGTGAAATAAGAATAAAAACACCAGAGAGATGAACTTGGTGTCACAGATTTCACAGCAGGCTTTGTTCCCCATGCAGCCTTTCAGTCCCAGATAATGTTAAATTTAAACAATGTGTAAATCTTTCACTGTAGGTACAGAAAGTCCCGCTCAGCATTTCAGTCTCAACTCCAGAGGAACAAGCAACATTTGGAGGAGTTTATCTTGGACCCTGTCACCACCTCCACCCTGCAGAATCAAAGGAAGCAACTACAGGCAAGTTGAAGCGTCATTTTAAATCATATGTAGCAATTGTTTGATAATATTAGAATTTCAAATCATGCTCCTAAAGCAGACTAATCTGGTACTTCTTTGCATTTTCTCAAACATTACATTACCACTGACTGTGATTGCTTTGGAAACATGTCTCTCCTCAACAGACTTTAAAGCAGGTGACGCAGACACTAGCGTTTGAGTTTGAGCTCCAGTATGCCCAGATATCCCGGTGCTCCCGTCTGATGAGCAGGGAAGATGTTGGTGAAGTGGAGAGAGACTGGGAGCGGCTGAGTCAGCAGTGGAGAGGCCAACTAATGTGCCTACAGAGCAGGTGCAGTACCTTAATTCTTTAAAAAAGTATCAAAGACCTTTGTATCACTTATCCTTGATTTATAAGGGCTGTAAATGTGGCATAAAATTAGGTTAAAACTTCATACTTTAAGGTCCATTTAGTAGCTGTTTGGGTTCTTTCAATCTTGTCACATCATCTTCATCAACAGATGGAGTTTGCCCTGTTGTCATGGAAGCATAGATATTAAAATTTCCGTTGTCTTTGAGCACTTCAAACACTTCTCGTCCACGTTGACTCAGTGGTTAAGTTTCAGTTTTTATTCTTGACTTTGGAAACAAGTATCTCACCCTAAGGTCCATTTAGTGGTTGTTGTGGAGCTTTTAGTCATATGGCATGGTCGTTATGAGCAGATAGAGTTACCTTATAACCATATTTTATTGTTGTGCATAATAACAAGTTATTAAATGCTTTGGTTTGTGTTAGGATGACATGTTTAGAGAATACTGCTGAGCTGATGGAGTCTGCAGACGATCAGATGGCGCTGATCAAAGGAAAACTGGACCGAATCATCAGAGAGTCTGTGGACATCTCCTCCCTCACCCTGGCTGACTCCAGACTGAAATCTGATTTAAAGGTGCATCTTTTTTTTAGCTTACACTTAAATTTAGAGAGCGAAATATGCAAACATTAATACTAATCCCTCTTGTGTTACCCAGGAGATGGATGTCAGACTGCGGTCTGAGGCGAGAAAGCTATCAGAGCGAGGAGCTGAAGTGAAAAGACAAGAGCTGGAAGCCAAGTTCCCTTCATCGCTCTGCCAGGCTCTCCGCAACACTGTCCATCATCTGGAGCAGCTCAGACAGCAGCTGGAGAAGGTTCAGTCTGCTGCACAGGCTCTGGATCACTTCTTGGCCACAGTGCGGGAAGTCAAGGCCGAGATCCCAACCCTGCTGGCAAAGCAGGACACCAGCAGACAGCGAAATCTGACAGACTGGGAGCAGGAGAGACACTGTTGGCAGGCAGCGATGCAGCAGAGGTTGCAGACCGCTGCGCAACAATCTGACTGCGTTGACAGCACTTTAAAGGCAGTGGGGATGACTCTGACCATGGATGGTGCAGCAGTGACGTGCCAGGATGTGGTGACGTCATTGTCCCAGCAAGCTGTGGATGTGGAGAAAGAGATGGTGAGAGCCAAGAGGAGGGAGAGGAAAAGCGATGATTCACCACATGAGGGGGAAGAACAGGAGCAGGACCATCCCACTCTGAGTAGAATGGAAGAGGAGTCCGGGTTGGAGGCCAAGAGGAGTAGGCTGGAAGAACATGATGAGACAAATACGCAAGGGGAGGGAGACCACAAAGCTCAAACATGGGCGTCTGAAGGGGACGTCTTAAAGGCCAAGGACCAGAGAAGAAGAATAAGCAGCCAGGTTAAGAAAGAGGGAGAAGAGAAGGAGAGTTTGCTCCAGAGGAGAGTTGCCTTGTTGGGCACTCTGAGGGAGATAAGGAGAGCAGCTGAGCAGCTGAGGTTACAGGAGCCCACCCTGCCTGCTCTGCAACACAGGTACAACACTGATGTGGATCCAGTAACCACAATAAAAACCCTTTCAATCATAATTTATCCCGTAAATTCTTCCCTTACACAGCTTTCCAGTTAAAAAATTATATTTTTATACACAACATCTTTCACACACAACACATATATTCTCTATCTGCTTGTTGCATTACTTCATTGCAGTTATTAAAACATCTGTTTATTTTATTGTGCAAGCATTGCCTTATTGGTATTCTGAATATGCTTTAAAAAAAAGCTATTTACAAATGATGTCTCAGAATTTCAGTCTCCTCAGTGCACACCTCTCTTATGCTCCCCCTCTGTCCAAGGGTGACTCCATACATTAATGATTGTTCCATCTCCTGCAGGACTCGAGCATTGACAGAGCTGGAAAGTCGTCTTGCTGCCCACCTCGCTGAGCTGCAGCACATGCAAGATGCAGCTTTACAATCAGAAATCCCTGATGGGAGTCAAACCAGAGAGGGGGAGGATGTCTGGAAAGAGGCCAAAAAAGCTGTATCTGAACGGTAAAGGCAGCAGTATCAGTCCGCTGTGATTTGCTACCATGTCAAGTTATAGTGCCTGCTGAGTTTGGTGCATGTGTATATTGTGTTATGGATCACATACAGGCTGGAGCAGTGTTGCACCCTAACAGAGCTGCTGAAGAAGTTTCAGAGCATTCGTGGTGAGCTGAGTGGGACGCTGCAGAGGGCAGAGAGCACCATCAGTGAACAGGCATCCTACCTGGGAAAAGACAACCTGCAGAGACTGCACACTAAGGTACACCACACTGTTTGATTAATATGAGAAAGGAAGGCATCTGTTATGTAAGTTTGGGTTGTGTGTCAGTCAAAAAGGACCAAATCATTTGTGTGTCCCTAGTTACATTTACAGTTAGGTTGAGTGTTTTATATGTATTGTGTGTGCTTGTGTGTGTGTGTGGTTTCTCAGGTGCAGGACACAAAAGCAGAGCTGAACGGCCTCGGGGACGGCATAGAGGAGATCCGCAATGTCTGCAGGCAGCTTCACACTCATCTACGTAAGATCCCAGAGTGCACCATGATCCCATTTGAGGACGAAGCGGAAGCTCTCATGGACCGCTGGCTGGATGTGAGTAAAGTTTTAACTCGCCTATTAAAGATTTTCTCTTATTGGGCCTCATTCACGATTTTGTGCATAAAAATATTCTTACTCTGCACACAAAATGAGTGTGCACACAGAATTAGTGTCGGATTAATGACGCGTGCATGATGGCTAAATTTGTTCTTACTAGCCAAATTTGTTCTTACCACAGTACCTATGTTAGTCAACCAGAATCATTAATAACTTGACAGGAGCATACTCGCTATTTGCAATCAGCAAACTGCCATGCCTCTGTTTCTCTGGAAATATGTTTGCGTCGAGGAGGTGCAACTTAGACAAAATAGTGAAGTTGTTGTGAGAGAGAAGCATGGCCCCTGAACAAAAAAAGCAGACCAATTTTGCAACGAAAGAAACTGAATTAATTTTGTACCCCCTGAAATTCGAACTGTGGCTCAGGTAAAAAAGAAATGGTTTGATGCTAAAAGCAAAAAAAGAAAATAATCGAAACAAGAAAAAAAAAACCAATGGAAACTAAAATAGTTTTATTTTAGTGCTGACATTCTCTGGGACTAGGACTCTCAGTTTTTATAGCTGAAAATTTTATCATGACAAAAATTGATGAGTATGAAAGGGCCTGAATTTTATAGTCATTTAATACATTTGGCTAATGCGTTATTATTTAATGGTTAATTCATGGTTTTAAACATTGTTGTCTTAAATTAAAAGAGGTTTTAATATGCTATGCATTTAGTTAAAAGGTGCGTGTTTACATCTAAGACAGCCAGGCCTTTGTTATTTGTGGGTTTGCATGGTCTGAGGCAGTTCTAAATTTGTTTGCAGAGTACAAACAAGGTCGGAAAATATTGATGAATCCCAGTTTTGTGCGTGAAACATACACACAGTTTAAGCACAGATTTGTGTGTACGTACTATTTATGAAGGAGGCCCATTGTTTCCAGTGTCTGTGGTATATTATGTTTAATTCATCAAAAGAGCTAGCCAATACAACATTTTTCTTTTTTTCTTTTTGTATCACAGACAGTTTTAGTTTAGTTAATTTTTTGTGAATATTAATACTTTCTCCGTAAGTATGCAAGTATTAATTTTTGTGCTATTACTTTGCAAAATTCCTCACATACTACAATCCTTGGTATGTTGTTTAAGTATAGGCTTTCAAAAGTAGCTATCATGGAGGAAACCACTCATTGTGATTCAGTGTCAGAAGAGTTTTTAAATTGATATCTATCTGATTTCCTAACAGCTTATCATATTAAGAGTGCATTTTCACACTGTTTTTAAAGCAGGATTTACAGCAAAAATAGTACCTCCTTTTTGTTTTATGTGTCACAAATTCCAAGCGTTAACTTAAGTGTCATGTAGTGGATAATTATCATTGCAAATATCAGATTTTTCAGGTCTTTGGTTAAGCTGGGTTGCGTGCTCTAAGAAGAGTGCTAGTATTTATCGCAGCTCAAATCTTTGCAGGTGTCAGAAAGAACAGATTCCCGCCTTGAAAACCTGCACGTTGGCCTGACTCTGTGGGATGGGGTCCTTGAGCTGGGAGCAGATGTAGAGAGCTGGACCACCAATAAAGTAGCAGTATTTGCTCAGTCTCCATCCTTTGAGACAGAGGACAACATCAGGACCATGCAGGTAAAACTGTGCTGCTGTGTCATATTGTAGTACACAGGTGTGTTCCAGTCTGGGCTGCTATGTGAAGTTAAATGCTCCTTAGATTTCTAAAAGTGCTTTAAACAAAGATCATCTCCCTCTAACTGTCACCAGAATGAAATTGCAGCCCAAGAGGAGAAAATGGAGCGTTTCCACAGAAGAGCAGCTGAGGTTCAGGCACTGCTTCAAAGCACAGAGCCCCCTCTGGAGCTGCAGGTACAGCACGCAGCTTCTGTGTTTAGGATGTGGGTGTTTCTAATGTAAATGTAGCTGCTAGAATGGACAGGTACAGCTGATCAAGTGGAGTTACTCCATGTCTCTTGATTGATTTTTGTTTGTCAAGGTTGTGGAGACCCAGATGAGGAAGAAGATAGAGCAGCTGAAGGAGCTTGTTTCTGAAGCTGAGGATGTTTACAGGCAGATGGTGGCTGCAAAGGAACAAATCACTGCCAGGATGAGTGAATGCTTCAACTCCCTCCAGAGGATTCAAGACTCCCTTCTCACTCTCAGTGGTCTGGATGTTGCAACAGTGCTTGCAAAGCTTAAGGTAAGTGTTTAAATGATATGAATAGATTTATATGTGTACATGCCATAGACTGTTAAATTAATGGATGTAGCTAATGTGACATCACCCATTGGTTAGTGGACATTGATAGGTGATGCTTTGAAATGCTGTCAGTAACAGTTGCTTATTTTATTCTGTAGAATCTATTGTTTGAGCTCCAGACGCAGGATGAGCAGGCAGAGAGTCTGCTGGAGGATCTTCAGGTTATGGCCTCCATAGCGAGTTCAGTCAGCCTGCAGAGTCTGTCTGCAGATGCCATTCAGCTGCAGGATAAAGTCAGAAACACCCACCAGCTCTTCTCTGAGGTGGACGAAGAGACTGAGAGGAACATCCAGGCTCACAATAGGTAACAACTCCAAGTTCATGTTTCAGTTACAGCTGTTATGTAATGCTTGATTGTCTCTACTTAAACATGTGGCATGTATGCACACATTCAACCAGGAATGCAACATCTGCACATTACAATAAGTGCATAGGAGAGCTGCTGGGCAGGTATTTCTGGAGCTGGTTCTGATACTACTCCTTTGTCTAATAGTTGATTGATCACTTAATTGTGTTTCAAAGGTTGTCATGTGGGGATCTTCATAAAGAAACAAAACATGGAAAGCAGACTCCAGCTGACTGAACATCGTTGTGAACAATAATAATAATAAAATACATATTTACAATATGTAAAAAATAAATAAATAAATAAATAAATTATATTTATTTATTTAGCACTTATCTAAACAAGGTTACAAAGTGCTTCACAAAGTGCATAAAAATAAGACAACAAAACAATACAATATTTTTTTAAAAAAAAGAGTCAAAACATCTGTCTTTGTGCGACAAAATGTTGTGTGTGAATCTATATTATCTGTCCAATATTTGAGATTCTAATGTTAAGCCTGATTCCAAATTATTTTTCAGATTTCAGGAAATCAAAACAACACAGTAGAGGTGCAACGATTAACGATTAGTTGTCAACTATTAAATTAATTGCCGACTACTTTGATAATCAATTAAAAGGTTTGAGGGTTTTTTTTAAGACAAAAAAAGTCAAAAATCTGTGATTACAGCTTCTTTAATGTGAATATTTTCTGGTTTCCTTCCTCTTGTATGATGGTAAACGGATGCATGAGGGACAAAACAAGACATTAGAGGACGTTGTCTTGGGCTTTGGGGAACACTGAGCAAAACTTTTCACCATTTTGTGAAGTTTTATAGACCAAGAAACTAATATATTAATAGAGGAAATAATCGTTAGATTAATTGACAGTTAAACTAATGGTTAGTTGCAGCTCTGTTAGACAGTGCTAAATGAAAGCAGATGAAGGTCTGACCACAAACTCATTTTTAAGTGCTCTGTTGCACTTTTATTTTACTTTTTCACGTTTTTAAACATATTATATTTTACAAAAAAAACATCTACATTTGATGTGCTGGGTATTAAGACTCATAATTCTGTTTAACTATACCTCAACTAGATTTAGAGGATAAGGTTGTCGAAATTCTGTATTTTTATTTGTGTCAGCGAATCCTTTTAAAACAATAATGTGTTAGTCTGTCTTTAGATACTTTAAGACATCCTCTGTCTGTTTGTGGCACTCAGCAGAAGTTCATGTGTTGCAACTGAAAATGTGCAGCAAAGCTTTAAAAACAGATCACAAAAATATATTCTTCTATTTTTACTAAAAGGCTGAATCATTCCTTAAAATATCTGGGCAGTGTAGTTTCTGGCGAACGTTACTTAAACATGAGTAAATGGTGCATTTGTTGGGCTGTATTTGCAGCTACAGATTTGACCTGTTATTGAACATTTACAGCAGCTGCGACAGTGAATGTGGGATTGACTCAATATAAACTAGAGTGCTTAGGTTATTTGTAATTACGGAACGTGTCACCCAGTGCAACAGTGTGGTTCATTTATATTTTTTTTGCACAACACTGGAGGTCTCAGCCACATACTGGTAATACTTACAATACTTCTTTTATCCAGAAGAATTAATACAGAATATTTCCAGACTTATCCTCTGTAACTGACACAAGTCGTGAGTACCAGTTATCTTAAGGATTCATACAGGTCAAACTTGTTTTATGAAGTCTGTTTTTATATTCTGCGACAGAACCAATTTCTCATGATGTCACTTTAATCTACAGTGTATTGTGCTCACTGTACGTACTGGTGTCTGTCATGCCTATGCCTGCATTTCTGCTGTGTGTGTGTGTTGTAGGCTGCAAAGGGAGGGTGAACATTTGAAACAATGGCTGCAAAGCATTGAGGAAAGAGTAGCGAAGGAGGAGGACGTTAGTCTCCTGCAAGAGGAAGCACTTCAACAAAGGTAAACTGCTTTCTGATTTCAGATGTGTGCTGTCCATCTATGTGTGGAAATATGAAAATCGTGCACGAAGGTCTGGAGGTCAAACTGTATCAAAAGCTTCTAAGAGATAGAAAAACTAAATCATAACGTTAATGTAAATGTGTTCAATTATGTGCAGAAGGCTGAAGAAAGTAGTAATAATCTGTAATCCAGCATGCTTGAACAGCACTTTCTTCTTGTGATTGTGATGAGTCAGGAATGATGGAGGTTGTATAGCCTGTTATTGCCCAGAGACGACTGACTCATCCTTAACTACATGACTGTTTGTTGTCATGCAAAAGGCTGGCTGGAGATCACGGAATAATTAATGACACAACTCATTATTATTCCCACTTGTTATTTCTTTTGATAATGAAGGAGCTGGAAGATTTAAAAGGTGTTTGATGTTTTTAAATTTAACATAATCACATTACCTTGAGGAAGTACACTGTTTGGAGGGTTAAGGATTGGTGTAGACTGCTGTAGCTTAAGCTTTTAATACAGTGCAGCATCATGTTACACACATAGCAGTGCAGTTATAAGTGTGTACTCCAAGTTGGATGATGCAGAGACTCTCTCATACTTTGATACATTGCTTTAATACAGAACTATTGATTAAATGTTGGTACATCTAAGTCATTCTCAGTCCCCTCATTAACATTTGAAAGTGGGAATAAGTGAGCTCACCATCACCTGTATCTATTCTGTCCAGGGCGAGGACAGAGGCCCTCCATCAGCTTGTGTCTTCCTTACGGAGGAGCACACTTCGGCAGTGTGCTGTGGTGGAAGAGAGCAGCAAACTGCTGCAACGATACCACAACTTTCAAACCAGCAGACTGCATGGCTGTACAGAGAAGCAGAGCTCTCTGAGCAGGGAATCCCCTCAATCCTGGGTTGGAGATCTGAGACGAGCCGATGACTCTCTCAGTATGCAGAGTGGTGTGGAGCAGAAACTTCACCATGCTCAAGTAAGAACACATTACCTACTCTGACTGAGCTGCTCAGTTTGTTTACATATCTCCGTAACTCCTCAAGTCTGAATCACATGTGAGCCAAGTGCCTCCTTCATTCTGCGGTGAGAGAAATTAATGATATCATATTCCAAATAAGTATTTTTTTACTTTGTTCTCATGTAGTTTTAAGAAGGCAGTTGTTGCAGTAGTGTGTAGTGTTGTACAAGGGCGTGGTCACACAGATGAGTTGTTTGTTTTCACCTGTTTCTACTTGTTCTCCAATAAGGAGTGTCCATTTTGGCAGGCGGATTTGTATGCGCAGACAAAAAAAGACAATCAGCAACTCACTATTCAGCTGCTGCAGTGACAGATCAGTGTGATCGCAGCGTGACTAATATGTAAAAATAAAATTTCAGGCTGCGGTGAGTGCGACGACAGAGAAGGAGGCTCGTCTCGAAGAGCTCAGGGTTACTGGAGACTGTCTTAGCCACAAAATGTGTGATGAGGACAACATAAAACTGGACATTCAGGACACCACTGAGGAAGCAGAGGAGCAGGGGAAGGACCTCCTCCAGTCAGGTCAGCCTTGTCACAGGTGAGTGGAGCCAGATCAGACTGTTGAGACACCCCTGACGTAAAGCTATAGCAGGGATGTGTAACAGCAGGAATCTGGTGATACGATACGAATCACGATAAGATAATGTGATATATTTAAGGTGTCTGCACGTCCTTTAAAAGTTTCAAAATGTCTTAAATTCAATTTAATAAATATTAGGTCCCGAAAATCATTAAGCAGTCTTACATTTGAATTTGAATTCAAATTATGCTGCATCAGATAACACACTCTGTCAACACATAACCCTGTACTCTGTTCTTACCCATTGGGACATGCTTATACTTCATTAACCCTGCTCACTTTGCACTTGTCATATTTACCTGTAGAGAGAAATTGCTACATTGCTGTGTGGAAGAAAGTAATGGTTAGATTAATTAAAGCAGCACCTGGTTATCTAAACTAAAGGAAACCGTTTTTACCTAAGACTGTCATCTGTATTAGACCAGAAGTGCAATATGTATTGATGTTTACCTGCTGTGTGTATTTAAATATGTAAAATTGGGGTTTATCTAAAAAATAAGGTCTTGAATTCAATTAAACCTTGTCTTAAAAAGCATTACATTCAGTTTTCTGACACCTGTAGAGTCGCTGATATTGCAATACTGAAAGCATGGAGGTAGAGTGCTATTTTGTTGAACCTAATTTTAGGAAAACTGTCATGTCGATTATAACATCCAACATCATGGGGCAACTGGGGCAAAGGAATTTACATTAACACATTCCTTGCATGTAAACTAATTAAGTTAATTAAAAATCGATACAGCGTTTTCAAAAATCAATACAATATCACGAAACATAATATCACATTATTTTCTTACACCCCTAAGCTACATCGCAACATACAGGACTTGTTGATTCCTCGCCTGTCCATTTACCAAGATTTACTCCCCTCCAGCTAAGTTTCTCCCTCTCTTCATTTTCCCAACTCATCCACCGGCCCTGCTTTGCCTACGAGACTGCTCTTGTCAAACTAGCAGCCTCTCCTTGCCTCTGAAATTCTTCTACACCCTCTTTCCTCCTGCCAACTGCTGGTGCTTTGTTCCATGTACAGTAGGCTGTGGTATGCTGAGTCCAAACCCCCCCACACCCATGCTGTACCTGCATTGCAAACTCCCTGCCTGGGCCTGTAAAACTGCCTTCCTAGGGTTACTCTTTCTGTACTTCATACTGCTGTATACCTAGACTCCTAGAGCACCATCTTCAGTATTGCTTTTGCAAATTTAAACTCTGTTAAACTGGTTGTAGGGAGCTCCAAAATATCATGTAAGGCAGAGTGGGGCCAGCAACTCTCTATATCTTCCCTACCTTTGAAATGGGTTCATCATACACTGTCAGGGGCCACTCAGTTTGAGTTTGGTCCAATGTCCCTGTACTCTTAATGTCTTCCACTAAGAGCTGCATCATAGCACCTACCTAAACCTTTAACTTGCTCTTCTAACACTCCTCGTCCATATAAAACCAGCACACCCTTTACAATAGAAATACTCCTTGATTCCTCTGGCTTATCCTTCATCCCAGCCCACTTTGTTATACGGACTTTCAGTTGGCGTGCTAAGCCGCACCCCAAATGCACCCTCATCAGAGTGGGGTCAAAGCACACCCGACCCACCTCCATCCAGAAACTGCCTGTGAAGTTGTAGTAGTATTGTAATTCAGAATGCTCTGTTATTCTCTCTTTGTTTCTCTTGGTCCACCAGTGCTCTACAACCTGATCCAGACCTCACCTCCTCCTACCTGGACGGAAAACAGCAGGCCTGCCGCAAAGTGGAGGAGCTGCAGCGCAGAACTGCTCAGCTCCCCACTTTATTCCCGTGGCCTGGCACTTCTGAGCGCAGACAAACCTGCCTTGTAGCCCATCAGCTGCAGGATGAGGCTGAATCCCTGCAATTAACTCTTACCAGCCTGGCTGAGCAGAGGACAGAGCTGGCTGAACAAACCGACAGCACCGGCGATCCCTCCTCGGCTGAGGTGGACACCTGCTTGTCATCACTGATGGAGGAGGTGAAGGTAAAACTTTTCATGTCCAAGTGATAAGCTTGTTTTAGCACAGTGATTCCCAAACAGGGGTACTTGTACTTCTGCAGTTGCATGGGAGTGCATGACAATCACCATCCAAATATGATTACAAATTACATTACAAATAGTAATTATATAACATTGCAAATTGGTGATGCTGGTCTTTATTATATTAACTTTTTTATAGTTACTGTCACAGTAACCGGCAAGCTACTGCTGAAACACACCTCTTATTAACCTGAGAATTGTAGCACCAACATGTTGTCCTTTATATCACGTATAAACGAGTCAGCAGCTTGACATAGTTAGCTAAAATTAATGGATAAACAGGTGAAAACATTTGCTAAATTTAATGGAAAAGCAGTGCAATTGTTAGCTAAAAATAATATAAAACAGTCACAATAATTAGATAAAGGTTTTTGATAAACAGTTGAAACCAAAAGTGAAAACAGGTGAAATAGTTGGCTAAAAGTAGAAGATAAACAGGTGGAATAATTAATTAAATTATTGGAAAAACAAATGAACACATTAGCCAAAAGTAATGGAAAAACTAAAAAAAAGTTAACAATAATAATAATAATAATAATAATAATAATGATAATAATACTATAAAAAAAAGAATAATATAAAAACAGGTAAATAATTATATAAAAACACATACTATAATTAGATAAAGGTATTTAACAGTTGAAAGAAAGTCCAAAAGTTGACAGTTCAAAGAGTTAGCTCAAAGTAATAGAACAACAATGAAATTATTTTCCAAAAATAATATGTAAACAGTTGAAATAGTGAGCAAAATGTAATGGATAAAATGTTAAATAATTAGGTAAAGGCTGAAATGTGCAGCATTAGCTACCAGTAATGGATAAATGGATAAAAGGTCCACCCTCTGCCACTCAAAGTGGTCTTATAGCTGAACATCTTCATCACCATAATCAACAATTTTTTTTATATTCTGCCCTCCTTTACCTTTTTAAATGCCAAAGAATCAGAAACAGGATTCGATAAGTACCATAATGATTATCAGTATTAGATACAGGACTTACAAGACCTAAATGATTACTCAAACATAATTCCTCATGTGCAATGTAAATTACAGTAAAATAAATTACAGTTAATATGAACGGTGTCTCATGTGGCAGAGTTACACGTTTACCATTCCCCTTTTTAAATCCTGAGCAAAACAAATTTCCACTCCCCACTACCTAAAAATATTTTTTAAAAAAATTCACTTCATGTGGCGTTAATATCCACCTAAATATCCGTTGAGATTAACATATTTGGAGCATTTGGATTTGTTGAGTCGAAGTGATACTTGAGCTCATCTGATAGGGATGTCAGAACCACTGGTTTACTATAATCACAGTAAGTCTGTGAAATGATACATAAGCCCTCTGACTGTGACTTGGTTTGCCTGAAATGTCCACAGGGTGTGTGTTCCCGCCTCGAGGAAGGTGTGTGTAATGAGGAGCATTTTGGCCAGTCACTGCAGGACTGCCGCCATAAATTGACATCCCTTCAGGAAAGGATGTCAGCCTGTCAAGCCCAGGAAGAAAGCTCAGCTGGACTGATCACTGATGTACTCGCTCTGGAGGTGAGGTTCATTAAGTTAACTGACCTGATAAATCATACCATGTTACAGTTTTTTTTTTCATATTCCCTCTGCATTAAGGGGATGGAGAATTTTCCAACACTAGGCCACCTCTATTGTATTTCTCTTTATAAGAACATTATTTGTTATTCTTTCTACTTTTCAGGCTTTGCTACAAGAAGTAACCGACATAGAAAAAGATCTTTTACAAATAGTAACACTCAAGGACTACATCACAGCTAGTCTATTAGCAGAGGCCCAGGCCAGCCTCTCCCAGCAAGTCAGCAACCTCCAAAGCCACAAGAGGGCACTAGACAGCAGCATCAGAGAACATCTGGCCCTGCTCACAGAAAACAGGAACCTGAGAGTCCAGCAAGTGAAGGAAGAGATCTCCTGTGTGCAAACAACTCTGAAAGATCTGGCTGAAAATCTGAGTGGGAACTGTGAAGTTTCGCCTGATACCAACCAGCTTAAACAGCAGTGGTACACATTACAGGTATCATTGAAATATCCTTTATAATGCTGCCAATTAACAGTGTATAACAAGTTCATGGAGGAATATAGAAGCATTAACAAAGCATTTATGTCCCTCTCAGGACTGTGATACCAGGCTGACAGAGCTGGCTGCAAGAGTTAATGACCTGAAGAAGACTGGAGAGTTGGGCATCTCTCAAGAGCCGCTGCATGCTGAAGTCACTTTGACTGTTGAGGCTGTTGCTAAAGACCTTAACAGGTACTTCACCTCATTATGTAATTATCAGGGACCTGCATGGAGGTAAATGGACATTCATGCAGCTCAAAATTAAATTGTTTTATGCCACAAATTTGGCAGAGAATCCTCTTCTTTAAAAAAAAAAAAAAAAAAGTCAAAGGTTTCTGGACCTATGGCAGAGTTCTTGAAGGAGTAAGATGGATTAGGGTTAGGGTTAGGGTTTCGAATGTAATTATTAAAAAAAGGGTTGGAATGAAGGCTCCATGTATTTAAACTCATTTTCCCAAACTTGTTTGTTTTCTCTCTCTCACGTTCTCACCGTAGCATCACGTCCGCTCTTCTACAAAAGAAGCAGGAGTGTGCTGAAAACACTGCTAACAGGGTGAGACAGCTAATCAGCCAGCTACAGAAGTGGAGTCAAACAGTACGAGCTGAACCATCATCACACAGCCAGGTACAACTCACCAACGTGTCCTTACATTTGTCCATGAATGCTCAGAATATTAACGAATATGCACATTTATATAACAAACTTAAAAAATGTTCTTTTGTCCTCAAACAAAAACAGAAGTAAATATTATCAACAATTCAATCTCATTTATTCAGTTAGATTCAAATGATCAGGTTGTCTTTTTCTGTTACACACCATAAAAAGTTCAAACCCAACAATGGGTTTCCTTGTGGCTTAATACTTTAAGACATCCCCACCCTGTCTGTGGCTCACGGCCTCAAGCCCATTGATTCCTGCTGACGATTCAAATCTGTAAAAACTGGTCACAAATGTATACTTTAATCTTTAAAAGGTTCTGTAGTTTCCTTAAATAGCTGGGCACTGCAGTTTTTAGCAAATATTACTCAAAGAGACCTAAATGGTGCATTTGTTGTGGACTATTTGATCTTTTGATGGATTTTATTGTCTTTAAAAAATGTAGAAAATGGCCAGTCTCATCCAACATGAGCACTTTTAAATTTTGCAACAGTGAAGACTAGGAAGTTTTTAAAAACGATGCGATTGTCTGTTGTCTCGAACTTCTGGAATCAAATCCTTGCACTTTGTGTTAATACCAACACTACTACCTTTTGCTACATCTACCTTAGACAAAACCCTTGATTTCTTTACCCAGCAGGACTTTACGGTCTGTTGTTGAGCTGTTTTTAAAATGCCATCGGTTCATCCTCTGCTCTTGAATAAGACAACAAGAGGCTGTACATTGTGAACATAATAAACAGTCCTCACAGGGACTAATTTTGTCAAAGGTTTGCTTTTTGGGATTAGTAAAGATCAGAAACATGTTGGGACTCATTTTCCATCAGCTTTACCAGCTGCTGCTGCCAAGGTCTCTGAAAGCTACACTCCAACTGTGCTATTCCTGTTCTGCTGGTCTTCGTCATTATAGTCATAATTATGTACATTATTATGCTGATGTCTGTGAAATAAAATGACAACCCTTTGTTAATGTGGTTGGAGAAGATTCTCAGTCATCCAGGTCATGGTAATCATAAGTGCTGTATCGTAGCCAATTGGACTTGCTGGAGTTTCTTGAAGACGTTTCACCTCTCATCCAAGAGGTTTCTTCAGTTCTCTTTATTAATCTTAAAATGCAACATTATGCACCTTAGCAACTTGTACATCTAACTAGTGCATCAGTTAGATTTGGTGTTCATTCTTGAAGAAAATATCTCAACAAATATCAGATTGATTGCCATGACATGTTGTACCAACATTCATGGTGCCCAGAGAATGAATCCTAATTACTTTGATGATCCCTTGATTTTTCATCTAGTGTCATCAGCAGGTCAAAATGTTCACATGTCCTGTAAATATCCCAACATCTACAGGATAGATTGGCACAAAATTTTGTACAAACATTCAGGGTTTCCAGATGACGAATCCTAATGACTTTGGTGATCCCATGGCTTTTTCTCTCGCACCACCATGAGGTAGATATGTGTGGTATTGAGTAAAATGTCTCAGCAGCAAATGGATAGACTGCCTTTAGGTTGTTTGTAGACATTCATGTTCCCCCCAGGATAAACTGTAATAACCTTGAATAATGACATTCTGAAGTATAGTTCACTTGTAAAAACATCTACTTTATTGAGTTTATGTATCTGTCTGTGTTCTTGCAGGCTGCTTTGAATGAGGGTTTGAGACTTCAGCAAGATCTTCGTGAACTGCTGTCAGAACGAGATATTCTTCTATACCGTCTGGGGAAAAAAGTGACAAAGAAACTGCAGAAAAGGGCCTCAGCTGCTCTCAATGAAAGCACACTTGCACTTGAAACCTTATCCAAATTCCTGGTGAGCTTCTAAAAATTCACAGAACTGTACCATCCAATACTATAACTGATAATTCAAGGATTTTGTGGTTAATATTTGTGCTCAATTTGGTAGGTTGCACAGGGCAGTCAAGGTCATTGTGAAGTGGAGTTGGACAAAGATTTGCCAGGCAGAGTTGTTGAAGAAACTTGTAGCAGCGAAAGTGATGCACCGTACTTGGCTTCTGCTGATGAAACTACAGCCATGTGTCCTCCTGCTTCTCCGTCAGCAATAAACAACAAAGAAAACTCTTCAAGTGATCAGAATGACAACAAACTTGAAACTAAAGGCCCACTGGAAACAGACAAAGAAGATGTCCCTAAGCAGTTCTCATCTGCAGCGGATGTTTTCAAATCACAACTTTTAACATCAACTCCACCAACATTCAACTTAAAGAAATCTGAACCATTGCAGGAAGACACTACCTCAACCCAGGACTCTAAGTCAACTATATACAAAGACAACACCAAAGAAATCACTTCAGCACACTGTGTCACACCCCTGGTTGGATCCCCAGGGACAAAGCCAGACAGCACCCCTCTTTCTAACCCTGAAAGTGTGTCTGAGCATTTAGCAGCACAATCAGAGACGTTTAAGGCAGTCACAGATGCTCATGAAGAACACTGTGAGGACATCGGTGTGACCCCAAAGAAGGTGTATACAATAATGTTAGACATAGAGCCACAGGACACGCAGAAAATTGAAAGTGTTGGTCCAGATGCACCCAGATGTTCTCAGGGAGCAGAGCTTTGTGATACAACACTCACAGAAGTTTCAACTATTCCTGAGAAAAATTCTGGACTCTTAAACAGTCCTGAATCAGACTTTCAAGGCTTTCTTCTAGCCGCAGATACAGATATATCGAAGCCACTTGCCGATGCCCCAGAAACTGAGAAGTACCGTGAGGATATCAGTGAGAGCTCAGATAAAGTGTATACAATAGTGTTGGACATTGAACCACAGGACACGCAGAAAAATGAAAGTGTTGGTCCAGATGCACTCAGATGTTCTCAGGAAGCAGAGCTTTGTGATACAACGCTCACAAAAGTTTCAACTATTCCTGAGAAAAATTCTGGACTCTTAACCAGTCCTGAATCAGACTTGGAGAGCCTTCATCTAGCCGCACAAACAGATACACTGAAGGCACTCACTGATGCCCCAGAAAAGGAGAAATACTGCGAGGATGTCAGTGAGAGTTCAGATAAAGTGTATTCAACAGTGTTGGACATAGAGCCACAGGACATGCAGAAAAACGAAAGTGTCGGTCCAGATGCACTCAGATGTTCTCAGGCAGCAGAGCTCTGTGATACAACGCTCACAGAAGATTCAACTATTCCTGAGGAAAAATCTGGACTCTTGAACAGTCCTGAATTAGATTTTACAAGCCTTCATCTAGCAGCACAAACAGATACATCGACAGCACTCACTGATGCCCCAGAAAAGGAGAAATACTGTGAGGATATCAGTGAGAGCTCAGATAAAGTGTATACAATAGTGTTGGACATAGAGTTGCCTGATTTCAAGCCACAGGACAGTGTTGGAGCCAGCAGACCAGATGTTCTCAGCTGTTCACAGGGGGCAGAGCTTTGTGATACAACGCTCACAGAAGTTTCAACTATTCCTGAGAAAAATTCTGGACTCTTAAACAGTCCTGAATCAGACTTTCAAAGCCTTCATCTAGTCGCAGATACAGATATATCAAAGCCACTTGCCGATGCCCCAGAAACTGAGAAGTACCGTGAGGATATCAGTGAGAGCTCAGATAAAGTGTATACAACAGTGTTGGACATAGAGCTGCCTGATTTCAAGCCACAGGACAGTGTTGGAGCCAGCAGACCAGATGTTCTCAGCTGTTCACAGGGGGCAGAGCTTTGTGATGCAAAGCTCACAGAAGTTTCAAGTATTCCTGAGACGGAATCTGGACTTCTTACAACATTGGCGAGTCCCGAATCAGATAAAACAGGCACGGAAAATCATTCTTTAAAGAGCTATGCATTAAATGAGTCTCAAGTGACACACTCGCTGCCAGAAAACCCCTCAGCATTAGTAAGTACAGAGCTGGACGGGGTAAAATCCACAAGTGCCGAATTATCATGCAAGGAAAAGTCAGAAACCCCTAAATTGATGCACAGTGAGGTGTTGAATTCCTCCAGCTCATGTGGCACTGTTGCTGAATGTCAGCTCACCGGTGCACACACAGCAGAAACAACATCTCCGGATGTCAAACAAGAGGAGACGACAGATTTCTGTCACGCTGCAAAGCAAACAATGAGCTCAGTCTTTTGCACTGCGGAGGGAGATGCCATAACCGCAACACAAATACCTGCTGGTGACAATAAACAAATGAATGTTGCTGACACTGCACAGAGCAAAGGTACAGGACAGCTGGAGGTGGCAGATGGAGAAAAAACAGAAGAAGCAAGTGACCCTGAACACCTGGAGTCCAAACTTTTAAAAGGGCCAAAAAGACGAGAAAAAGCTACGCCGCTGTTTGAAGAAAGTGAATGGAAGGTAGCTGCATCGCTGGAGGACACTGAGGTGACACAGAAACAGGTAGATGTCATGTTAAAAATAATTGGTTTCCTACTTTTGCTTCCTTGAATCATCCTTCTTCTCAGAATTTGCTTCACTGGTCTTTTAAGGTAGTGGTTTCCAACATTTTTGGATTGTGCATCCCCAAAACAAAGCATTGTTTTCTTGTTTACTCTGTCAGTTCCACCAGAAAGTGATTTTTACACTTGTTCTGAAGGCATAAAGAGTTCACATTATGGAGCAAATCACTAAAACAACCAAAGACTAGAGGAAAATATGGAAATGTATCCTGGTAATCATTCATTGACCTCTCAAATTTATCAAGAAGTAACCTGATACTGAAAACAATTTAAATGCTAAGGCTATTTAAGCCACAGTGGAAGTAGTACAACATAATGGAGTGCTAACAGGAAATGAGAAGGCAGAGAGAGACAGTAAGAGGACACTCAACCAAGGTTTCAGCTGGACTCAAACATGGGACACTGTGATTACATCCTTTAAAATCATTAGAGCAACAAAGTCTTAAAAACAGTAATAAAACTTTGAGCTTGTTGAATGATTAAAAAAAAAAACTGCTGGCAGAAGACCCAGATGTCCCAGCTGAATCCACAGTCCTGTTTTTCCTAAACTGCACTTATCAAACAGGGTCTACTTTGACATTTACAAACCACTCTTCTTCCCCTATCTTACCTTCATGTGAGAGAAGGTGACATTTTATCCTAAATTCAATCCTAAATTTAGCTGAAACTTGCTTTTAGTTTATTTATTCCTCCCACTATGTGGCATTTCAGTGTTGTACTTTTGCCAAGTCCAGTCATACAGTTTTGACATTCTTTTTGTGGAACATTGGTCATCCAGTGGAAAGAAATGTATTTTTGCAACTGTCCTAAAATGACGCAAGTACTAATGGTCCCAGTTTTAAACATGTGGTTAATAGCCACAGTTTCTCACCAAAACTGTGTGGTTAGGTTTAGATAAAAGATCATGGTTTGGCTTAAAACAAGTCCGCTTCTTATGTATTAATTGCATTGTAATACCATGGTTCTGAGTAGTATCACGATACCACAGCGAAAATGAGGCAGATGTGCCTTTTGTCACTTATGAAAAGATAAATCACTTTTCTATAATACATCAATGACATTTCAGTGGAATAAATTACTTATTGACTTATTCATACTTCAAAAACAGCACCAATCAGTGATTAACATAGGGGGGATCAAAATAAAATAAATAAATAAAATAAAAATCAACCAGCCACCCTCCTCCCCTGACAAGTAAAGAACAGTCCCTTCATAAGTAATGAACAGTCCCTAAAGTGCGGTGAGGTCTGTGGGCCGTTACTGCCAGAAAGAGAGAAATGTGAAAGGCTCGTTTCTCCTCTGACACATCACATACCTGTGTTCGGCTGGCTCGGCTGTTCAGGTACTTCTGGGCAGTCATGACACCAAGAAGAGGATATTATTGGAACCGACTTCTCCGTCGCCAGTAAGCCGATGGCTGCCGTATTTGACAGGAATACATTAACGTTACTGTCTGTGTCTGTGACCCCCGTTCAACCCACAACCGATGGGATTTGCCTTTCGTTTCTGCTGCTGGTTGAAATCTGTAGGCTGCTCGCACAGCGTGCTGAATGATTTAAGCCTATTTTGCTCGCTCAAAACTATTTTTAGTCGCAAATGCGAGTGCCGTGACGGACGGATCGCCACACTACCGACATTTTATTCCGCCCATCACGGCACGCCGTTTGATTGCGTTATCAAAACGGCGCTATTATTCGGCCTTGCCTTTAACTTATTCCACCGAATACCGAATGTGTGTTTTTTTGCAATATTCGGCCGAATATATTCGGTTAGCGAATATTCAGTGCATCCCTAACACAAACCCTGGTCTCCTGGGTGAAAGTCCTATGTTTGTTTGATCCATCCACTACACATATCTCCCACCTTGTGCAGACTTTGTTGCTCTTTATACTAGGTCATCTGACTGGAAGTTGCTGTCCAACAAAAAACTTAAATATGGGTAGCAATAAGCTGCTTGCACTTCCACTTTTTGGGTGAGGGTGGGCTGTATTTTCTCGTGACAGATGGATGAAATCCATGTAGCATATTGCCTTGATTCCTCCACAGAATGACTCATAAACTGCACAAAACAATGATGCACTACAGTATGCAACAAAAACGCAAAAGTGCATGTTGAACAATGAAAACAGGCCTACATATAACTTACACTCAAACATTAGACTCTCAGTCTTGATGAGGACGATGGAGCAAAGTCTTTCTTGAAGAAAAAAAAAGCATGGAAAGTTACACCCATTCAGGAATGATCCACCAGCTCAGCCTCCATTAGCTCCTAAGACAGATAAGAAATGAGTTTGAAAGCAGGCTAACAATAAAGATGATGAGGCAGAAATAGACAGCTAGACTTGCACTGACATCCACAGAAACAAAGGAAGTATCTGCCTTTAATACCAGTAAAAAAAGAATAAGACAGTTGCCTGGAAGACAGGAAAGAAAACACACATTACTACTTGACTACTGTTGATACTATTTTTTTGCCTCCTGCAAATGTGCTAGATTTAATGCTGATGATGCGTTCACTGCTCCTCAGTCATTAGATGTGTTTTGATAAATACAAGCCATGGTGCTCAAAGGGATTGAGGAATTTCTCACAAGGATAATCTGTCATTATTGTCAATAATAACAGCACTCCGTCTCGCTGTAAATAGCTGACATTTGTGTCAAAGGACAAATGCTGAGCATCTTCAAATGTACCATAATATCTGTAATTAAGAAACCGTAAATTTCCTGACCTTATTTGGCCGCTAATTAGATTTATTAAAGGGTGTTAAAAGGGTGTTGTTACATTGGTCATATGCAACTAAATGTTGACACTTCTTCTTCTGAGACAGAAATATTTGACTTCAACAATATAAGATATTCTTTTTTGTGCTGTTTTCCCCCCAAACCAATCAGAAGCTTGCTGTATGTTTTCAAACTCTCTTCCCGCTCTACCTGCACCCTGCTGCAAGACACATCTTGGTCATGCCGAAAATATTTCACAAGGCACCTCCCCTGTTTGTAATCCAGTAACCTAGCAGTTCATGTCATGTTTTGGTGTTTGCCCTGTCTACCCAAGTTATAACAGATCACTTAATTCTTTTGAGAAGCAAGGGAGGAAGCACGTTATAGATGAATAGAGTCCCTCTCCCTCGGGGCAGACTGCTCCCTACTCAGGCACATTCTTGTGTTAACTGTACTGACTCGCCAGGCCACCGGCAACATAGTAGTATTTACCACTGTGTAGCAGGGAAAGAACAGGAAGCTCTGTTATTATAAGTGGACAAACACGGGGAAGGAGGACGCTTAAATGTGACACCACCCCTGTCTTATGTGTTTGTAGCGTCAGAGACAAGAAAGCATGGAGCCTGAGAGGACAGCGCCGGGTTTGGAAGCTGATCTGCAGGCTTGGGAGGCGACAGGTGGATCAACAGAGTCCTACAAACAAGAGTCCACCATGCAGGATGTTTTGTCTGAGATCCAGAGCTTGGTGGAAAGAAGTAACATAATAAATGTGAGTATCAACTTGTTTTATGGAATAAAAAACAGTTTGCTGCACCTCTTTCATTTAGATCTACTGTTGCAAAACATGTTGCTGTGAGTTAATACACTGATTTGTTTAAGTCTGTGTGTGTGTGTGTGTGTGTGTGTGTGTGTGTGTGTGTGTGTGTGTGTACAAAAGTTTAAATTCTGAGCTGACTGAAGGACTTAAAAACACAGGTTATTTATTCACTGTTAATGGCACTAATGTGTTCCGTTTAGTAGCACACAGTTTGTTTATTAGACACAGAAATGAAAGATTTCAGACTTTAAACATAACTGCATCCCTCAGAGGGTCCAGTAACAGCAAGAAGTCTTATCTGTTAAGCAGTGAACAGATAAGAGCAGCAATGTTTTGATCAATGTTTGTATATATTCCCATGATGCTGCTGACAGGAAGATCCACAAGATGGACCGGTGACATGCAATGATTTCCTGCAGGGTCATCAGTGGGTCTAATTACTCACAGTATACAGTCTGTGACTTGTGGTGCCACAGTTTGACTCTTATTTTCAGTGCTAAGTGTGATATTGTTTGATTTTGGAAGACTATTCATCATGAAGACACGTATAACCTTGACAAGAAGAAAACTAAAAGAAACAACCAAACAAATGTGTGCAATTTTATCGGTCTCTGGTTATTTCTGGTCATTGCATTGCAGATAGATCAATGTTGTTCATTTTACCTGTATTTTCATGATCAGATAATTTACTTCTCAAGGAATAATACCAACATTTTCTTAATACCAGGTTCTAAAAATGTGAGAATTTGATTGTTTTTCTTTGTTTTATGAGATAGTAAATCGATCATTTTGGGGGTTTGGACTACTGGTCAAACAAAACAAGCAGAATAACTGACAACAGTTTCCCCACTATTTTAAAATTGTTTATTATTATAGCGGACACCACACATTGATTTAAACTGGTACCTGAAGTCTTCTCCTGGTGAACCAGAGATTCGCTTGGTACGAACTGTCCAAAAAGTTCTGGCATGTCGCTACCAACCAGCACGACTCGATGTCACTGCAATGGCCAAACAACTGCAGGAGGCAGAGGTATTTTGCACTTCAGTTTACCTCTTTTCCTTCTTTATGTCAAATATACTTAGCAAAGCACTTCAGTTTGTTGTAGCTGAATGTTTTTCTAAATAAGGTAAAATGAAGTAAAATGTAAATGTGTATCTTTCTCACAAAATTTGAAATGTAGAAATGTTAAAAAAAAAAAGGGTTCAGTTCTAACCCACAGCTCTTTGCTGCATATCATCTCCTTTCTCTACACTTTTCCTGTCACTCTTAAGCTGTACTATCAAAATTATTTCATCTCATGTCTGTTCTGTCCGCTGTAGGACTACAGGCGCTGTGTGCAGGAGCAAGTGGCTACTATCAAAAGCATGAGCAGTGCAAGGATTTGTGACCCAGTGGCCTTGAGAAGAGTTGAAGGACAGTGTTGTGCTGCACTGCTGGATGCCTCTGCCACAGCGCAGGTCAAAGCAACACAGCTTGATCAGGTCAAACAGTATCACAGACAGATGAAGATCACCAGAGCTTTTATGGAGGTTGTAGCCACTGAGAAAGACAAAATGAGCTTGTGAGTAACTGATTTAAAACTGAGCTTAGTTAATACAATTAAGTTATCATCAACTTAATTGTATTTTTTGTGTACCTGATACACAAAACAATCACTCATTTGTTGTTTTTTATTTCAGAAATACTTTAGGAAGCAGCGCTCTTCAGGCTGACAAACTCCACGCCCTGCTGCAAACCATGGTACAGAAAAAAGACATGATAGATGGGCTCCTCCAGTTAGGTAGCCAGTTGTCGGTCCACTTGAGCAACGCTGAGAGTTCAGGTGCTCTTCTTGCCCAGCTTGGAGATGTCCAGGAAGAATGGAGACTTTTAGAAGGAAGTATCAAACGAGCTCTGCAGCACGCCTCAAGCTCCACCTCTCAATCCTCTCTCTTAATAAAAGAGGCCGAACTGCTTAAAGCCAAGCTTGAAGCTCTCCAGAAATCCGACTTTCAAAGCCACAACAGCAAAAGTGCTTTAGAATATGTTTGTCTGACCACAGACCTCAAGCTGTACAACCAGCTTTATCTGCACTTACAGTCCCAGTCAGATGCTCTTGTGCATTTCTCTCTTGGTCAGAAAGAGAAGGACGAGATCAGACGTAATCTTAAGGAACTGGGGTCCTTGCTAAATGTCACCAAGGGTAAGTTTGACACTTCCACATTCAGCTGTGGCAGCATTTCTTCTGCTAAGATCAACAAGCAACTACAAGACCTGATTATATGGGCCAAGCAGGCAGAAAACCACATCTCTATTGGGAAAAAGTTAGCTCTTTTCCCAGAGGAGGCTCGTTTTCAGATTACTGAGATGAAGAAATTCCAAAATGATATCTGGTTTAGAAGATCCAAGATGCAAGAAGAAGTTGAGCATATGAAAGATGTAGTCTCTGATATGGAAAAGGAGGAAAGTGATCACGTGTTGAAGACAGTAGAAGACCTGTATGAGGCCATTGCTGACAGCTTGGATCATGTTCTTGATACCATGAAGAAAAATCTGCAGGAGAGGGAGAAACTTTTATGCCAGCTCGCTAGCATGGATGCCTGGCTAGCAGAAACACATGCTGAAAGAGATCCCTGCACCCATGTTGACAATGTCTCAAAAGCTAACATCAGAAAGCTGGAGAGCAAGCTAAAAAGTCACAAATCAGCCACAGTGGAGATCGAAATCCAACTGAAACAGGTGGAAGCAATGGGAGAAATTTGCAAGGAAATAGCTGTAGGGTTGAGTCCAGGAGAGAGCCGCTACCTTGTCAACAGACTGTCAGGCCTTTGGACAGAATTAGATGGATTGTTAGCTCATGAGAAAGCAGCCAGCTGGGAATTGGAGGAGCTGATTCATGAGCGAACCACTTCAGATGAGGAGTTAGCCACCATCCAGGCTAGCTTAAAGCAAATCTCCACCGATGTGGAGCAGCAAAGATTCCCTTTAACACAGGAAACCCTTTCAACAATTGCACATTTGAAGCACATGCTAATGGAGCATCAATGTCAAGCACAAGAGCTTGAGCACTGCCAGGAGGCCAAGCGAAGCTCCCTGCTGAGCACCATTGGGGAACTGCAAGACCAATGCAAAGCTCTGACTATTAATGCTACTGAGCAAGACAAATATCTGCACCTGAGGAGACAAATGGAGGAATCTAGAGACATTACAAAAGAGCAAATCCAGCGTGCCAAAGATAAAACAATAAGTGTGGTAGAGAGGTTCAGACTGTGCCAAATACTCCTGGTTGAGCTTCCCCTGTTGAAGACACAGTGTCAAGAAGCAGCAGACCAATTGGAGGCTGTAGCTCAGGAGTTGTACCCATCTGAGCTGAATGCAGAGAGGCAGAGGATCCACCACACTGTGGAAACTTTAGTCTCCTGGGAGTTCTCTGTCACAGATGATATCAAAAAGCTAGAGGCCAAGCTTCTGCGAGGTCTGCAGTTTTCCTCCGAGCTTCCCAACTTAAAAGAGCTTTTCCTAACAACAAGAGCAGAGCTGGCGGAAGCCGAACCAGTAAATCCAGATGAAAGAGCCATTGATACTGCACTTAGAAGAAATTGGGTTATTTGGAGAAATATGGAGTCTGGGATGAGGGTGTTGGAAGGTCTGGCACGGAAAGAAAAGGTTAACCTGAAGAACTACAAGGACCTGTACTCTCTTAGGGATGCAACCATGCAAGAGTGCCATTTACGAATGGTAAGCATGAATGATCTGAAAAAATACAGCCTATTTTTAGAGAATTTTTAGCTTTGCAATTCATATTTTTGTGTTGTTTTATCTGAACTATGTTTGATCATGTAACATGTATCCAACAGGAGAGTTTATGCCAGGCGAGAGAATCCCTGAAAGACTACCAGTGGGCTGCTCAAGGAGCAATAGGCTTCCTTCATAATGCTGAATCCACCTTCTTATCAGCTACCGGAGGGTTTTTGGACTGTACTGAGGAGAAAAGACAGACCCAGCAGGCTCTAGAAGCCCTTGAAGATGGATTTCAGGCTCATATAAGCCACCTTGCAGACCTGGTGCCCCAACAACCCTGCCTCTCCTGCCCAAAGCAGCTTCACATCAGCATCCTCAGTCAGTTGTTGGTGGGAAGAGCCATACTCGAGGCCCAAGCCCAGCTCAGGCTGGAGTCCTTGCAGAGGTACTGGTTGTTCTCACCTCAATGAAGTGCTTCGGCATAGCGTTTGTTGTGATTATTTTTTTGTTTTTCTAAATGAAACATTTAAAAGCCAAATTTCTCACAGGTGTGAAATAAGTGGGCCAAGCCACAGGAAGTGCCATGAAGACATACGTCAGCGTCTTTCAGGGCTTGAAACCAAGCTTTCAGACTGTGCCGCAGTACAAGTGACATCGTATGACAAATGTGTTGCCCAACAAAAAAGAGCCAAAGTAGGTTTGATGCAGCATTTGTTTGAGTATACATTTGTCTACATGTATCGGATCTACTTGAACCTTGCAGGTCGAAGACTTTGACAGTTTACAACGGTTAGCTTTTAGCAATGCTAACAGCATGTCTCTATGGGTGCCTCTTTGGTCCAGACTGAAATATGGACCGAAGAGCTATGGATGGGTTACCAACCAACTATGGATTACCAGAGATTTTTTACAAATATTCATAGACACTAAAGGACAAATCCTTTCCTGAATTTTTCTCTTGTGCAATCATCAGGTTTATTGGTTGGTCAGATGGATGGATTTAGCTATTAAAGCACCTGTATGACTTAAAAGCATAGCTGTGACTCTTACTCCTTATTTTACCAGTTTGGAGTAGCACATGTACCATTTTCATAGGAATACACTGGAAATTTTGACTGACATGTCGTATATGTAAAAGAAAACGAATGCTGCCTGCTTCAGATTTTAACTTGAGCTTCATTCCATCTCTTCAATAAGCTTCTGATGGAAGATCTTCGCAGCCTTGCTGGTAAGATAGAAGAACTGAGAGCTGGATGTCCGATGCAGGGCTGTGGGGTTGGAAAGGGTGGCGAGCTGGGCGCCTTCTGGAGACGCTGGGTATCATTACGCCGTGGTGTCGGCCTACTGATGGCACATACAGAACAGAGAGGAGAGGAATGGAAGGACATCACTACAAGTGTGAGTTTTACCAACAACAGATCCTCTTACAGCTTTTGCATCCAAATATAACCTAATGTTCAGTAACATGTATAAATGAATACAAACAAACAAATAAATAAATGCAGTTTCATTCACAGTTTACAGTTTACATCAAAAACAAGCCGTAAAGGACAGAGCAAAGTAAGACACAGATATACTGAGGAATAATTCCATTCTTTTGTTTAGATGGAGCAGTGCTGCAGCTTGTTGGCCAGTCTTCAAGCCGAGGTTCCTGACTCCGCCACTGTGAGCTTCACTCAAGAGGAGCCCCTGGAGCTTCTGGCTCAGGCTGAGATACACCAGGCGGGGCTGGAGCAGGAGCAGCAGGCCTTAGCCTCCCTGGAGCATCGACTGGAGCACGCCCTGAGCTTATCTAGGTCCCAGGAGCCCATCAGCCCCGGACCTGTGGGCAAAACACTAGTGAAGATCCAAGAGAATGTCAGGAGGTGGGGTTTGTTTGATTTTGATATACATGATGAAATCGATTACTCATTATTGTCATGGATGCTGAGGTGCTGATGTGCTCCACAGCTTAAAAGAAAGAAACCTGCTGGTGGTAGCTGCGGCTCAGGCAGAGGAGAAAGAGAGACAGCAGGTCCAAGAGGAGATAGAAGAGTTGGAGCGACACATGTTTGACCTTCTTCCTGCGCTGGAAGCCTGCTCGAATCCAATAAAACAACAGGTCAGCTTCTTTTTTATGCTTTATAGTCCAAGTTTGAAACCTGGAGTGTGAGATTTGTAAAAAGGCAGTTCAGGTGACATTTAGAAAAACAAAAAATATGACATTTTATTCACGAGCAAAATAGTGACAAACAAAAACTCAAGAGGGTTTTTTGTTCATGTTTTCATGTTATGTTTAAAATATGTTTCCTTTAATGTCAGGAGTTGCTTAGAAGCTCTTCACAGCATCAGTGAGAAATAAGAATTTTGTTCAATGGCCAGTTTTTGTCAGATGCAGCTACAGACCAATTTAACTGGAAAATTAGTTAAACAAATTTGGAAATGAGGGGCTTAATGTTAAACATTTGACCCCATCTTGCAGTCTCTGGCTTTCATATTTCCGGTCCCTCTGAATTTATTCTCGTGCATTTCCACTCTGACAGGAGCTCAGGAAGGATCTGTCCTCCCAGAAAGCCAAACTAAAGCGCATCGTGGATGGTGTTCAGAGCCGGTACACTGAGATACCAGCTGATATCAGCAGAAGGTTACAAGAAGTTGAACAGTCTCTACAAACAGAAGAGGAGAAGGTAACTGGAAACAGGAATCCATCCTTAACGTTGCATGAGCTATCTCTGCGAAACCTCTTATATTTATCTAAATGTGTGTGTGTGGTTATTCTGCAGCTCATGGAGAAGAGCGACCCGGTTCGGAAGTTGGCTCGTCAAGTGGCAGAGTTGGGCTCTGGCCTGGACAAAGTGACGGAGTTACTGGAGCAAAACAGTGCAACAGTCAGTGACGCTCAAAATGCACTCAAGGTAGTTTATTTGCTTTATGTTTACTTGTGTGTCTGTGTGTGAATGATGTTATGTAAACCTTGCTGATGTGCACAAGATGAAAGTTTGAAATTTTTAATATTCTTCATGAATGTCTTGTAAACTTGTTTTAAACATAATTTATTTATCTGAATTAATCAGTCTTCAACACATACCACTTTTTATCCTTTTTGAATTTCACAGATGTAAAATCTGTCAGCACCAACATTAGCCTCTGCTAGCTATGTTTGCTATCATGCAAATGTAAATGTAGACTGTAAGAGGATGGGTGGCTAACCCATAGATATCATATACATTAGATGCCTTGTTGACGGCTTCGGCCCATTTCAGCGATGCCTCAACTTCGTCGCCATCTTGGTGAGGTCACTGCCGGCTGGCTAGTACTGTTGTGTATGGAGATAGGTCTACCAAACTTTCTCTTACTGCAACTCACTTAAATCTGAACCGATTTTCACGAAATTTGGTTTATTATAAACATGTTGAAACCCTGGTTGACTGGTTGTGCAATACAGTGTGTAAATTCTCCCATATAGTGTTATTACATTGTAAAATACATAGCTCTAGAGGCTGTGCTTATTATTGTAAGTGGATTTAATTAATTCATTAATACACAAGCCTACCCCTCTAACATAACCTCGCTTCTGCAGACAGTTGCCATTATGCTAACAATGTCATATTGTACGCTAAATATCATATTTTTATTTTCATTCATCCATTTTTATGCATCCACATTGCACACATAACCTACTTTTCATATTAAAATAACTGGATTCAAATCCTCTATATTTTGCTGGTATAGAATAGTTAAAGGTAAGGTTCCCCTTTAAAATTAAACTTTCTTCAAACATCTCAAATGTGAACAAAAGAAAAAAAAAAAAAAAAAAAAAGCACCAGGACCTCTGCAGGCTAGGTGTAATGGTACGACTGAGAGACCCAGGAAACCTTTAGCCTTCAGCAGTGTGCAGCCGGGCTTCTTTCAGGAACTCTGAAGGTCTTGCCCAGTTGAAGGAACCCAAAGGCGCCTTGAAGCCTTTGGCGCGTGGATTTTGACTGTTCATGACATCGAACAAGCAGTCAATCATCTGAAAAACAAAAACTCTCATATTCAAATAGGTTTAGCCATTGAATTTACTCCTAACTGGCTATTACATTTACCTCTGATCACACCAGATCTAAAATTAGCAAGGATCACCTCAACAAATTCCACAGTAGCTGAGCAATCCTGGTACTGTGGGTATCCTGTTTCTTTCAGCATGAGCAGAGCTTTTCCATTGGACTGGCTCAGGGTCTTTGCAGCTATCATCTTCTGTGTAGTGAAGTTGATGTGTTTGCTTGTGACCCTGTTTGCAGCCTGCAGACCTTCTTTTTCTCGGACTTCATTTAGTTGTGATATGTAGCTCCATTTTACTTGTCCTGCAGAGCTCAAAATGGTGCTGTATGCCTGCAACATGTTCCTGGCCAACTTGAGCATATGACATGCATCCATCATTACATAAACTCGCTCACCTGTTGAAGGGTGAGGGAAATATGTAGTCAGGGCATCCAAAGACTTCAGTTGCAGCTGGCATCCGAGCATTGTGCACATGCTGATATTGGTTGCATGCCCATCCATTGTCACACACAGGACTTTGATACCCTGCTCATGCAGTGCCTCAAATGCATGCACCAGCAAAACCTTCTGAGTTCCTGGTTTCAGTGTATTTGTAAGGAAGTAGGCGCCTTCCAGTAGTAGTAGCCTTCCAGTTTATGACCTAGCAGTCCAATTACCATGAACACAAGGGCCTCACTAGCCACACTTGTCTCATCCATGCTGTTGCAAAGATCCACAAAGTCAGACAATGTCTGAGTGTGGGAGTTGTACTGAACTTGTTTCCTGATGGCCATGGCATCCATCATAAGACACATTTGACTATATTTTGCCGGATTTTCCTCTCTCTTTTTTTTGAGCATATCCAAGTATTTAGTCCAGGCTTGCCATTGACAGAGTGCAACCACCTGTGTATAAAAAAACCCAGTGGCAGTCGAAGTGTCGTGACCATGACACTGAACCCCAGTTGCTCCCTGGGCGCCTTAATGGCAACCTGACTTTATCATTAAGCAAAGGTGAATTTCCCGGAAACTGGAATTTATTTATTTAACTTATTTATTTATGAATTTATTTACTTAATTTATTTTATTTGAGAGACTTATCTATTGCATCTCATTGCTTGAAAAAGACACTTACTCTATTCAGATGATCTGGAAAAGCAAACACTGAAAGGACCACACCTTCCTTCAAACGGACAGTTTGTCCAGTTCTGTCAAAATCTTGTGGAAGGAAATGAGAACTACACAAAACTGTTGTGTCACTGGGCTTGAACTCACCCCTTCGGAGAGCTACGGCCCACATTCTTCTTGCTTCCAGTTCCACTGAGAACCTTTGACACAAAAACAACGCCATTTCAAAGTTAGGTTAACTAGCAGGTAACATTACTTGAAGTTAGCTAGATGCAATATATGGCTTGACATTACAGGAATGGACACTCAGCAAGTAACGTTAGCCTAGCTAACATTCAGCAAGTTTGAGCAGTTTGCTGAGCACACTGTCTCTAGTCAGAGCTGACCAAATACAGAAACTTTAGCTAGCACTAGCCAGCTTAGCTAACAGTAGCCGAGTTCATTACAGCAGACTGCTCTGACAAGGAATACAATAACGTTAGCTAACAAAAAAGACATAAATAGCCAACACGCATAACCTACAGAGCTAGTACTAATTCACCCTCCGCCCAAAACCAGAGCAGGAAAGCGCAGGTAGCTGGCTTTAGCCTAGCCATCACGGCTGCGATGTCTTAAGTGATCATCACGCTTTCATTAGCTAAGTCAGTGAACAGTAAAACACGATGAAATTGACACTTACTTGTGAAAAGTTATTCCATGACCTCTATTTTCGACCGTTCGTCAGCTGCAGCCAAATGGGTTGATGCTTGATGCTTGATCCTGCAGTGAAGAGCTGCACCTCCACGTGTAGTCCATGACTGACCCAGGCTGACTGACTGACTCTCGACTTCACTTGTAAGTGTGGTGACTGCTGCAAGATGGCGGCGACGCAGATGAACAGTAGCCACAGGAATGAGTCATCTATGGGCTAACCTACCAAAAACCAAGTCTGGAACAATCAACTGAAACACTGTCCTAAGATCTGATGACTATCCAGGATTACATTGTCACTTCAGAGCCCCTACATATTTTGCATTGTATGTTCCTCAGCATGCGTGGGATGAGCTGGATGCCTGGCACAGCCGCTTGATGCTCCTTGAGAGCGAGGTGCAGGATCTTGCAGAGGAGCATCCGGACCAAGCCCACCAACTCATGGACCAACTCACCCACCCACTGCAGCTCTACCAAAACGCAGCGCAAATGACAGAGCAGCGCACCGCCTTCCTCAGCAAGGTCAGGAATACTATAATATATTCACACTGTACTGTGTTGAATGCAGGAAATACGGAGAAGTGAGGTCTTAAACACCATGGACCAGGAACTCATTATGTACTGTATATTGAAAATGCACTATATCACAGGAACATCAAGGTGGGAAGTGGCCTCTAGATATCTGTTTAAAAAAGTTCCATTCTGCTTCCTTATATTTTCTATACTTCTTTGTCAGATCCCTGAATGTCTTCAGGAGTTTGAAGACATTCTGTATGGCGCCACCTGCTGGTTAGACGAAGCCCAGTCATGGCTCGGTGCTCCCTGCTGCTTCACAACAGCCAGAGGCCTCCAGAATCATGCAAACTCCCTGCAGGTCAGTGATGCCGAGAACCAAGCAAATAAACATATTCCAATATGTATTATATCCTAAATATGTATTTTTTGTACTGTGCATCAGTGTTAATACAGTATATATTTTCTGTGTTGTATTTTTATTGATACCTCTGTCATCATGACATATTTGCACACCCTGTATACCTGCAGTTCATTCATAATTTCACTCATATATGTTTTGTAAAACCCACATTATAATATAGTTATCCTTAATGTATCTCCTCACTATTTCCGACTGCACATGTCAGGCTTCGTCAGTCATGGACCACAGGATCCACAAGTCACATATTTCATGTTAATGATGACTTTGATTTTAAATCCTGAACTACAGCTGGTCCTGGACGACTCCGAGAGGATCAGACAGGCGCTTGAGGACTTCAGGCCAGTCCTGGATGAGATTTCTGACGTGTGTGACATCAGCACCCACAAGGAGAGGGTGGACCAGAATGACCAACAAGTAGACAAAATGCAACGCCAGATCCTAGAGCCACTCGAGCAGCTCCTGCAGGCTGTTTCGGTAAGAATTTTAAAAGAGAGGAATTTCAGGTTGTTAGTGACCCCAAATGGCACATTTTTTTTCTTTGACAACTTGGTTCCTCCCACTCAGTGACCAGGTCTGACACCTGACTTTTATTTGGGCAGATTACTGGACTCAGTGGTAGAAATGTTCTCTTGTTGTGTGGCCACAGTCTGAGATTTGGGACAGTAGTAAGGACTGGAAACACGAGGGAGCGAGAAACAAAAGTACCCAGGCAGAATTGAACCAGGGATACTGCGGCTACACAGTGTGCATGGATGAGACCCAAATTTGATATATTTTGATATAAAGTCAAGAGAAATACAATCAGTAGCATCTTAAAAAAATGCTTTGCCTCTGGGCATTTATGTTCTTGTGCGTGCAGCATGTGAAACAGTCTTGATCATTAAATGACAGGTCAAGTTGCCTAAAATCTTGCTGGCAATCTTCACTTCAGGTGGTGGAGGCAATGGAGGCAGAGCTGAAGACTATGGAGAAGAACGTCCCGAAGATCAAAGCGATTTTATCCTCTGTGGACGACTCCAACATATCTGTGTCGGAGCATCTTCACAACCGACAGGTGAAACAATGCATTTATAATTCCTGTCTACTAATCTCTTTTTATAGCAATGTACAGTACCGATGGCACATGCAGACAGCTGTATAATAGTAAAACTATGAAATACTTTAAATTAAAAAAGGATTTTAAAAACAAGAGCAAAAGAACTCTGTCCTAAAGGAATACTTCATCCCCTAAATGGCCATTTGTATATTAGATACTAACCCTGTGTTATGATTCCCCTGCGTAAAGAAAACTTCTATTTTCTCGCATGCCTGAGTAAAAGGGTTCCGTGTTTTACAACATCAACACTATATCAAAACATCTGCATACAAACTCTCACACAACTCGTGCAGTATAATCAAAGTTGTATGGTTCTAACTTCCCAAACAGACAACCTTTTTTGACAGAGAACTGAACTTAAAACTAAATTAATGCTCTTTTCAAAGCCAGATATTTTACCTCTCTGAACTGCTCTACCACTGTCTCAATTGGTTGTTTGTTTATATTATTGTGTGACTTTGCTAAATCCAGTTTAGATATTGGATTATCTCAGTGAAGCTATGCTGTGCAGGATTGTTTGTTGCTGTTTGTAAACACACTTGCTAGCAAAAGGGAAAGTATAAAGCCACAGAAGAGAGATTACACGCCCATAAACATCCCAAACACAAACAATAAGAAGAAAATAAGAAAATACAAGCACAGGGAGTCTTTTCAGAAAAATTCTCTGCCACACACTTCTAGCAGGCCATAATCGATGATTGAGAGGCATTACTTCTGTCTGAGTCCATACATTGTTTTTTAGGAAAATCCTGTATAGTATATCTTTAAGGATAGAAGCAAATAGTTCATACTGCAGCATAATATGACATTCCACAACTTCTTGACATCAGTGGTTTGACAGTATTAAAAAAATGAAAGTATGAGCTGTGAGGCATTTTGTCATGTAGTCATGCAGACTGTAAAGACAATTGTCATTTTTAGAAACCACCATTTTGTAGCTTGACCATGCTCGCAAGTAAGGATTTCTCTGCCATTGTTGCATCAATTTTGAGCATTTTTTGAATGTATTTTGGATTTTCCAAACATCCTAAAAGTGCAATATTAGATAGCTAAAGTAAATGTAAATTACAGTAAGTCGCACAGTGACGATTTAACACAGCTGCAAAACAAAACAAAAAAAAGTTACTGTCACAAGCAAAAAGTGATGCACCCTAGCCTTCAAATGGTTTTCATGTGTCAGTCACCTATAAAAGATTATTGGTTACATTTTTTCTGTTTCCAAATTAAAATGTTGGCAATACAGATGTACTATAACACCTATATTTCTTCTGCATTCTCAAGTATATCAGTAAATATTTTCAGTATTTCTGCTCCTTTTTCAACATCAGTTTGACTTTCATTAAAGGTTTTCTACAACAGACCTACATCTGTCATAGATCTACTCTCAGAATAAGCAACCAAGACAAAAATGTAATCGTTTTTTCTGTTTCGACCTGAAGGTGATCCTGGCCAACGTGCAGTCAATGCGGAGGACACTGGAGGAGGTGGAGAGATGCAAAGGAGAGCTTCACCTCCCAAAGGGAGCAGATGAGAGCCTGCTGGTCTTCTCCAGAGCCAGACTGCTCCTGCAGCCGCTCGAGGAGCTGGAACAACTCACCCAGCAACAAGCCACGCTGCTGGAGGTAGAGCATGAACTCAGAGTCCCCCTGCATATAGACAAAATAACTGAGTTGATCCTTTACTATAGAAGAGTTGGGAGGATAGATAAAAGGTATTTAGCAAGTACTTACAATGACATTACTTATTTAGCTGATTCAACTACAGTTTAAAGGTATAATAAGTAATATTTTCACATTAAAATGTATCTTTAATGTGATGTTATTTACACAGTCAGGGTTGTTCTGTGTCTCTGTTAGTGTTACCACTGTGTTGATCTTGTATGTTTATTATCAAGGGTTTACACTTGTCACATTCTCTCTTCTGTTTCTCTTTGACAAAAATAGAACAAGATTAGGGAGGAGGAACAAACCAGGAAGGATCTTGGTATCACTGCACTCTCTGATATTCCTGAGGAAGCACAGCAGCACGACAGATCTGCACTAAGACACTTAGTCCAGGTAATAATAATCACAATAAGGTAGAGTTCATCATCAAACACCTGCTAAAACAATAACACTAGTGTGATGTTTGAGTTTAACACTTTGAATAATAAGAATTAAACTAATTAAACGTGTCCTCTTTAATCATGTCATACTGACAGTTTCCAGTAGTCCACTTCCTAATTAAACTGCTTAGGGGAATAAAAGTTACAGTCATCAAGTCATGGATTCCTGCTGGTTGCTGATTTTTTTAAAGGTGTATTTTGAATGTGGAGCATCAAGTAAAATTGGTGAATCCTTCATGGACATCAGGCTTGGTGACTGTAATTTATTCTCTCTGTTGTCTGGAATTGGTTAAACCTGCCTGGTACAGTCCTGTCACCAAAAAGCATCAGCCTAAAACTTGCAATGTCCATTCTACTGGGCTGTGAGGCAGGTTCAACTAAAATCCTTGAAACTGAGTTTGTTTTTTGGGGAGTTATTCTGCTATTGTCCGGTATGTGACGTGCAAAACATCAAACATTAAGACTCAGTTTAGTTCAGTAAGCACAGCTTTTTGATATCTGTGGAGTCACATTTTGATTCCCTCAAGACTCCACATAGCAATTTAAAAAACAGTTGTTTCCATGGTAATAAGATAATACATTTATTCATTTGTTTATCATGAATCTTCCCCAAAAAATGAACAATCCTTTTAGATAAATATGTGTTCACTTCATTAACACACATCCGTCCATTAGACTTCATTAGTGAAGCCTTTTTCTTGTTTTACATTCTAGTTTTGTGATCACATCTATCAGATTCCACATCAAATGAAAATATGAGAGATGGTTAATACAGCTAAATGAGTGGATGACTGCTAGTGGAGTGGTGGTGATATGCATCTTGGACAATAAGCCTCCTCTCTCCTCACTGATATTGCTTGAATATGATGGAAAAGTTATATTTAAGATAATTGAGAAAAAGAGACACAGTTTTGATCATATGATTCACCCTTATTACTGAAACCAGGAGGCTATTGAGGTCACTATTTCAGAGGAAGAGGAGGATGAGGAAAACGAGAGTTGTCACTCGTCGTCCTCTGACACACTAACATGCAGTATTCCAGAGGTAAATCTGAAAAATAATAACAGCTCAGGAGAGCATGTTTCTGGGTACTTCTTTATTATGGGTTTCATTCCAAAACATACTCAAAACTACTGTTCTTAAAACTTAATTGCTGAAAACCACTTGATTTGACCTGTTCAAGTCCTCACAAACAGATACATTTAAAGCTGTGGTAGGCTGTTTTTTTTAAGCTTTATTGGGCAAAAATTCTATAGTAACCGTTTAGCATGTTTTAATTGAAGTGGTCTGAAAGAAACTAAACTTCTGCACCTCTTCTTGGGTCTGTTTTCAGGTTTGAAAGACAGGAGACTTTGTCTAATCACTGGTTACTTCAGAGAGAGGGTGTTACTGTTGGCTGTTGTACAAATTCAGATGTGTGTGCATGTCCCTTTAGATGGTGAAAGCCTGACTGATTGGCGAAAAGAGAAAATTGCTATTCCAGCATTGGTAAAAACTGCCTACACTGCAAAGAAACCCAAAGACGAGACAGACTTATCAAAAAGAGAGTCTTCTGCTAACCTGAACTAAAGGCCCACGGCTGCAGCTAATTCAAGTTCATGAATATGTAGCAAGCTAGAGCATCGAATCACAGTATGGCATCTCAACCGGCTGTACAGGCCCACAAGATTGCAAACAAAACAGGATGGCAAGTCACATAGAACTGCCACAGTATTATAGCATACAGATCATGTTCAGCCTGATTGTGATGAACAACTAGTGCTCGGACAGGTTAGCCGATGAAGCACATGCATATGCCCATGGTCGTCTGGTGGGAGGGCCTTAGGATAGAGAGGGGAGAGCTATGGGAGGAGAGCTGTATTTTCAAATTCTGTGTGTTGTTGTTGTTTTTTTCACTTTTGTGACTTTTCCAGAAAACTGCTCCAGCTTTAACACTTGGAAGGGAATTTCAAAAATACTAATTCTGTGTTTTGGAATGAAACTCAACACTTCTCGGGCTCCTTCTTCTCATGCTTTCCTCCTTTGTTTTTATTTTGATTCACTGAATAATTTTCAACCTTAATTTTGCCTCTTTTTTCTGTGGTGTGGAGGATGTTTGCAGATATTTGCATGTTTATAAGAGGCTGTGTCAGACAGGCTGTCCTGTCACCCGATGAATCCACTCTGGTGCTGTCAGAAGCAGCTGCTCGAAATATGTTGCCCCTCAGAAACCTGTCCTCTCTCTCTCTCTCTCTCTCTCTCTCTCTCTCTCTCTCTCTCTCTCTCTCTCACACACACACTCACAACACACTGAAAATAGCATGTTTATCGGTGTATGTGTGTGGGCATGGATTTGTATTTGTATACTAATATGATTCATATGTTAGGACCTGGAGGAGACACTAAACGCTTCAGATGTGCAAAGTGAAGATTTAACAGAAATTAAGCCACTGTCAGACGTTAAGGTAAATTATGTTTTTCATATTAGAGATCAGACTTTGGACATTAAGCACATTTGTTTTGTTTTTAAAAAGTCTTTCTTATTGTAGTGTGTATTTCCTCACACTTATTCAGATACACTGATATGGTAGTGATGATTATAATGGCAATTTGTGACATATTGTCTAATTCAAAGATGTGTCTGTCCTTTTCTTTATTCACTAGCTGTTTCAGAGACTGATTCATTTTAATAAAATCTTTATTAATCATTTGTATTTCAGGCACTGGAGACTTTGACTGGTCAGTTTTCCTCTGAAGAGGAAACAAGCTCAAAAAGTGCGGACACTGGGCTTTTATTCACTGTGCCTGGGCTTCATTCAAAAGAGTTTGCATCAGAAAATGTTGAAACTGGATTAATTACAATGGATTCCAAAGCTGGCAAAGCATTAAGTCCTAAAACTGAAACAACTAAGTCACTCGTAGCTGCAGCCGTTCCAGCAGCTGAATTCAAGTTCACTGCCGCTGCCATACGGGACACATATGGATCACCACAACATGAAACCCGCATCGCCAACCCTCATGCAGAGTCCCCTCAGGCAGCAGCTGCAGTGGAAGACACAAGAGTGATTCCTACAAGACCTATAACTCCTTTCAGTGCCACAAGAGGATCTCGTGAGTTTATAGAGGAGGGAAGCAAACATTTGCCTTTGTCCGTACCTTCTCATCAAGATCTGGTAAGTGTCTAAGAAAGAAAAGAGACACCCTTTAAAATGATTAGCCAAATTTTCCCCAAAATTTTCAACATGAATTATGTCTAATGTGATGTCTCCCATAAGTGACACAACAATAGAAACAGTAAGAAAATTGCAAGTAACTATTATTCCCCTTATTTCTCTTCATTTCCAGGATACTCTTAATGTGTTAAAGGAGCAGAGTGAAGTCACCACGAGTCAAAGTAGGTTATTTGAAGAATCCCAACAGGCCCAGGAGTCATCTGAGGTGCCAAAGAGGTAAAGGACAGTGACAGTCACAAGAGTTTTACAACACACATGCACATAGCAGACCATACATGACTCAGGCATATTGTGTGTTCCCTTTGGTCCCTAGCTCGGCTATATATGAGGAAGATGAGCAGGAGCGGCTGAGGTGGAGTCTACTTTATACCCAGATCTCTCAGAAACTGACCACTTTGAAAAAGGTTAAGGAGGAGCATCAGATCGGCTCAGGGGATGGAGGGAGCCATGATGAGGTAGGAAGATACGGGAAAAGGGGACAGTTATTTCCTCAAGGGGACAATAAAGTCTAAGTCTAAAAGTCTAAAAGAAATAATAAAATTGTTTCTGATTTTATGATGATTAGGACACATTAATTCAGATTTTTAGAAGTTTAGCATTAGAGGAGATGGATGAAGGGTGAGATGGGACCACAAACGTGTTACCTGTAGCCTGTATAAATTAAAAAGAAAATACAATTAAATTGTGAGGAAGTTTTTTATTCTTTGATTTTTTTGGGTGGGGGAGTTGGAAAAACATTATTATTCCTGAAAATTAATCATATGAGTTGGGGAAATTTCTGACAGCATACAGACACAAAACATAATTTTACTGTATCAATTTAGAGATATTCCAAAGACAACATCCCACATTTCTACCTTAAAATGACTTCAAATTGGAAACTTGAGGTGCTATATAAACACAGTGCTCCATAATTCTTCACAGTGCCAGATATATTTGAGTTGAGGACATCTTTGACTACACCCATACTAAAAATCTAACCTTTGTCTTTATCAATTAAGAGATTTTCTAAAGGAAATGTCCCACATTCCTGCCTTGAAATTACTCCAACTCTGAAACTTGAGGTCCGATAAAATAAAACATTGCTCAATAATTACTTACAACAGAAGAAACAACAAAAGCTAAATTGAAATGACTTTTAGACAGTTTTTCTTTAGGTTGTACTGGTTGTGAAATCAATGTATAAATGTTTTATCTAAGCCGTGTCCTCTAATTAACGAAAAGCAGTTACAATAGATGCAAAGAGAGAAAACCCACCTTAATTTTTAAGAGGAGAGAAAAGAGGATTGTATCTGTGCTGAGACTTCTTTCACTCTAAGAGTTATAAAGTTCCCAGTTTTACATAATATAATAAGAGAGACCAATGGCTAGAGCCTTTAAAAAATTGACAGTGTTATTAGATGGATTTGAAGGAAAATTACTGTATGGTCCTTATGTAAAAAAACAATGCAAGTGAAAACGTATTTTTCCTGATAGGAAGAGGAAGAAAAAATTAAGCAGTAGTTATTCCCTTCATGCATTCTCTTTTTCCCTTGGCTCTCTGTGAAACTGATTTCTTTTTTCTTCTTCAGGATCCACAGAGGGAGCTGGCATCAACCGGGTCTGCTTCTGCTGTTCTCCAGCGGACACACGAGTCCATCACCAAGCTGAAACAAATAGTACATACAGTAGTAACAGACAAGTTAAATCTTAGCAGACATATGTGTCCCTAGTTAAAAGGGCTTATCGTTGGATGCAGAGATTGTGGACTCATTTTAATAATGCACTTATTTTTTGATAAATTGTCGTGCAAATAATCAACTAACATGGATCTGTGTGGCCTAACAAGGTCATCAAAAAGGCTCATTTTAAAGAAATGGTAACGGCAAATATTCAAAGGTATATGGATATATTTTTTTGTAGTTGGCTGAAACAACAAACCATATGCAGAGGATCTGATTTATTAAATCATACTTATACAATATTTAAGTTTTCCATCCCATAATTTCAGTAGAAAACTGGCTTTATCCATGTAGCAGTGCTTTAACAGTTCTTTAAGCATTGTTGCAAATTTAAATAAAGCAAGAACCAGGATATTCCTCACATCAGGAGGAAATAGAGTTTTAGTTTCATGGCAAACTTTGTGGTGAGTGATAGTGATCACCATACGTTTGGTTATTTGTCAGGTGAGCTCTCCAGGTGAAAATAAGGAGTTGTACGAAGCTGCACGAAAGGTCCTCCTCTGTCTGGACGCTTTGACTGACCTTGTGTTAACTTCTGGTGAAGATGATCCCCAGCTGAGGCTGCTGCAGCAGGAGGTGACGCACCACAAGGCTACTCAATTACACAATATAATAACCAACGAAACTGCACATTTTATTATGTAAAATCTGCTGTCTTAAAAAAAACAGGTGCAAGCAGGCTGATAAGAAAGGACTGAATTTACCCACCTCTCATTCTAAAAGCACCGTTTTTGCATTTCTGACTTCCTGTGCAGTGTGTGTCGACTGAGCTGGTGACTCTGGCTGAGCTGTTGAGCAAAGTGGAGTCTGAGACCAAACCTGCACTTTCGGGGGAAAAACCACAAGCTCTCCGCTGTTTGAGCTCCCTTCAGGAGTGTCTACAAACCGTACGCCCGGTCCTCACCTCATCCCACAGTCAGCTCAATGAACATCTGGGCAACACACACCAACATCAGGTTCGAATTACAAATCAGTCACAGAGTTTGATATATAATTATGATGATTACCAGTAAAATATGTTAGTGGGCTGAAATTTGTCTTTCATGGCTGCATATTTTTTTTATAAATCAACAATTATAATTCTAAATGGCTGGCGAGTGAATGTGTACAATGTCTGAACCAGTAGCAGAAAGTATCTCAGCTAATGGCAGATTTATTTATGTAGCACATTTCATACCCCAAAGCAACCCAAAGAGCTTTATAGATTACACAGGTAAAAACACAAGAAACAAATGATTAAAACAATAAAAACAATACAACAAACAATTAAAAAACACACATACACATAAAGCAAATAAAACAGATAAACATACATTTGATTTAGAAGAAAATCAATTTAAAGCTATGGTAAACACTTAGGCCTCTAGCTTGGATTTCAAAGTGGTCAGCATTGTCTCAAGTCTCAGCTCTTTTGGCAATTTGTTTCACTGTGTTTACTCAAGTAGCACATTAAAATACATTTTTGATGTACTTGTATTTTGCATTTTTCATATTTTTGCTACTTCATATGTATATGCCACTGCATATCCAAAGGAAATAATTTAGTTTTTACTCTGTTACATTTATTTCAAATAGTGGTCACATTGCAGATTAGATTTTACATTAAAAAAACAAACAAACATACAATTAGTTAATAAAATATGATGCATTGCTTTAGATTTAATAACCTTACAGCTTAGGAAGCCATGAAATTATCTTATTCTTAACCAGCTACAGCATTAAAAATACTGCTTATACACCAATGTATCAGTAATATTAATCCAATAATAAAGAATAATATAAAAGAAGCAATTCTGCTGCACAATGACAGCTATTACTTTTGACACTTTAAATACAATTTGGTAATAATATTTTTTATTTAATTTATATGAGTAAAAATATGAATGTTTTTTACATCGTTTTATCTGTACTTTATTAATACTTTAATAAAAGGATATAAACACTTTTTCCACCACTGTTCTGAATAAACAAATAGTATTTTTTATCACACAGGAGCTCTCCTCCAGTCAATTGTGTATTCTGGATGAGTTTGAACCTGAACATAGTGAGATATTCCCCAGCATAAAGGATGCTCCCAGATTGGAGGTAACCAGTGCTTTGAAGCTTTGTTTGTGTTTGTGCACATTTGCTTTTATATATGTACACTAGTATAAAATGCCTAATAAATAGGTGTCTAAGACATCCTATTTAACACTTATAATAATATTAGAGTACAAGAAAGGCCTAATTGGAAAGCTGTTATCAATGAGAAGACATTTAAGTCATTAAAGGCCATAACTCCTATATTATGATTTCTTGCTTTTAGTGACACATTGACTTAATGACCAAACATAAGTGCCATAATTAATGGCCAGTTTTCCTAAGCACGTAGAAAAAGAAATATCTGATAATTCCCATGGATATATGGCTTTGACTATACAATTAGCAGAAAAAGAAACCAGCATTTTACCAGTCGTGATTACAGACAAATATCAAAGTAGTTTCAAAAGTTGATATTTTTTACCTTAAACTTTGTGCTCTCCCTGCATCTCACAGCAGTGTGTGCTGGGCCGACATCTGAGGGAGAGTCCAGGGGAAAAAGCCAAGCTGCAGCAGGCTTCCTGGTCCTTGCTTCAGGGGATAACTGGCCTCCTGGAACTGGGTGAGGAATGCTTAACAAAGGGGCAGAAGAGCCAGGTTCACAACCGCAGCCAACTTCAAGCCGTCCTCTGCAGACGCGAGGTATCTCACTGTGCTTTCAGCAAGTTCTTCAACAAGCAGGCAAAGACTTGGTTTAAAGTAGGCACTTTCCCAAGAGTGTGTAGATGCCCCTTGATGGTTTTCAAAGAGACATCCAGTACTCAAACTAATGATTAGACTTAACACAAAGATATTCAGACCTCAGTCACAGTCAGTGTCTGTTTTCACTTCTCTTCCTTTATTGACATCAGGCCTGCTGTGCAATTATTTCACTTCACTTCTGTCATAAATCTGGTCTCTTGGTGATCCAGAAGCTCCTGCGGGTCCTCAGGTCTCAGCTGGCTTTCGTACAGCATCTGTTCCAACATGAGCCAGAAGCACTCAAGTGTCAGGAGGATGAGCGGGTACAGCTGGAAGTCAGAGCCAAAGCTTTGCAGCAACGGGCTCTGGAACAGGAAGTGGCTTCTCAAAGGAGCATCCAGGTTTGTAGTTCACATTTGCTGAGGGCCATATGAATTCATACATAAACAAATGTGAATTTTACTTGTGGAATATTTTCAGTATTTCTTGTGTTGGGTGTTTGTGCTCACAAATGTTAAAATAGACGTGTGTGTTTATGGTTGGACCTGCTGCAGGAGTGGACCCAGTGGGAGGATAATTGTGGTGGACTCGGCCGGTTGCTGGATGATGTTGAAGCTTTCATCAGCAGCGGGGAACCAGAGGGAGACGATGAGAAGTTAGCGCAGCACCGACAAGATGCCTGCCAGGTAAGAACCCTGTCACACTGCTCACAAACGTATTGACTTTGTTTGTTGTATCGTCAGACTTCTCTGACTGATTTCCTGCGTTTCACAGCGTGCCTCCAGAGAACACGCCTGAACTGCTGTATATATGTTTAAATTCATGGGCAAGTGAAGGGAGCAGTAGTGATAGCGTTAGCATAGTGAGGGAGAGAGAGGAAACTTTTTTCCTGCGGAGGAAAAAAAAACAATATTCACACATTTTTTTAAACTCAACGTTTTTTAAACTCAGTGTTTATATACTCAAGCTTTTATGTGAAATGCCAATTGCCCAAAAAATGAGCCTGTGCACTTTTTATGCCTCCAAGTAGGGACAGCTGCGGCCGAGGGCATTATGTTTCTTGGTTGTCCGTCTGTCCCATTCCTCTGAAGACAATATTTTAAGAAGGCCTTGAGGGAATTTCTTTGAATTTGGCACAAATGTCCATTGTGACTTCAACTCAATTACAACTAAATTGCAGTAACATTAGAAACATCAGAGTCATCAGCTCTGGCTGGCTGAACTTAAAGAAAGCATCAAATACCAACATGATATTTCAATTAAAAAGTACAATGCCAGTAATCAGTTTTAGAATGAAACTGTTTCGGTGTGGATTTCTTTCTGGAAAGAATAAAAAATAATTAAAAGGACTCTCGGAGAGCACAGATGATAGTCCAGTCTTCTGTGATATGCAAATCTGCAAGTGTAACCACTATATATGTCTGGATATCAAATCAAAATCAAATCAGATCAAATAAGGCTTTAATTGTCATCTCACCAGACATACAACAGTAATGCAGGTAAAACGAAACAGTGTTTGTGGGGGGTCGTTTCAACACTAAATTAATAAATACACTGAACAAAAATATAAACACAACACTTTTGTTTTTGCTCCCATTTTTCATGAGCTGAACTCAAAGATCTAAAACATTTTCTATACACACAAAAGACCATTTCTCACAAATATTGTTCACAAATCTGTCTAAATCTGTGTTAGTGAGCACTTCTTCTTTGCCGAGATCATCCATCCCACCTCACAGGTGTGGCATATCAAGATGCTGATTAGACAGCATGAATATTGCACAGGTGTGCCTTAGGCTGGCCACAATAAAAGGCCACTCTGAAATGTGCAGTTTTGCTTTATTGCGGGGGTCTGGGGGGGTCAGAAAACCAGTCAGTATCTGGTGTCACCACCATTTGCCTCACGCAGTGCAACACATCTCCTTCGCATAGAGTTGATCAGGTTGTTGATTGTGGCCTGTGGAATGTTGGTCCACTCCTCTTCAATGGCTGTGCGAAGTTGCTGGATATTGGCAGGAACTGGAACACGCTGTCATATACGCCGATCCAGAGCATCCTAAACATGCTCAGTGGGTGACATGTCCGGTGAGTATGCTGGCCATGCAAGAACTGGGATGTTTTCAGCTTCCAGGAATTGGGTACAGATCCTTGCAACATGGGGCCGTGCATTATCATGCTGCAACATGAGGTGATGGTCGTGGATGAATGGCACAACAATGGGCCTCAGGATCTCATCACGGTATCTCTGTGCATTCAAAATGCCATCAATAAAATGCGCCTGTGTTCGTTGTCCATAACATACGCCTGCCCATACCATAACCCCACCGCCACCATGGGCCACTCGATCCACAACGCTGACATCAGCAAACCGCTCACCCACATGACGCCACACACGCTGTCTGCCATCTGCCCTGAACAGTGAAAACCGGGATTCATCCGTGAAGAGAACACCTCTCCAACGTGCCAGATGCCATCGAATGTGAGCATTTGCCCACTCAAGTCGGTTACGACAATGAACTGCAGTCAGGTCAAGACCTCGATGAGGACGACGAGCATGCAGATGATCTTCCCTGAGACGGTTTCTGACAGTTTGTGCAGAAATTCTTTGGTTATGCAAACCGATTGTTGCAGCAGCTGTCCGGGTGACTGGTCTCAGACGATCTTGGAGGTGAACATGCTGGATGTGGAGGTCCTGGGCTGGTGTGGTTATGGTTGGATGTACTGCCAAATTGTCTGAAACGCCTTTGGAGATGGCTTATGGTAGAGAAATGAACATTCAATTCACAGGCAACAGCTCTGGTAGACATTCCTGCAGTCAGCATGCCAATTGCACGCTCCCTCAAAACTTGCGACATCTGTGGCATTGTGCTGTGTGATAAAACTGAACATTTCAGAGTGGCCTTTTATTGTGGCCAGCCTAAGGCACACCTGTGCAATAATCATGCTGTCTAATCAGCATCTTGATATGCCACACCTGTGAGGTGGGATGGATTATCTCGGCAACAGAGAAGCGCTCACTAACACAGATTTAGACAGATTTGTGAACAATATTTGAGGGGAAATGGTCTTTTGTGTGTATAGAAAATGTTTTAGATCTTTGAGTTCAGCTCATAAAAAATGGGAGCAAAAACAAAAGTGTTGCGTTTATATTTTTGTTCAGTGTACTAATACCATAAAATAGACATCAGTAAAATACAATAAAACCCTAACTATCCAGCAATAAATCACAAACTAAAAGTCCAGTATGACCATGTGCAGTGCTGTGCAGTATGTATGAGGTGCATGAAATGGAGAGTCCAGTTTAACTGTTTAGCATCCTAACAGCCTGTGGGAGGACCAGTAGTTTTTCCATCCTGCTGACAACAAACAAACCGAACTGAAAACATAACCTCCCTGGCAGAGGTAATATTTCTTTGCAAGTAATGAAGGTCAAACTGAGGATGATGCATGTGTGGGTGTAGCCTTCTGAGGTTGGCAGATAGTTGCCTGGTCATGAATCTTACACTTAGCTGATTAACTGACCCTGTCACTTTCAGAAATCACATCAGGGAAGGTGATGTTCTTTTAGACCACTGTACTTTTTTAAACTCCTCTCTTTCCTTTGGATGTATTTATAGGTTCTCATATGCCGTCAGTCAGATTGGATGGGACAAACACAGACGTTTGTAGAGAGACAAAAAGAGCTGTTTCCATAGCAGTTAGTTGGTGTGGCAAGACTCATTGATATTGTTACAGTCCAATAATTTAGTTGGTTTGTTTTCCCTGTGTTCCTGTTTCTTATTCCCTTCGTTTTCTTTTCTCTTTTCAGCTTTCTGTCGTCCTCCTCCATTTTACATTTCACAGTCTCACGCTCTTTTAACCCACCATTCTCTCCACTTTACATCACAGCCGCTCTGTGCTGTCTCCTCAATTATTAATGTGGAATTGGCTTGTCAAGAGAATCTCACTGAGTTTGATGTAAACTCAGTCTAAGCACTGTTGGTTCTCCTTTTCACTCAGCAAACACTGGTCCAGCTGGATGAGAGCAGAGCTGCTTTAGGACTGCTCCTGGATCAGGGGAAGGTACTGCAGACTGAGCCAGAGTTTGCTGCCACGGTCAGTCAAGCAGGAGGCGCTCTGGAGCTGCGGTGGCAGAGCGCCTACAGACGGACTAAACAGGAGAGTAAGCGCTGCAGAGATATCCAGGACAGATGCACCAGGTGGGACCAGCTTCCAAATTATGTTAAAAGAAAAAACAGAATCATAACAGAATCATGGAGGCTGCACTGGAAAGTATTAATGAGAAGCTATGATAGCATTTTAAGTAAAATTCTGTAGCAGTGAGTCTACATGGGGTTTTAGTTACATATCAGATTATTTCCTGGAATTTAGTTCGGAAATTTGAGTAAAACAGATTTTATTCCAGGTGAAATATGCCACTGAAAAACAGACATGGGGGATTCATTCCTAAATTCATCCCCACTAAGAATCCTAAATTTATTCCCACAATCTTCTCTTCACACACTCTAATATGGTTATATCCAGTGTGCATCCATGACACCAACCGTCTAGACTCTGGTTCTGCAGTATTGGACCCGTGCCCAAGTTCATAACTCTCTCTTTGTTAAGGAGTTTAGGAGCTATCTGTTGTTTTCATCCTCCCCACAGATTCCAGGCTGACTTTGCCTCTGTCAGTAAATGGCTGGTCGATGCTAACAAACACCAGAAGACTTGGTCAGACTTGACCCAAACCTCTGACCTGAGCCAGGAGTGTATTCACAGCAATCTGATCGAGTTGCTGGTAAGGCGTATTGTCAGCTACGGGCTTTTCACCCATGAAACAAAGGTTTTCTCAGGCCATTTTGTGATATAATAACAATACGTGACACACTGTCAACATACATTTTAGTGACGTGTCAGAAACTAAATGTTGTAAACCGAGATATTTAAACAGCAATTTCTGAAAATGGTCCAGTAGTAAGAGAGAGTGCTACAGCCATGAAACAGGCTGCAACTCCACTCAGGGCAATAGTGCACCATCATTGTATGTCGTAAAAGTGCTTGTTTTTGCCACTGACTGGCTCACAGTCACATTGTTATTTTAAGAGTCTGGAAACATTATGAAACGAATCCCTACAAAGAAATAAAATGTTTTTCTTCCCTTCCACTTCATCCGGTCTGTTTGTTATTGCTTTTAACCCAGTCTTGCTCAAGGAGAGGTTTTGTTCTGAAGTCTGGAGAGGACGTACATTGAAGGTGCACTATTGCCCCGAAGATTACATTGCAGCCTGTTTTTGCTGCTGCTGCCTGCAGCGCTCTCGTACAATGCTGCCAATTTCAAAAACTGTTGTTTCCATTTGTCACTTAGACACAAAAACATAAAAATAAGGTCCAGGTTAAAAAATACCAGTGTTTTCCTGTAAGGATGCACAGGTTGAAATTCAAACTCAGTCATCAGTATAAAATGCATCAGTTACACATGATAGACATGTCCTCTGACACTGGTCCTATTCTCAACCTTCAGGATTTCTCCATTGAGACTGAAGCCATGTCCGTGCAGAAGGCGGCTGCATCTAGGGAAGCTGCTCAGCTGCTCCACCTGAGGGAAGCTGACTGTCCCGGTCTGAGAGCTCAGCTCGCCCAGCTGGACGTCAACTGGACCCAGCTGACCTCTGATCTGTCCAAGACACAAGACCGACTGCAGCAGGTACAATATTCATGAAGAGGTGTCACCTTTACCGGAGAAAACACACAGTTTCAAATATATGGTGGTTGCACTTTAACTGTGGAATAATTACCTGAAACAAATGATGGACCAGATGACTTTATCTCATACCAGCGACATCAGATATCCTATTAACTTTATTAAGTACTATTTTCCATTAAAATATAATGGTCTAAATTCCATGGAAGTGCTGCTGGTCTTCAAAAATAATTAGGCTTTGATGAGTCCCAGTGAAGGGGAGTGTAAACCTTGCTGAACTCAGTTTTGTGGGTGATTGAGGAGCAGGAGTTTGAGAGGACTTACAAAGGAGGTGAAGGGCACGTTTAATTTTTCCTTAACATTTATCACCAGTGAGTGGAACCAGATAGTCTACATTATAATAATTAATACACTAGTCCTGCCAGGTCAGTCTCACAGAGGGTTCATTTTAATGTCTTCAATTTTTGCAATCACCTCAGGAGAGGATGAAAAGATCTTATCTACCAGAGGAAGATTAAATAACTTGGACAGGCACAAACGTCAGATTGTTATAAAACTGATGATTACTGTAAGCTTTTAAATGAAATCAAATATACAATAGCTGCCTCTACGCATGTGCATGCATCCATGCGTTCATGCATGCACATTCACACACCTCAAAAACACTTGTCACTGGTACAATGATGCCTCCAGAGTTATGAAAAGGGACTTGGCAAAATGGTGTATGTCTTCATGTGTGTGTTTTTCTTTCTATAAAGTTTGGTCATGTTATGTGAATCCATATAGGAGTTATGCACCTCTTTATTAACGGCCACTCTTAATGTCGCCCCACCTCAAACATGCACCTTCATATACACACACTTGACCTCCATGCCAAATTATAGCCTCCTAGGGTAAAAACTGTTTCTGCCAAAGGGTCAGGAAATTTTTGTTGGACTAACCGATCGACAGAGCCTTTAGAGGCACTGGCCATGGCTAGAACAGTTACAGGTAAGAAATGAGAGGTTAGAGTATTCATGTTAAGTTAAAATCCCTTTCTTCTCTGTGGTCTGGTGTCCGTTAGCGGCTGCTGGCAGCGTGGCCACCGGGGAAGCTGCTGTCCAACCTGGAGGGCTGGCTGAAGACGCTGGAGGCTCGGCTGAGCCAGGAGAAGGAAACAGTCCTCAAGGCCAAAGATGCTGCTCAGATCACTGAAGTCTTGCAGCACTACCAGGTACCTCCACTGTCCACTTTTTTCTGTACATCTGTAAACAGTGGGTCTATTTGAATGGTTATTTCAGTCTGAGTGCTTTTATTTTTAACTTTGCTCCACTACTAAATTTAGAGGAATTTGCTTGACATTTGAGGAATAAGCATCTTAAAATTACACATTTGTTCATCCTTAAAAGACACTACTGTGTTTCTGCATCTCTTTCTCTTGCAGGTCTAAATTAAATCTTGTGTTTATATATATAAAATATGAACATGGGAGTCAGTAGAAGCACAACTAATTATTTAAAGTGCTAAATAATAGTAAGAAAATGCATTGTTACACTGTAAATATGCTTCTGGTTCTGGACACCTGAATTTAGAAAATGTAGATCGATACAAATTTAAAAGCACAACAGAGATACCTCCATAATATTAGAGGTGAATGATGTGTACTGATTTTTCATAAAACCAAAAATGTAGGACAAATCATAGACTGTATACAATAATGGACGTAGCCACTGTGATATCACCTGTTGGTTTGTGGACTCCCATTTTAAAACCTTAAGTTTTGCATTTTTGCTGTTGCCAGTTTGGGTATTTGGAGCCAGAAGTGACCATAATTGGATGAGAGGGTGGAGCTGTGGCGGAACGAAGGGTGGATCTAACTTATAGACAGTGGTGGCACTTAGCAGACAGCCTGTCAGTCACAATGGCCCGACATTAATTATGCATAACTTTAAACCATAAAAAAAATTATCAGGTGAGTTTACAGTTGTCGTGAATGAGGAAATTTACTATAGAGATCAAAAGCGTTTTTTGCACCAGGCTGTTAACATGTTTATTTCTGCTGTGAAGTTGGGCCTTTTAGCATGGGCGTCTAAGAGGTTTGACTCGTTTTTGGAGCCAGCCTCCGGTGGCGATTCAAGGAACTGCAGTTTTTGGCCCTTCTATGTTGGCTTCACATTTCAGAAAACTACCAACCTCCTTTGCCTGTTTTTTCCCTTTAATATGAGTGTTTGTGTTGATTTCTTTCTATGTAACATTCTGTCTCAGGAGCTGAAGGCAGGCGTGGTCAATGGGCAGCTCCTTCTTGATTTCCTGTGCCAGTCTGGGCCTCAGGTAGTGGGTGCAGACATCCAGGCTCTGCGCTCAGAACGTACGATGTTTGCAGAGGAACTTGGCGCCCTCAGACTGCAGTGGCAGCACCTACAGAGAGAGTTGGAGAGCCAGGTCAGCTCTTCAGCTACTAATATACAGGAAAACACAGTGACCTGTAGAATCTGAAATTAAATGATGCAGCTGTAACCTTCTCTTTATGTTCTGGTTAAATATTTTTATATAAAAGAGGCTGAGATAGCAAAGCAGTTGTATACAAACAGATGAGGAGTTGTTTTCTACATTTCGGGAAATGCTAAGTGAAATCACTGGAACCCATCAGTCACCCCATAAACATAACTCAGTTAATGCCAGCAACAATGGAAAAAGCTTGTACTGTGTGACTCTCCAAGACGACTAAGAAAAGTTATAAAACTTTTATTTCTACACATGAATCAGCCACTGTTTGGCTTTGTCCCCTCAGACTCGTGAAGCTGAACAGATGCATCACACATGTGCAGACAGAGAGAAGCGATTACAGCATCTTCATGACTGGATCAAGCAGCAGAAAAAGCAGCTGGATCAGTGCAAACAGCCCACCAGTCAAACTCTGGCTCGTAAGGCTCTGCAGGAGTGGGAGGTACAGTAACCAGATGTAAACAGGTGTATGTTTGAACCATCTCTCCTGCTGCTGCCACCCTCTGATCTGAGACTCCACCTGTGTTTCTTCCAGGCTGTTGTGGGCAGGGTGAAGGAGGTGGATGCAGCTTTGCAGGAGTTGAAAGCCACACGAGTGCATGTTGGACAGGAAGAGGATCACCCTTGTGATATCTCCTTCTCTGGCCGGACAGAGAGTGTTTGTCACGCTTGTGGGAATCTTAGTCAACAGGTAACAAATAAATCAGAGACATGGAAAAAATTGCGTTATATATTGTGTTATATATGAATTAAAGTTATGTACAGAGAAGATTACAAAGTCCTTTTTGAGAAAGTACAAACAAAGAAACTGCATTCTTCCTGTCTGCTGAGTGTGTAAAAGGTAACCATTTGCTAAAATGTAATTAACTTTATAAGACCATAATATATCAGATATGTTAAGTTTCTTGTGTAGGTCTGCATCAAAGTGGCTAAAAAACATAATGCTACTCTAAACATAACCTTGTTAAATGACAGTGTGTGATTAGTATCTGAAAATATAAGAAATGAGAAACTGAGGCAGACAGTTCACCCCAAAATCAGAAGTACATATTTTTCCTCTTACCTGTAGTGCTGTTTATCAGTCTAGTTTGTTTTGTCTGATTTGCCAAATGTTGGAGATATCGGCCGTAGAGATGTCTGCCTTCCCTCCAGTGTAGTGGCACTAGATGGTACTCGGCTTGTAGTGCTCAAAGCTCCAAAAAACTGCATTCGATAACTCAACAGCAGTGTCTCTTTCCAGCGATTATGACCTCAAGATAATTCATAGACCTTGTTGTGAGCAGTTTCATGTAGGAACTATGTGGGAACCAATCGTATCACTGCACAGAAGGAAGCGTGCATCTACTGCTAGCTCCCCTAGCACCACTGAGCTAGCTAACAATAGGAGGACATGTTTCACGCTGTTACAAGGACAAGCCTCTCATCCATGAGAAAATGCATGCTTCCCTCTGTGCAGTGATACAGTTGGCACGTGTAGTTCAATAGAAAGAAAATAGTTCCTACATGAAACTGCTCACAACAAGGTCTGTGGATTATCTTGAGTAACCAGGTCATGATTTTTGGAAAGAGACATTGCTGTTGGGTTTCGAGCACCACAAGCTGAGTGCCATCTAGTGCAATTATATTGAAGAGAAGGCAGACATCTCTACAGCTGATATCTCCAACACTCTGCAATTCACAGCAAAACAATCTAGACCAATAGATAGCACTACATCTAAGAGGAAGAATATGTACTTTTGTTTTGGGGATGATCTGTCCCTTTTACAGGGTTACCACAGATCCTTTAAATCCTTTTTTCTGAATATAAGGGAAAAAACAAGGCCTTAAAAGTCTTTCAAAACAGACATAAACAGAAAAGGGTCATTGAAAGTGCTTGAATTTATATATTTTGTGCCAGAATAGAAATTGATGTTCTTCTGATGTTGTCTGTCATAGGACAACTGGAAAGAGTTCACACATTCAAACCCCTCTTTCTGTTTAATTATTGGCTGTAATCTTCTATAAAGCCTGCTACTTCTCTAGATGTTGTTTCCGTAATTGACCTTGATCAGTGTCTCAAACTATGCCAAGTTGGGGCCTTGAATTTGAGGGTATTGGGGCTTGAAAACCCCTAAAAAGTCCTTGAATTTGATGTTTAAGAAGGTGTGGAAACCTTGCTTCAAGTAAAGCAAATGAATTTATGTCCACCTTTTACAGCTTGTTTGGTAAAATGTACACAAAATTGAATACAAATAAAAGCATTACCAGTTTTCATAAAGAGGTTAAGTGTTAGATGTGTTCAGCTATAATCGCCTGAAATGGTAGAGATGAAAAAAATAACCTGCAGTGCAACAACAGATAGTTAATGTATCACAGGTACAATCTTTAGCTCTCCATGCCAAGTACAAACTACTTAAACCCTCTTACTTAATTGTAGTCCTCATAATTTGTGTTATCCAGGTTGCCAAAGATTATTTATGAGCATGATACACATTATTATTATTTTCTTCAAAACAGTATTGAGTAAATCCTCTCAGGTGTTGAGATTCTGCATCATCAAACACCATCCTGTCTCCCTTTGTGGTCATTTACAGATGGACGCTCTGCGACCAGCTCTGCAACAGACTTTGGAACAGTGGAGTTGTTTTGAGAGAGATCTGAAGGAAGTTTCTCTGCACACCACCAGGGTGTGCTGTGCTCTGCAGCACCAGCCTCTGTTCTCACTGAAGCAGGCAGAGGGACATTTAGACCTCCTCCAGGTGAGCAGAAGCACTGATCATCATATCTTGTACACATGGTCACACAGAGGCTTCACAGCTTCAAGAAGAAATAATCACATGTTCTATTTTATCATAATGACCACCAGATTAATTCAGGCATGTTTTGCTGCTTCAAAGTGAATTGATCAAAAGGCTGAACAGCTTTTAAACTACAATTTACAAAAGCAAGATTTTTTTTGTTACTCTGAATCAGCCACTTGTACTGTTAGGAAAGTAAGTTAAAGCACTTCCATCTGGTTTTGACAGATTCAGTAAATGTGTGGGCGTTCATGGACGTCAAGCCTTCAGTACCACAGTCACTATACTTAGAGTTTGGTGAAGATATTAAAGGTGTTTTTGTGCACAGCAACTCCAGGAGAAGGCTGAAAAAGGGGAGGAGCTTTTGGTGAACGTGGACAAATCCTATCAGAGTCTAGTGAAGACTCTTCATCCTGGAACGGTGCAGATACTGGAGGATCAAATGAGAGGAGAGAGAAAACGGTCAGTGGCCTGAAATTATTACAACAGATTCAGTGGATCACATTCAGCAAAGAGGTGTTCAAATCACTGCTGTCAAGTGAAAAAGACAATATAATGTGTGTTGATTCACAACCCAAGAATGATTTGTGGTAGGAATATCCAGCCTCTCTGTCCCTATTTGAAATACTATAGATATTGTAATAAGAGCACCGATCTTTGATTATGTCCTGTCCATTATGCTTTTACTTGTACTAAAGTGTAACAGCAATAACATACAGTAGGTGTATGGATTTGAGATCAGATGGCACACACACATTCTGGAGTTATACAAAGTTGAGTAACGATGTATTGTGTTCAGGTGGACGGACTTGGTGCAGGAGTTGAAAGATGAGCACACGAAGACTGGAGAGACACTTTCCCTCTGGCAGGAGTACGCTCGCCTCTCAGATCAGTGCTCCCTTCACCTGCAGACACTGTGGCATCAGTGGGAGGAGTTACCAAGATCTTCTCCTCAGCAGGACGCACAGGCCATGCTTCACTCAGTGGAGGTGAGTTCAGGAGGCTTTTCGTGTGTCAGAGTGAGCACCAAAATCCAGTGACTGCTGATTTGAAGTTACAGGCTCCCTCATCTCTCAAGTAATTCTACACTTTATTCTTGTAATATGGAGATTAGCTGATAACCACTTCTTTACATGAACACATAACAGATGTACACACAAAATTTTTGTTATGGAAAGAAGACTCCTTACTGTAAGAAACAATTTCTTATTACTAATCTGTCAACATGTCACTTTTTAAAGATGTTTGTTTAAAAACAATATGTTTCTGAAGCAACTAATGTCCACAAGAGTCTTTAATTTTTAATTTTAGCATTCCAAACAACTTAACTAATGCAGAAATTGTTGGGGCATCCTGAGAAAGTGAGAATTTATTCTACTGATGATTAAAAATTAGCAAAATATGCCACATCTTTGTATAACCCTGACGCCCAAAAAGTTGGTAGGCTGTGTAAAACATAGATAAAAACAATTTCAGTGATGTGCTAATCCTTTTTGACCCATTTTAATTTAAATACAATACAAAGTCAAGATATTTTATGTTATTCTTTTTGGTGAATATACACTCCTTTTGAATTTGATGCCTGTAACATGTTCCAAAAAAGCTGGGACAGGGCATGTTAACCACTTTTTTACATCACCCTTTCCTTTTAACAACACAGAGAAAGAGTTTGGGATAAGAGTAAAAACTTCAATTAATTGTTGGAATTTTGAAAGTTAAATTCTTTCCAGTTCTTGCTTAGTATTTGACTTTACAGATTCTTGTAATCCTTTGATGATATTATGGACTGTAAATGGAAAAGACCCTCAATCCCTTGCAGTTATGTGACTGTTTGCCCACTCAGTTTTTCACAAAGAGATGAGCTTTATCCTTTCTTGTTAATGACTGAACATTATGAAAATATGCCCCTTTCATACCTAATCCTGATGCTATCACCTGTTAACAATTACCTGATTACCTGTGAAATGCTCCACACAGATGTTATTTGAGCGTCCCACAACCTTCCCAATCTTTTGTTGCCCCTGGACCAGCGTTTTTGGAACCTGTTACTGGTATAAAACTCGAAAATCAAAAAAAAGTTTTTATCAGTTTAAACATTAAATATCTTGTCTTTGTACTATTTTTAATTGAATGTAAGATCCCAACTTCCTAACAGCATCCCAACTTATTTGGAATTTGGATTGTGCATTCATATAAACAACACAAACTTGTTTATTTAGAGCTCACAAACGTCTGCATATTTGCTGCATTTGAAGTTGTTGAATTGAAATTTATTTTCTGCTGGCGTTGCTAAATGTCACTGAGAGCAGATAGGACCAGTTTCATAACATGCTTGTTAGACTGCTAAGTTTTGTGCGGCTCTGCAATTCTTCTTAGAACTGATTCATCCTGTACTCTATGTATTTCATTCACAATTTTGTTAAATGTGCCTCTCAATGAATGGCCTCCTATTCTTGGAAATAAACAGACAGCATGCACTTAAGGGCAGAAATATCAGCAATGGTCTGCAAAACAAAAAAGCTTTCAAGCCATTCACGTCATTTTTACCATCTTTACCCCTCTTTAGAAGTACTCTAAAAGGCGTGTTTTGAAATTGTTGAGTCAGACCTGTGTGGAAAACGAGATTTCCATTTTCCATTTTTCAACAGCATAAAAAGCAGCTATTATGTGGTTATAAGTGTTTTTAAGAAGAAGATTGATGTAAACAGTTGAAGAGATGATGGAAGATAGGAAACACCAAGTAATTAAATCCAATTAAATACCATAGTAAAAACAGTAAATAGACATATGGATTAAAAAGTGTTTATCTTCTCATTCATCGATCTAACTGGTTTGTTTTTGTCTTATACTCTTTAATACCAGAAGTTGCAGGATGCTGCAGAGGATTTGCAAAGCAGTGTGGGAGATGTGCTTGCAGCTTCCAAGCCTCTTGTTGGACGGTTAGAACCACCGGCTGCAAATATAGTCCAATCCGAGACCAGAATGCTGTCACGTGACGTCCTGCTGCTGAGTCAGGCAGTGTCAGGAAAAAAGAAGAGTGTTCAGGTGAGGAAATTAGTCTGCCTTCATTTTACAACAAATACCAATTTTAACTGTTCAGTTTATGTTACACTTACAGTTACAGTAATGAATGGAGACCAGTTTCCCTGAGGTTTAATGTGACACTGTAACTTTAATGTTCAAATTTCACAAATCCACTTTCACATATCTTTCTGTGCAGGAGGATGTGGAGCAACAGAAACTTTTCCACACTCGACTGGAGGCCCTTGAAAAGCAGACACAGGACACACAGCAGAAACTTAAGGCCAGCTTGAGTGACACAGACTCTGTAAAGGTTGGTCTGAATCCTTATTATAACTGATAAATGATCTTTCCTCTACATAACTTCTACATACGCATTCTCTTTAAATCTAAAGCAGAGGGTTTCAAACTGTGGAAGAGAGTTGAAGGGGTGGTGTAGAGAAAGAGATGTGAGGCATTATCTGCAATTTATTAAATAAATAAATTTAGGGTTACTTACACTCAGGGTATGAAATTAACAAAATATTTTGGGGGCAATTTTGGCCCCCACAGTCTAAAAAATGGGGGCATTTTCAAAATGTTTGGGGGCCATCAAAAAATTGTAATTATGTTCTAACAATAAGCACATGAAAAGCAAAACCAACTAAGATAGTTTCTTCACTCTTCAGTAGAAACCACTATAAATGAAACAAATAATGGGTTACATAAAGTTATGGTTGCAAAATATCACTCAGATTTCCTATAATTCACCAGTTTAAATGTGATGATTTAACCATTAATCTACTGATAGCAGTACTAATGTTTCACCACATTACAGTTACTTGTACTGTTAAAAAGGCCAAATTACTATAAATTCCTTAGATGCAATCCTGGAGGTAAGTTAATTTAAAATTGAACATTCATTCTACCTTAATTTTTCATTGTGTAGACACAGATCACCCAAGAAATGGTTAATTTATACTTATGGTACAGCAAAACCCCCTCCCCTTCTCTGTCAGATTACTCTCATGTAATCAGTGCAATCTCGTTGATTATGTCTGGAAAATGAGTTGTAGACGTGACGGTAAATTAATTTAATGAAAATAAAATTATACTTTAATGTCAGATTGTAATACTGTTAAAAATATAAATACATATAGTTGTTTCGAAAACTTGGGGACAATTTTGGCCCCCGGAACATGGCTTTTGGGGGCATTCTTGGATAAATTGCGGGCCAAATGGCCCGTGGCCCTTGCTAATTTCTGACACTGCTTACACTCCCCAAGTATATTATTATCATCCTCAATCGTGAATTAAGTTATACAGAAATAACAGAAAAGAGATGGTTCTTATTACTCCAGAACAAAATCATTGCGTTTTTAGTTTTTCTTCACTATCAAAGTCATCTTGTGATAGATAGCTGTCTGTTTATCCATGGGTGGATATTAATTTGGTCTACTTCAGGGGTCTGCAACCTTTGCCATTAAAAGAGTCATTTTTGACCAAAAATAATTTGAAAAAATCTGTGTGGAGCCGCAAAACATGTTTGAGCCTTATAATCAAGGTAAATAGCCTATTAAGTCTAAATTAGCGTATACTTATGGTCTAAATAAGCATTTTTTAATATGTTTTACCACAAGGTGGTCACTGTTCAGGGCACTATTAATAATTATCTGGTACTTATATTTTGCAGAGCTGGCAGTGAGAGCAAACAAATCTGTCCATGCACTACTATATTCTCTATTTTATTCAATTTACTTTTTTGGATTTGGCATCCATAGCTAACCAGCCACTGCTATCGATGTTCAGCAACATTTGGATTCATAGAAGGAATTTCCATAGACTTCTTTTCTCAAAGGCTCAAGGAGCCACTGGACAGGGGCTAAAGAGCCACATGTGGCTCCGGAGCTACAGGTTGCCTACCCCTGGTCTACTTAAAATACATGTCAAGTTGTGGCCCACAGCTAGCTAGCTGGCTTCAAGGCAACATTATACTTCCTGCTTACATCTCCCAAACTCTCCAAATATTGGCAGCCGTTGTTTCAAAACTTGTGTGGCTTCTCCATTGACACTTTTAGCCACGCTGAATCAAACCATGCTGCACTGATTTGCCTTTCCACTACCATTTTAAGTGTGCTGAATTGTGCCTAACTGCACCTGGGATGTACTGACAGAGTTGGGGCAAAGTGCACTCAACTGCCTCTAAACTGGTTGTGCTGATGTTATCTGTCAGCTATGGATAGAGAAAGTCATTTAATTCACTCAAAGGCTTGCATGCTACTCAGTGCATGAGTTGATGTGAATCAAGGCATCTGGTGTACACATACAGTGCAGAGAAAAAACAAATACACTCAGACAACAGTACAAGAGTGTTATTTATCACAACAACGGCAGCAGAGTGGACAAAAAAACATTCCCTTGGTGCACAAGCACGTAATCGGGTAAAGACACAGCTATAAGTGGGTAGTGCTGTTGTATGAAGATGTGAATCTCTGCTGTGATGGGCCAACGCGCTGAGTCAAGCTGAGTCAAGCCAGCAGGTGTATGAAAAAGGCTATTAAAGCATGATTATGCCCCAAACCCAAGTGAGACAAAGGATTAATTATATGGATCATATAATCAAGCAGTATGAACTTTTATCATGTTGGAATATCAGTATTTGTTTTACTTTATCAGGGCTTAGCATCGGTCTACATTTTGTTTGAAAGGGTTCCACATCTATCTGAAAATGTGTTTTTGTGTTTTTTATTTATTGGATGTGTAGCAGGTTCTCCTGGAACTCAGTGAAATGTTTCCATCACTGGTTGACGTCAGGGAAACAAGTGCTTATGTGGCCATTAACAACCGTGAGGCAGAGAGACTGCACATGCTCAGCAGGCAGTGGGTTCAAAGCATGATGCGCGCATCTGACACCAACAGGTGAGAAAGTTCAGTTCAAAATGATGCACAAATAAAAATCCATAAAGTGGGCAACTGTATATTTTCCTTCTGACAGCTATAATCAGTATTTGTGGGAGCACTTAAAATCATTTCAGCCACTCTGGCAGAGATGTGTAACATTACCTGTTGTTTCACAAGATGTTCAATGTTGTAATGACTGATCTAATTTTGGTGGATGTGTCTGTTTAGAAAGAAGCTTTCAGTTGTAGTCTAATTTTCCTGTTTTATGCTCTTTTTTTTCAGAGCCCTGGAGGCTGAGCGTCAGCGCTCTCAGAACTTTCAGGAGAAGTGTAAAAACCTGACGTCTATCCAGAAGAAGCTGGAGGAGGAGTTGATGTCAAAAAAACCTCAGAGTCTCTCCAGCCTCCAGGAGATGCTGAGTGTCCATCAGGTACAATACACTTTTCACATTCTCTACATTTCTTTCATTTCAGAGATATTGATTAGACTTCTATCTGACTAACTGGGACCAGTGTCTAAATGGTTTTAGGACTTAAATTATCTGGGAATCAAGGGTGCTTCAAGATTTTTGCGCCTTGGTACACAGAAAATAAATGTAACTCAAATTTAAAAGTTTGTCTCAACGCCTCTATGCTTTTTTGTCTAACATGGTACAGTGATGAGCCATGTAAGTTTAAATACAGATTTGATTTATGAATGTTTCCTGTTTTTATCTCCCACTCCCACAGAGGCTTGAGGCTGACATTATTACTGGACACCAGCTTCTGCAGGGTCTTCTCTGTCAGGCAGTCGAGTCCATGGAAACAGCAACGGGGGAGAAAAGGTGACTGATTGAAACATCTTGAAAGACAGGAAATGGCAGTTTTAAATCTTTAACAAAAAATTTTTAAAGCTCAACAGGTTTTCGGTTCCAGAGTCCAAAATACTGCATGCACAGCAGTGGCTCATCTCCTTCCTGTAAGGCCTAATTTACCCTGGCTCTTCTTCCTCTATGTCTCATTTCTGGACTAGAATGATGTTAATACATTGACAAAGGATCATAGAATTCCTCAGTTTCAGGAGTGCGCTCAGTATAGCATACTCCTTAGTTTGATTGGTTGGTCAAATTCATAAGAACAGCAGGTGTTTGGCACCACATTGGCACCTATAACTCCAAGTTATTAAATAATTTATGACTGCCAGTTGAAGGAGCTGTATTTTATTGATTATTATTATTGATGTCCTCCTCCTGCTCTCCCTCTCTTTGTCATCAAGGCTCAAGATTTGTCTAACAGTTTAATAAGAGCCACCCTTTTGAAGTTCAGCAACACCAGGGACCATGACATCTGTCTGAAAGGAAAATTTCAGTAGGTAGAGGGGAGTTAAGATGAAGAAAAAACAGTGAAAAAACAAGGCCTTTGAAGTTTTTGAAAATACAAATAGACATGGATCATTGAAAGTGTTTTAGTTTATATAGTTTGTGCAGGAATAGAAATTCCCTGTCTCTCCATCTCCCACTTACACAATACATTGCTTTACTGTGCTATTTTAAAGAAGGCAAAAGATCACATAGTCTGCCATCACTGTATCACAGTGCAATTGAGGAATGTTCAAGCTTCACTCTCTTTTAATTGTTGTCTCTGAGCTTCGGTAAAACCTACTAGTTCTCAGTAGAAAAAATTTCAGTGTTGTAACAGCAATTAACCTTGAACTGTGTCTCAAACTACTTGAGAAAACTGAGCCTGGAAAGTTCTGAAAAAGCTTGAACTGAAGGTGTTGGAATCCTGAAGGGGCTTTTATCTTCGCTAAATATTTAAATGTTGACAGGACATGTGATGCATCATGGTCACACTATCAATATCTAGTTAGGACAGGATGTCAGATCTCAATAGATTGATAAAATGTTTTACACATCAACTCACTTTTGGTATTTGGACCAAACTTAGCACCACTATTTAAAAAAAAAGAAAAAGAAATAAAGGAGAAAATGATTCAGCACTGTCATGCGGAGGAGAAACTGTGGTAGTAATCAGGGCATGCTGATATTAAGTTTTGTATTCTTCACAGGTCCTGTCACCCAACAAAATAATTAGATTTGAGGTTTTCTGGTTGCATTTTTGTCTTCATTTATTGCTCATATTGAGTGTGCGTTGCTGACATATAACAAAATGCAGCTTGTGCAGGTGTTTTTCTGCTCTGGAACATTTGAATGACTCTTTCTCCAGAGCTTCCTTAAATCATTTTTATAGTCTTTGGAAAGCTTAGAGAGCTCTTAATATTTTTCATATTTTATTTTTGTGAGGAGCTAAAGGAGAGTTTCTTCTCTTGCCCCTGCTGGGATCACTGCTTAGGGTCATAAGACGGTGTTAAAATCCTGCTGATTTTATGTTGATTTAGCAGTTACCTGTGAAGGGACTATGACAGACCCATTTGTAACTTTTTTCTTTACTATTTTTTGTGCAAATTTTTTTAACCAGGAAAGTGTTTTATGCTGTTTCTATCCATTGGACGGATCCCAACATATGTAAACATTTTCCATCAGTACTATTATTTTTCTCCAAATATATCAAAGCTGAACCTCTTGTGTTGCCTCTTGCACACACAGATCTGAACTCATGGCACAAGTGATCTCTATGAGGGAGAGCTGGTTCAACTCTGTCGCTCTGGCCAGCCAGCGCAGGTCCTTGACAAAAGAACAGCTAGGCCAGTGGAGAGTCTACCATCGTGGCTCCAAACTATTGTGGAAGCTGTTGAGGGTCGTCGACCCTTTGCTGCCCCCTGCTGGACCTGCTCTGTGCGCACTGCAGCAGCTGCAGAGCTGCCTGGATGATAACCAGGTTAGTGTGTGTGGATGCCAGTGAAAGTGTACAGTCACCTTCTTATATTAATTAACAAAAGTGTGGTAATAGTAAAATTGTGTACCAAATGTAATATTTTATTTTGTTAAAAATACTAAACAATAAGCACTGTCTCCCCATTTCTTTCAAAGTGTGTTGAAGATGCTCTGGGTCAGCACACCGCAGTGTACACCCAGACGCTGGAGGCTGGCAGACATTTATGTGAAACCATGACAGAGTCTGAGTGTCAGAGCAGACTGCAGTCAGAGCTCCAGGCCATACAGGAGGCCTGGGAACGAAGCGCCCCACTGCTGGAGAGGAGGAGAGACCTGGTCAAGACAACTGTTCAGGTAACATATTTCATATTTCCATCACAGCCCAAGACTCCCATATTTGTCATTGTAATGTTTATTTTAAATCATACATTAAAAAATTTCAGTCTTAGTCTCAGTAAAATCAATCCCATTAAGGTTTTCAAAATAAGACAATAAAAATTTGACTTAAACAAACATGGTAGTCCTACCAATATATCGTTCAGTCAGCAGGATACAAATTCACTGCACTGTTCAGTTTACACTGCTGAACTGTTGAAGCAGCTGTATGCAACATTTAGAGCATAAAAGTCTGGGGCAGGATTGTCTGCACACACTTCTCAATATGGAGGTGGCTGAGCCAGCAACTGGAAGCTAATGGTGCCAACTCCATAAACAGTGCTAACAGCAGCAACAGTGCTGACAGAGCTGTTGGCTTGGTGGGAAACTGGAGGGTGGGTGCTACGCTTGCATAACGATGGCGTCCCATAGCAGTGAGTCAGGACAGTGTTTTTACTGGTAACTGCCATATGAGTGCAGTGCAGAGCATCGCAGATTAGATTTTATATCTTATATAATTTAAGTTCAGCCAATGAATCCTACTGATTTCCTAAAATGTCCCTGGAGTTCACCTCTTCTTTTTTGTTTCCTTAATGGTTACTGGAGTAAAATAAGAATACAGATATTAGAAAAAATACTTAACAGAAATATTAACACTCTTCTGCTGCATATGTGGTCAAAAACTTAACAGGAAGTAGAATCCAGTGGAACTTGCAGATTTTAACGTATAGTTTTAGTGTATCGAGCAGCTTTAGGCTGACAAAAATCCAACAGAAGAGCATGTGTTACAGTATTAACAATGGGGAGTAGGAGGGGTCAGCATGCATGACCCATATCCAGGACCTGATCCTACCCACACACACACACACACACACACACACACACACACACACCCTGGTGTATTGCCCTGGCACAGACCTCCAGCCGAGAGGGATCAAAGAGAAGCTCAAATCTATCCATGATCCACATCCAGAGACGGCTGGTTACCAGGGTCTGTCGCTTTCATTCCATCACTGTACAGAGCTGGAAGGCAGGAAGGCATGGACACACTCAGACTCTAATAAAATACTACAAAAATAAAGTAAAATAATCAAAGCAGGCTGAAATGTTTGAATAACAGAAGGGCTTCCCAGCTTCATGAGCTGTGTTGATTACAGTATCTGAATGTTTCGGTGCCCAGGCCAGGCAAGGTCAGGGAAAGTTGTGTTAACCCTTTTAAGCTGAACAGGATCCGCCTGCAGGAAAGGAAATCCCTCTTAGCAACATGTCAAAGATCACACAGAGAGGAGCATTAATGCACAAAGTAGAACTGACAAGCAGGAGACACACTTGGTCATCAAATAATGGTCAAGTGAATAAAGGTTTATAGGGGCAGAAAGGCATTGTGGGTGCTGTGGTTTGGTTCCATTTAAAGTGTACGGTCTCGATCTGAGGGATTTTTGTTCGTTGAAATGATTACGTGTTTGGGTAGCACACTTGCAGTATTGTTTCTGGTATAACTTTATAATATGGCATGTTGAAAAGCAGGTTACCTCTGCGGTGATTGATGTTCTGAGATGTGATTTTCAAACACAGTTCCCCAAAAATATACTGTCAAAGTTTTCATAGCACCCTCGAGCTCTGTGGTTAAACATTAACATGTCAAATATTTGTTACACACTGACACCCGGGATTCTCCTTCTCTGTGCTCTGCTGTTGATTTAGAAGTGGTCTCAGTGTCAGGATGGGATCACCAGAATCATGTCTGAACTGGATGAAGTGAAAAACAAGCTGGAGCAGCCGCTGCCTGAGAGACTGCAGGACTCTGAGAGCGAGACACACATTCAGGTAATTATAAAACAGGAAGTCTCTGTGAAATCTCGTCTGTATTCTGATCCCTCACTACTGGAACAGCAATAAAATAAATCACAGCCTGTAAGTATTTCTACCACCACTTACTCATAATGAAGGGAAGTTGTGTAACAGCCATTTTTAAAAAGAAACGCAGGACATTTTAAAAACATTTATCAGCCATGCAGTCCCTGAATAAAGGAACAATGACACAAAAATTGGTGCTCCAAGCCAAACTTTAGCATACAGTATTATATGTTGAATAGTGATAGAGCATTAGCAATATCCAAAAATAATGACAGAAGTCTAATCTTATTATAATAAATGTTATAAATTGTGTACAAATTATTCTGCGCAAACCTGCCAGAGAACCTACAGTTCCTTCTTTCCTCCTTTTTAAAATGATGCAATAGTATAACAGAGTTGTAGCTACTAGAGGTGGACGATATGGCCCTAAAATAATATCAAGATATTTCACAGTATTTTTGCGATAACCATATTCTTGACAATATGACAAATTAGTAAAAAAAAAAAATTATTAATTTAAGAACATAGAATTGCAACAAAATAAGTGATATAGTTAACATGTCAACCAAACAGATCGCCTTCAAATACTCAGTAAGAATTAAAATTATCATTTCTTTAGCTTCAGATTCTGTGTACAATATTAATAGTTCAATTAAATAAAGTCTAGCACAAACTACACATTTAAACAGCTCCCAAATACAAAAAATGTACCCTGGGATTTCCTTCTCTTTTAGCAAAATCCTAAATGTTTTTTTTCACCTGGACCTTTATGCTCTGCCATTTCTCCTCTAATCATCACGCTGTAACCTGTGACAGGCTGTTATGACACCAGAACTATCGCACGTTCACATATATGTCGTTTAGCCATGAGCGTCACGTAGGTTTATGACGAAATCACTTGACGACACTAGGAGAGGTGAAGAAGAGACGCTGTGCTGCTGCCGGAGGGGCCGCTGAATGAGTTCCTTCTGAGCGGTAACTCGCTAAAACAGCCTGCGAAGTCTGGGGCTGTTCATAAAACATTCAGGACGCCACAGTTTATTCCACACTACTGATGATCAAAGCATTTCTAAAATTTTAGATAGGTCCCTGTAGATAAAATCCTAGTCCTTATTACTGCAGACAATCATCCAGTAGCACACAAAGACAGTCTCAAAAAACTCTTGGTATTAACAGAGCAGGACCCCATTTAGGATGAATTTTCTGCCACAAAGTACCCAAATTACTTTTCAGTATCCATGCTCGATTTTGCAGAGAAGAAGGCGCTAAGGATGACCTGAATGCGTTCATTGAATAACCTTATATAATAACAGACTTGTCATGGTTTGAGATGGAGACTGCAAAGAGTAAATTTGTGAATAATGTTTTTTTCATGGTTATCAAAAATTATAAATTACTGTACAACATATATGACAATAAAGCATAACGTTGCTACATCAGTCCCAACAAATCAGCAGCATGAATCTGTTGGTGAGTAAGCTAACAGGTCAGTTGGTCTGCAAACTAGCCAAAGTCCCCCACCCCTCAACTCCATCAGTAGCTACCCCCCATCCCACCAGAGCGCCTTTGAGTTTACCCCCCTTTCCCTTATTAAATACCCCCATGCTTTCACTCCCCTCCCCCTTTCTGCCCCTTCCAACCCTCCCCCTGTCCCGTCCACAGCCCTTTAATCTGGATGGTCAGAGCGAGGAAGAGGTGTAGAAGCGTATGCACGCAGCTTGTACATGGCTGTCTGACGGGATGTCTGTGTATGTGTGTGTTATGCAGGAGACAGACCTCTCTCTGCAGCGTGTGGCCAGTGGATTTAAGGAATTGGCCACCATGAAGACGGACCTGTCCCAGTACGTCGCGGCTGGTGACTCGGCTCTGCTAGAGCAGCAGCTGGAACAACTCCATGCGCAATGGGAAGAGCTGTGTATGAAGGTGAGAACTGACAACAAATAAATATATATCTAGAGAGAGAGGCCATAAATGGACCAGAGAGTGAGGGATTGTAGAGGTGCAGGTGGAGAGGAAGGACCGGGAAGGGAGGGAGAGATGGAGGGAAAGTTGTTGCGGGCATTGTCTTGGCGGTGACCAGCAGCACAAAGCCTCTGCACCACTGGGGCTGAACTACCACACACATACACACACATACATGCACATGGACACACTCATTTGTTTGAGAAAAGAGCAACATGTTCAGGTTGATAGAGGGAAAATTCTTGTCCTATTATTAACACCCTGGCAACTTGCCTCCTTACAGCTCAACTAAATGTGTTTTTTAAATCCTCTGCAAATGTGCCAAAACTCAAGCTCATTGTTTAAGTTCGATGCACGCTGTACGGGACAGGTCCAGACCTGTCTTGACATTGGTTTCTGCTGGTATCATTTTTTTGCAGTTCATTCACACGTTTTTCAAAGAGTCACTTGAAAGGTCATAATTAGCTCATGGCTCGGACGGACACACTGTACTAAAAGAACAATCACGTGAAACTCTCAGAACAGAACTGGCTGTTAATTCTGTAACTGCATTATTCATGAAAGTAGGTCTAACGTATAGACGCGGGCTCAAATTCCTACAGTTAAGTCTTTTGGCTTAAACACAAATACGCTCTTGTTCTTCAGAAACCAACAGTTATGACATGCTGGGGACATTTTTGTCAGTTACTAGGGTTATGGGATAATTTGCGGTCATGCTAATTGGGTCCCCAGTTAGAAGTGGCTGCTTCCACCTGCTCCTGTCTTGGCAGGAGTTACTGGGACTCACAGATGCAGCAACAGCAGCCAGCAGGTTTTTTTGTTGATGTTTGGTGCTCTGTATGTTGTAGTCTGCTCATCCTAACTACTGAATTTTCTTACGTTTGTCTCAAAATAAACATGAAACACATAATTTCCCGAAAACTATTGAATGTTCTCAAGGAAAGACCTGCCACTTATTGAGTGCTGAGTATCAATTGAAAAAGCCGACATGCATTTTGTACATAGTATGAATGAGTGGTCAAAGTATAGTTAAGCCATTGCAAAATTTTATTTTTTGCTAAATTGTCAAACTGCTGGAAAAAATTAGATTAAGTCAAGTTATTTCAGAAAGGACAGACTAATTTCAGCTCTTTGGTCACACAAGATTTTTCATCCCTATTAATTCCTGACGTGGCCGGGGGGCATGGATCTGAGCCAGCACCATTTCCTCTGCATAGCTAACAGGTTGTAGGTGGGGGAAGCCACTGGAATGGGTCCGCTGAGCAGATGGCCTGGCTGGGCTAAAGGGATTCACGGAACAGCCTCTATTGTTCCAGGGGGAAGCACAAAGTCCTCACGGGGTGACAGCAGCTCACAATGCACCCTAAATTCTCCAGAGTCCGAAAAGGCCCAGCAGTGTTAGGACATTAAAACCAAAGCAGGGCTCATTTAAATCAAATAGATGCCACTGAAAAGTAAAATATAGCTGGTTTAGCAAACATGCCCCGTGGGCTTACTAAGCCCTTTAACCTCAAAAAGATCATCAGCCCCCTCCTCAGCTACGTAATGGGGTGTTTTCATGGCATTAAGCTGTCATTAGCAAAATGGACCTTGTTAATTTTATCAAACAGCCAGAGTCCCTCTGGGATTTCTCTCAGTTCAGTTGATTACTGACTCTGATAGAGATTAAATGATGCTATTGCTTCAGTGTAATAAAATAAAACACTTAATGTTCAGTTCATTTGGTTTTTTTAATTCACTTCTGTATCATGTAATCTGTTGTATTGAACAGTACTTGTCTTTAGTAATCTACCAGGTTGTGTGTCCCTTTGCACTAAGCTCAAATCTACAAATTGAACTGTTGTGTAGTAGAATTAGGTCAGAGTACCCTGGATACATACCAGGAAATATTACAGCGAATGACACTGTTTCAGACTGGATTGATATTTGTCAAAATCCAAAGCACCACTGTTTTGAAGCTTTTGTTGTACACATTTCAGACAGTTAAGACCTTTTTGTGTGCAGTTGTTCCCAGCAATTCTGTAGTAAATTTGGCAAAAAAACATGCATAATTTTGTAACTAAGACACATCAATCAATCAAACGTAATTTAAATGCACTTTTCATACAAACAGAATGCAAGAGAAACGGTAGCACTCTGGCAATGTTCATAAGATGATAAAATCCAGTTTTGGTTATACTTTTAATGTGTTGTTCAAAACTAAGATGTGAATCAAAGATAGCTCCAAGGTTTTTCACTTGTTGACAGGGTTTTAGTGCCAGTTCTTGTTTCTCTCTCTGCGCTTCAGGACCAATAACTAAGACCTCGGTTTTCTCCTGGTTGAGCTGAAGAAATTTTTCCGCCATCCAGGACTTGGTGTCTAAAATACAGTTAAAAAGGGCATCAGTTGGCCCTGAGTCATCAGGAGACACAGTGATGTACAGCTGTATATCATCAGCATACTGTAACTATGGAGACTGATGCCGTGCCTCCTGATGGCGTTTCCAAGTGGCAGCATGTAAACATTAAAAAAACATTGGACCTAATACTGAACCTTGGGGGACCCCACAATCCATTTTATAACTTTTTGATAAATATTCATCCATTGTTACATAAAATTCTCGGTCAGAAAGATAAGATTTAAAACAGTTAAAAACAATACCAGAGAGGCCAACCAGATTATGAAGTCTAGCTAAAAGAATTAAGTGGTCAACTGTAACATAGGCTGCAGTCAGATCAAGTAGTACTAATACAGAGAGTTTTTTCACATCCATATTTGACCTCAGGTCATTAACAACCCTGACCACTGCCGTCTCTGTGCTTTGATTGGCTCGAAAGCTAGACTGGTATTTTTCAAAAATATTAACTAATATTAATTGACCCAAAAAAAACAAGCTTCTCTAAAATTTTACTTAAAAATGGCAGATTGGACAATGGTCGGAGTTAGTACTGAGGCATCTACATTATTTCATTTCAAAAGAGGCTTAACCATGGCAGTTTTAAAAGAAGGGGGGAAATTTCTTTTTCTAGTGTAAATGTTATCATTATAATGGTTTGTTTAAAATCTATAAATTATGTTTAGTGCCTGGTTTGGACAAAGCACCTCATCTGGTTACCCTGAACTAGCATTATAATGGTATCAAACGTTGCTAGTGCAAATATTAAACCAGTATGTATCATATCTGATACGTATGCTGTCAGTCATGTACAACTTACTGGTCTATTTCTAATTGTAGATTAGTTGGCACCACAGGTGTCCAGTTAGCACTACAAAGGTCTGTCTGTAAAGTGAAGTATTAAAATGGCTGTTTGAATTGCAACAGGCAGTAGTTAACATAAAAATACATCTGTGTGGTCAATGTGAAATCATTAAGCAGTGATTATCTGAGTACTGATACTTTGACATTGAGTTACTTAAGAGTTACTTAATACCACTTTTATCATTTTTCCCAGGTATCCTTGCGCAGGCAGGAAATCGCAGACCGCCTCAATGCCTGGACCATCTTCAACGACAAGAACAAAGAGTTCTGCGATTGGTTGACTCAGATGGAGAACAAGGTCTGCCACAGCGGAGATCTGAGCATCGAGGAGATGGTGGAGAAACTGAAGAAGGTACAAACTTTAGTGAATGTTTATATCTTCCTATTTTGTAAGAACAGGTGCTTTCTTGCATTGTCATGTGAAAACTACAATACAGACAAATATTAGGGCTCCGTCTGGTACGATTTTGTGTCAGATATTTTTTAGGATATTTTTCCAACTGTCCAACAACAGTTGGTTAAAAGTGTAATGTTGTAGGAGTTCCCTCACTTCAACCATGACTCCTGGATTAGAGTTTATACAGGACACTACTCGCACATTATTCTCCATAAATAGCACATTATGTAATCCCCAGCATCAGACCATGATTCAGGGCATGAGCATCACATGTTTAGGTTTAAATCCATACATAAACAACGTGAATTATGCTGTTTATAACAGATGGTGGCCTGGAATGAAATGGCTCTGCTGCCCTTTGTTCATACACAACAGTTGTCCTTTCAGCGACTGAAAGCCTTTTGTACCTTCCTGGCTCATCATGAAGCGTGCTCATTTAGTAAACAAAACAATAATTAGTTGGAACGTTGTAGGGTTGTTGTTTTGGGCTGTAAGATTAGATGAGAAAATTACTGGCACTAATAGTTCCCTTTAATTATTTGGATAGCTAAGGATGGCACTTCCTGGTGATCACTGACCGCTCCAAGGCGTGGAAACAGGTGTGTGGCAGGTTCAGTGAATGGGACACTGAATAGGGGAAGTTTGTTGTAGACACTTTGAATCATTCCACATCAGCCAATTTCTCAAAATGGTTGCCAATGCTAACCTGGAAACCATTACTGTCAAGCCCTGTTGTGTTTATCTGGTCATTTAAAGCTTTAATAGACAAGATTATTTCAAAACTGAGATGCTTGCTACCTTTTTTATGACTTTTGCTTGTAAGAGATCACAGAGTGGCCAAATAAGCATAAAACATGCGGTTAATTATTGATATGCTTCATGATAATTGGGCATTAATGTCTTCAACTGCAGCTGAACCTCACATCCATAGAATGCAGGGATTAAATTATGTATTATGCATAATAACATTACTCAAAAACCTCCATATAAAATCTGCCAACACAAATAAATACTAGAAAGAAAGAGCTGAGTAAAATTCAGTCAGTCAGCATTGGATAGATGCTGTTTTTTTCTTTTCTTGAGGACATGATGGTTGTAAAGCAGCAAACTTTCATCATGTCATGTTTCCACAGGACTGCATGGAGGAAATCAACTTATTCAGTGAGAACAAAAGCCACCTGAAGCAGCTGGGTGAGCAGCTGCTGTTAGCCAGCGACGAAGCCAAGCAGATGCAGGTCCACGGCTCGCTGCAGGAGGTCAACCAGCGCTGGCACAACCTCTTCCACGACATCGAAGCCAGGTGAGAGCAGCTGCAGCTGCCGCAGAAGCTGTCAGCAGGGGTTAAGTGACACACTAACATGTACGTGTGTGTATTTGTATCAATCAAGCACTTTGCAGAAAAGGAAAGCAAACAAAACAGACTTTTCAAAGGCAAATAGGTATATTAAAAATCAAAGTGTGTGTGTGTGGATTGTTTCAGATACACTCTAAATTGCACCCCATGATTAACTTTGAGCACCAGCACCTTTCACAGCAAAGCCACTCTACATTAAAGAGCATCATTATGCACTGACAGGCTCTAACAGGGAGCCTGTAATTAAACAATAGCTCTAATGCGCATCCATCCACCTGCTGTTGTGTTAGTCGTGCTCTACAGCTGTCAGCAATACATGTCTTCTAATGTACAGTCTGTAGGTTAAGCCCCTGTCATGGTTAACTGTTACTGCCCCTGACACCCCCCTGTCAGACAGATGGACAGTCCTGTAGAAGAGCCGGAGACACAGACCTGCACATCCACCCCCACCACAAAAAAAGCTGTGCATACATCTCAGACAGTACCATATTTCCCCGTGTCCACACTGACTCCCCCACTTATTTGAGTCTGGGGTTAGTGGGAGGGGCTTTGTCTGTCGGCATGCGTTAATCGCTGAGGTCCCCTTTAGATTTCAGAGGGCTTGATCCCATGCGGGCAACATTGTTGAATGTTTAAGCCCTGAATTCTTGACCTTTTACATGTTATTTCTGTATAGAGGTGCTTTAGAGATTTAAAAACTTTAAGAAGCTGGACTTTTTTACAAGTAGGGAAAATAACCCTTCATTTTCTTACATTACATTTGACTACATTTTTCTTAAAACTTGAAACTGCTAGAGTCAAATTTGAGTGCTTCCACACTCAGCATCTTTGAAGTCTTTGTGCCTTTAGCAGCTAGCAACAACCAATCAGATGCAGTCTATTAATCAAGCAGCATAATTATGTAAGTACAAGTAAAGTGATAGATTTTTAAAAAGCACATGTACAGTAACGTGAGCAGAATTTAGTGTCTGAGTAACTCCGAGCCCTCCTGCGGTCAGCCGTACTTTGTTAATACCAACCATATATCCTCACTTATCCTCTGGCTCTTTTCTGCTCTGTTTTTTTCTCCCCGTCCATTCTCCCCTTGTCCCTCTTCCTCTCCTCTGCGAGGACCCCTGACCGGGCTTTGTGTTGGGCCTCGGCATGAAGCTGCTGGCCTTTGTTAGGTTGTCAGAGGTAGAGAGGGAGTGAAAGAGAGACAGAGACAATTTAGTTGACAGGGACGGTTGTATCTGCAGAGAGGAAGGGTATTTTCTGGGCAGAATTTACACTGACTCTTTTGTGTCTTCATTACACGGCCATAAACATAAAGCTGCGTTAAGTACACGCACAAACTAGTCCAACTTAGTCCTGAACTTTAACTAGAGCTTGGCTCGCAGTCAAATGGATTTTCCAACACAAAAGTTTTGCCACGAATGCATCATTTTTCAATCCATTATTTTTAAGGAATCACTTTTTTTCATTTAATAAAATATGTGCAGTAACTCTCTACTCAGAAGAAGTAAAAACCATCCAAAATGATAAATATCCCTATCAGATCTGAAAGAGCTCTCATACATGCAGTGGCCCCAGTATCCTGCATGTGTTGGGACCCTCTCGTGCCTTCTTCAGACTGCCACTTCCTCTCACAGCTGTTTACAGTGCGCATTGTTTTGGTGGAGAGCGTCTCGCTGCTGGACCTCGACAGCACAGGAAGGATCAAATGGGGAAATTAACTCAAACTCCCAAACAGGGCACACTTCAGGCTTTTAGGCCTCAGAGAGAGCTTTTATTGTCCCCAGCGTTGCCATGACACCAGTCAGTGTGGAGCGCTGTGTGTGTGTGTGTGTGTGTGTGCGCATGCACACAAAGGGTTCAGTTGCCATGGTGACTTTGGAAATTCAACTGTAAGATACCTGAGTATGTAGTAGGTTAGTTTGTTCTTTCTTTCTTTCTTTCTTTCTTTCTTTCTTTCTGTCTCTGTCTTTTTTCTTTCTGTCTTTTTCTCTTGTCTTTTTTCTTTTCTGTCTGTCTGTCTGTCTTTCTTTCTTCTTTTTTGTCTGTCTTTCTTTTTTATCTTTATTTCTCTCTTTCTCTGTCTTTTTTCTCGTCTTTTTTCTTTTCTGTCTGTCCGTCTTTTTTATTTGTCTTTCTTTTTTATCTTTCTTTCTTTCTGTCTGTCTGTCTTTCTTCCTATCTTTGTCTTCCTTTCTGTTTCTTTCCCTCTGTATGTCTTCCTTTCATTCTTTTTCTTTCTTTCTTTCTTTCTTTCTTTCTTTCTTATTTTGTTTCTTTCTGTCTGAATTTTTCCCCCTTTTTTTCTTTTATTGTCTGTCTTTTATCTTTTTATCTTTTTGTCTTTGTCTTTGTTTGTCTTTCTTTCTTTCTTCCGGCAGTAGCTCAGTCCATAGGGACTTGGCTTGGGAACCGGAGGGTCGCCGGCTCAAGTCCCCACCCAGACCAAAAAATATGGAGCGTGGACTGGTAGCTGGAGAGGTGCCAGTTCACCTCCTGGGCACTGCGGAGGTGCCCTTGAGCAAGGCACCGAACCCCTCAACCGCTCGGGGCGCCTGTCCATTGGCAGCCCCCTCACTCTGACATCTCTCCATTTAGTGCATGTAGTCCTGTTTGTGCGTGTGTGTGTGTGTGTGTGTGTGTGTATTTCAGGTCTGTGTGTTAATGACAACAGAGTGAAAAGATTGAATTTCCCCCTTTGGGATTAATAAAGTATATAATATTTAAAAAATTAAAGTCAATTCTGTCTTTCTTTCTTCCTTTTTCCTTATTTTTCTCTTTGTCTTTCTCTCTTGTTTTTCCATCAGTCATTCTTGTCTTTCCTTTAATTTTTTAAAATTACATTTATGTGTCAGGGACCACATACAGTACAAAAAAAGGAGATGCTTCATAGTACAAGACTTAGCGACTAGCTTATCTTGTTTTTTAATTTCCATATGTTTGGAAAAAAAACCTGCCAATCACAAAGGATCAGTGGACCTGGTGGGTATTCAGATATTCCTCTAATATTTGCTTTGGTATTTTTTCTTGTGGATTACTGGCAAATTGACATCTTAAGGCTTTTAAATCTAGCCAGGTGATCACTTTGTTACTAACTCAATCATAACCTATAAACATATGCACATACACAAGCAGAGATGACTTCATTTGAAGGGTCACAAGCTGAAAGGGTTGGACATCTCAAACAGTCATGACTGCTTGAATATGGACCACTAAATGTGAAATTTTGATCATACAGTTCATTGCGTGTTTTGCTGTGTGTGTGTGTGTGTGTGTGTGTGTGTGTGTTCAGGGTGAAGAAGCTGAAGGAGACTCTGGTGGCTGTGCAGCAGCTGGATAAAAACATGAGTAACCTCCGCTCATGGCTTTCTCGCATCGAGGCCGAGCTGTCCAGACCCATCACCTACAGCGTGTGTCACCACCAGGAGATCCAGAGGAGGCTGGCTGAGCAGCAGGTACATAAAAACACACACACTGTTATGTAAGCCAGTCCAGCAGTGGTTTAAACCTAGTTTGGAGTTTTGTGTTTCAACTCTACTTTCAATTAGAGGCCCTCTTTTTTTAAATTTCTTTTTTGTTTAGTTTGATTTTTTATTCTTCTGTTTCTGTATCTTCTCACACTTTTGTTTTTGTTCCCTGCCTTACTGTCCCTCCCTCTCACCCTTTGTCTCTCTTTATGATTAATAATTCATATCTGTCTTTTGTTTAATTTTGGGAGTGGGTGGTCTCATCCAGTGAGCCCCTGTCCTCCATCTGTACGTCTGTGGACTGATGTTCAACACATGGTTTACTGGTACGGACTGATGCGATGTCTGTCTTCATGCCCGTCCATGTGTCTGTCCAGGAGCTGCAGAGGGACATTGAGCAGCACACGGAGGGCGTAGCGTCAGTGCTCAGTCTGTGCGACGTTTTGCTGCGGGACGAAGACGCTGCTGGCGGCACTGAGGTGGAGAGCGACTCCCTGCAGGAAACGAGCCGCAGCCTGGATCAGCGCTGGAGGGCCATCTGTGCCATGGCCCTGGACAGGAGGCTCAGGTAGGAAGTAGAACACACACACACACACACACACACACACACACTCACACTTTCTATGGTGTCGTGATACTTTTCACCATGTATGAATCAGTCAGATGAGGTTTACTTTATCACCTTGCAGTCAAGAATCCCAGTCCATTTAGTTATTTTCCAATCAAGTTAATCTTTTAAATTAAGATGATACATATTGATTAAGAACTTTTATTTAATGCCTCACATTTCCAAAACTCAGGTGATTTCAGATGGTTAGTGATAAAAGCCTTTATCAGTGTCACAGAATGACTGTAACTCCAGCATGTGTCTCCTTTTAGGATCGAGGAGACTTGGAGACTCTGGTGCAAGTTCCTCGATGACTACTCGCGGTTCGAGGATTGGCTCAAGATGGCCGAGCACACCGCTGCCAACCCCAACTCTGCAGACGTCCTTTATACCGTCGCCAAGGAGGAGCTCAAGAAGTTCGAGGTCAGTTGTGGGGTCGGCAGATGGAACAGACTTGAAGTACCAGTGGTTTTGTTTGCTCGTTTGTTTTCCCAGAGTGAAATATTGTTTGGTATTAAATTTCATGTGATAATATTCACTGATTTTAAATTACTGACTTGTTGCTGGACTTGTGGGGTGTTTGTCTTTTTGGCATTGCACGGCCAAAACTACTGTCAAAGTGTCAGGAAGCCATTTTCCACTGCCAAAAAAATAAATTTAATACCCACTTTTTCTCTATGACCCAAGGAATGTCACTGATATTGTTTTTCCACATTGTTCTTTCTGGTGTCTGTTAAGTTAGGGGGGAAAAATCTGTTTTAAAAATGACTAAGAAAAAAAGAAACCAGGCCACAAGTATTTTTTTCCAAGAAAAATGAATGATTAATTGATTTTCAAAGTTGGTGGCAAATGTTTTGAATAATATTTTGAGCCATTGTTCCTTCTTAATACTCTACATCTATGGTTCATCATATCTTCCGCTGTTTTTTTAGGGTTTCCAGCGGCAGGTTCATGAGCGGCTCACCCAGCTGGAACTGGTCAATAACCAGTACCGCCGCCTGGCCAGGGAGAACCGCACTGACCGAGCCAGCCAGCTCAAAGCCATGGTCCATGAAGGCAACCGGCGCTGGGACACCCTGCACCGCAGAGTGGCCGCCATCCTCCGTAGACTCAAGGTACAGTACAGCTAAAGTAGTGAAATTATTGTTCATTTACATGTCACTGTGTTTTCTAGTGTGTGACTTTTGAAGGATTTCTTCTCTCTCTCAGTATTTTACCAGCCAGAGGGAGGAGTTTGAAGGCACGAGGGAGAGCATGCTGGTGTGGCTGACTGAGCTGGACCTGCAGCTCACCAACGTTGAACACTTTTCAGAGAGTGACGTCCATCACAAGATCCAGCAGCTCAATGTGAGGAGTTACTGTGACCACACAGACGGATACAGTCTTAGAGCCACTGCACAAGACACAAACAAGACACAAAAATATCTTTTTGACAAGAAATGATCTATTACAACCTTCATGTCAAATGGAAAAGAAATATTTCCTCATGTAGTTGTCTGAGGTGCTCACATCTTGCAGCCATTAGAAGTCATGGTCATTTGTCAAGACGATTTCCCTTGACTTCATTTACCACAGCCCCACAACAGATACCAGCAGCAGTCATGTTTGGTTTCTTTTGGTTTTCTGAAACATTGTTTTAATTTTCTTGACTCTGTCTCTGTTCATCCAACCCATTTCCTTCAGAGCTTCCAGAAGGAGATCACCCTGAACACAGAGCGCATTGACGGGCTGATAGTGTTTGGAGAGGGTCTGATCCAGAAGAGCTCACCGCAGGATGCAGCGCTGATCGAGGACGAGCTGGAGGAGCTGCACTCCTACTGCCAGGAGGTCTTCGGCAGACTGGTCCGCTTCCACCAGCGCCTCAGCCAGCCCTCGGTGAGCTGGAGCACACACATTCACACCACATACAGTACTTTTCCTATTCTCTTTCACTGATTTTTATGTGGTCCATTTGTGACTCTATTTTAAGCTAGCTTTGCAGATCAAGTGAATTACAGACAAACTTTATGGTTCACACATCTGGCTGAATACCTGTTATTTATTTAGGCGATTAAAGAAGAGCCAGAGCTCTCTGCCACCGCCTTGTCCTTGGAGTCGAGCTTGGAGCTGATTGGCCGACCATGGCTTGGGCGGACCCAAGGAAGCCTCCCAGCTACGCCCATCCACCTGCTGGCCTCTCCGTTAGAGGGTTCAGGAAGGGAGACACCGGTGAGCGTGGACTCCCTGCCCCTGGAGTGGGACCACACCGGAGACGTGGGAGGGTCATCGTCACATGAGGATGACGAGGAGGAGGAAGACGAACACGAGGATGACAGAACTTACTTCAGCGCATTATCAGGTATGTTTACAAAAGGGCATATCGTTTAAAGACACAGCAAAGGGTGCACACGCTTTTATTGCTCTAAGTAGAGTTGGTCAGTTTATCAATATCAATATCACAATCTGAGACGAGATTTTGTCATGGAGTGTTGTCTTTTCCTGGTTTTAAAGGCTAAGAGACTGGAAACACAAGAAAGCCAAGGACTGTTTGACACCCAGGAGCCTTGGCATGAAATTTAGATTATGTTCCAGTTAAAGTCTAGTAAAGCTCTTGAGCCCCTGAATGTGTTCCTGGGTTACTGGAGAAGCTCCTGCAGTGGAAAAGGATTACTTTAAGAAGTGTTGCTGGTAGCTATGCCAAAGTTGATATGATAAACATCAGGTTTAATAGGATTTCTAAGATCTAACATGTATTTCACACACACACACACACACACACACACAGTCATAGACAGCTGTAGTCTGACCCCTCTCTCCTCGCAGAGGTGGAGTTGTCTGAGAGCCAGGAGGAGTTTGTCGAGGCCCCGGAGGCCCTACTAGCCTCCTCACTGGGTAGGCAAAAGAACATCTTCACCTTCTGCTTAATAAATCCACTTGGGGCTCTTCACGGTGAAATAAGTTTCCAGCACATGTCTTCCAGCAGCTCGTGTATCACTTTGCATCTGTTTGCTTGTACTATTGTTGCTGCTGCTCTGATACTTTGCCTCCCATGGTTGTGGTTTGGAAAATCCTTCAGCGCCAACAGAAACACTTTCTACCTTTTCCTTTCTCTGACACATTTTTGTTTAATGGGTATTCTCTGGCTTAGACTTGCTGTGGTCTGAATTTTAAAAAGGACACTCACTGGCTAATGGGCAGGGTAAAGATCAGGACTCTCTAAATGTCAAAGCCCTGGATAGATTTTATAATTTAAGTAGTTTGGGGTCTTGCAAAAAATGAATTTTAATAGCACTGTACTCATAACACTGGTCTGATTTTTGGTCTAACGTGTCACTAGCTGGACAGATAATTTAAACAGTGGCTGCATAAATAACATGTCATTCAATATTATTCATTTTTTAGGGATCAAGACTGTTTTTATCTGCCTTTGTGAGGCTGGATCTTTTTTCATTTATTTCATTTTTATCCACAGAATGTGCATGTTTCTTTACGACTGTCTCTCCTCACACCAACGTCTCTTCCTCATGACCTTTCATTCTCTTCCAATGTCCTGTCCTTTATCTTCCTAAACTGTGTTTGACCATCTTTTGTTTGTCTACTCCTCCATCAATTTCTATGTATGATGACCCTTAATAAGACCCTTGATCAGCCACCGTCACTGGCCTCTGAATTTCACACTGTGTCTTAAAGGTATAAAATGTAGGAATTGTCAGTTGATGTTACATTTAAACATAGTCCCTCCTCCCTACAGTGCTTGTACGTACACTGCAAGCTAGTCTACTTTTGTATGAATGCTACATTTGTTGTACTGGAAAAGCTAATAGTTTAGCAAGCTAACTAAGCTAACTGCAAGCACCTAGCTGTCCAACAGAAAACAGGCTAACTCTATCCCTAAATTCACACACGTTTTGGAACGAGCTTTGTATGCTTGGCGTTCCCCCTCACTATGCTTTCCGTAGTGTGTCCACGATTTTCATAGCTTCCTCTAGATTACCTACGTTTCTGTAGTCCGACCTCACCTGCACGCTGCGATTGGCTGGGGGCTATACGCCCAGGAATGTTGCGAACGTAGCAAAATAAGAAGAAAATAAGACAATACAGGCAAAGGGCAGAGTCTCTGCAGATAAATTCACTGCCACGCACTTCTAGTGGTTCGAAAGTGATGATTGAGAGAGATTATTTCTGTATGAGTCTAAACATCTTTTGAGTAAAATCCTGCATAGTATACCTTTAATATTGCCTTTTTCACCACAATTTGTTCAGTCATTTTTAAAGTATCAGAACATCATCTGCATCTTTAAAAGTTTTCACTGTCTCAAAACTCACTCCTTCTACTCCAACACATGAAATACGGTATTAAGTAAATGCTACCACACAGATAACACACTCTTAAATTTCCAGGGGCTTGTTGTGATTTATGCTTGGGTGATATTTTCACTTGGCTTTGGAATTCAGTATTGTAAATGAGGTTTTGCAACTTGGAAGTTCTCATCACTGATCACCGTAAATATTCTTCCAGTATCTGCATGCTTCCCCTGAGAAATGCTCAAATGTCTAATATTTCTTGCCAAATTCAAAACTTTCACCAGGGAACATTCACAACCCTACGACCTGCATGTAACATTTTCTCTTAATGACCAAGTAACGATTTATTATCAGTCAGGGTGTTGTGCATTAATGCTTTGCTTTTCTGTTTGTGTTTTAGTTTCAAGCAGGTCTTTGGCCGTACACGATTCTCCTAGATGGCAATCACAGGGAGACCCAGAAACACAGTCTCTGCAGCTCGACTCAGAGGGTCACACTCAGGCTCCACCCACCCTCACCAGCACCCCTCTGAAGCAGGGCTATGTACGTGAAGTAAACTAATATCAGTCAATCGATGGGATGTGGGATGAAATCATGAAATTTTTTTTTAATGATAGATTTCATACAGATGTGTTTCAGCCTGTTTGCATCTCCAGCTGTCAGTGCTAACTAAAGTGTGTTTTGTCTCCAGTTGCGTCTCATGTCTCAGTGCAGCAGCAGCATCAAGGACATTAAAAGAGTCTCACTGATCCTGGATGATGAGGAGCAGCCAGAGGAGCTCGGTCTGACAGGTCTGACTGCCTCAGACCAACAGTCAGGTGAGTGACCAAGTGGCAGTCTCCGGGGCTGAAACATAAAACCAGTGTGCAAGTTCCAAAAACTGCAGTTCCTCTAATGGCCACTTGAGGCTGGCTCAAAGAATGAGTCAATTCCTACAGACCTTCATGTTAAAATGCCCAACTTTACAGCAGTAATAAACATATTTACAGCCTGGTACAAATAATATCTGGTCTTTAAGGCTAAATTCAACATTCACGACAACTGTATTGGAACTGAATTTTTATGTAACTCACACGCTTACATTTATTTAAGGCTTAACATTATGCATAATTAAGGGCAGACCATCCAACATCCAAATGCAACAACCACAACAGTTTTTAAAAACATCTGAGAGCAGGGCCATAGAACAAAAATACACTGAAGATTATTTGTAGTGTTTTGATTTAAATCCTTCTGTAATGCTGCTGTTTTTTTTATTTCTGTCTGACCAGCTGTAAGTTAGGATATATGCATCTACAGGATACATCCCTGTCTGTAATATTTAATAACGGAGTTTCTTGTAGCACCATGTGACAAAAATACAAACCTCTACATCAGTAAATGTTTGTGCTTTCAGGTGTGATTGAACGCTGGGAGCTGCTCCAGGCTCAATCCAGGAGCGACCAGCACCCTCAGGAGCCCCGACAGCTCACATCTGACCTCGACGAGATCACTTCCTGGTTAGGAAACACTATCCCAGAGCTGGAGCGCCTCCAGCAGTCTGACCCAGCAGCCAGCATTGAGGACATGGCAGCCAGAGCCGTAGCAGTAAAGGTAAAGATTTAAGACCAAATACATCAGACCTGATGATAAGTGTTCAGCTTTTGTGTTTATATTCATGGATATTTTCTTGCAGGAGATGCAGAAGAAGTTCACCCACTATAAGTCCATCATGCTGTCTGCCAACCTGCGAGCACAGGAAGCTCCAGAGCTGCAGGAGAGGCTGGCCGGTATGAACCGAGACTGGAGCCGAGCATGTACAGGCCTCCAGCAGTGGGACACCAGTCTGAGGAAGACACTGATGCGCTGCCAGGTGAGAGGAAATACCTATTCCTAACAGACTATTACTACTACTGCCATCACTGGTGTTCTGTACTATGCGTAAGACAACAATAAAGGCGACACTTTTACACTGTAGTATTGCTACATTTACTAAAGTAAAAAACCTAAATGCATCTTTCCCCACTGCTTTTACCCTTCTCCACTCAGGAGTTTCATGAAACCCTTCATTCTCTGCTGCTGTGGCTGGCCCATGGAGAGAGCAGACTCTATGCAGTGGACATCAGTGACCCAGACACACCTGTCCAAGCCCTGCGACAACACCACAGCACACTCACAGTGAGCAGATAATCATGTTTTGTCAAGCATTTATTTCCTTGCTAGCTACACTGTCACCATCTCTTGTGTTTGTTGTTTGTAGGATCTGCAGGAGGAGCTGCAGGGCAGACAAACTCAGCAGGCCTCCCTGCAGGCTCTGTGGTCTCAGCTGCAGCCTGAGGACGAGGCCGAGGAGAGCATTGAGGCCCAGGAGAAACTACATGTGACAGGTGGCAAACTGAAGTCGCTGCTGAGGCGGGTGGACCAGGACCTCGGCACCCTGCAACAGCGTCTGGTGAGCATAAAGTGTTCTTTCTGTCAGCTCTCCTGATGTTTTGATTTAATAGACATTATGGATTTCAAATAAGATGGTTACTAAAATCACTACATTTATTTTAACTGTTGCTGTTTATTCTCCGTTATACCATGGTCTTGGTGAACACTCGATTCTGATTGGCTGTAGGGTGTCTATTAATTCTGGATAATGGACCCCTTTTCAGTAGTTTCACTGAAACTGTCTGTTTACTGTTCTAAATGAATGCACTGGCTACATAATTATGATCAGCCTGCATCTGTATTGAGTAACCATAGCAACAGGGTCTCTGAGAGCCACTGATTACAGTTTATTTCGAACAGTTAAGTCCTTCAATGCCTAATCCTCTGAAAACTTCAGGATGGAGACTGTAACACACAAGCTGCAAGAAGTACACTGCCCCTCTAAACTTAATGAAACTTGTATCACATCAGTGATCATCTCCCAACCCATTGCAGAACACATAAGCATTGCACAAGATGTATCACTTAATCATAAAAATCTTGATATTGACTTGGGGACAGTGACACAACAGGGTAGCTAGCTAGTCACGTTGTTAAACATACTGTCAAATAATACCTATATATAATGTAATGTAGTATGTAATAAAAATGTCAAAGTAATAGTATTGTATGTAGTAAAAGAATCGTATAGTATAGTATGACGTCCAAAATATCATAAAAAAAGGCATAGTATAGTATGACGTCTAAAATGTCATAAAAAGTCATAGTATAGGATGACGTCCAAAATATCATAAAATAGTCATAGTATAGTATTATGTCCAAAATGTCATAAAAATGTCATAGTATAGTATTACGTCCAAAACGTCATAAAAATGTCATAGTATAGTATGACGTCCAAAACGTCATAAAATAGTCATAGTAAAGTATGACGTCCAAAATATCATAAAAAAAAGTCATAGTATAGTATGTCGTCCAAAATATCATAAAAAAAGGCATAGTATAGCATGCCTTCTAAAATGTCATAAAAAAGTCATAGTATAGGATGACGTCCAAAATATCATAAAAAAAAAAGTCATAGTATAGTATGACGTCCAAAACGTCATAAAAAAGTCATAGTATAGTATTACGTCCAAAACGTCATAAAAATGTCATAGTATAGGATGACGTCCAAAATATCATAAAATAGTCATAGTATAGTATGTCGTCCAAAATATCATAAAAGTCAGAGTATAGTATTACGTCCAAAACGTCATAAAAATGTTATAGTATAGTATGACGTCCAAAATGTCATGAAAAAGTCATAGTATAGTATGACGTCCAAAATATCATAAAAGTCAGAGTAGAGTATTACGTCCAAAATGTCATGAAAAAGTCATAGTATAGTATGACGTCCAAAACGTCATAAAATAGTCATAGTATAGTATGACGTCCAAAATATCATAAAAATGTCATAGTATAGTATAGTATGTCATCCAAAATATCATAAAAAAAGGCATAGTATAGTATGTCTTCTAAAATGTCACAAAAAAGTCATAGTATAGTATGACGTCCAAAATATCATAAAAAAAAGTCACAGTATAGTATTACGTCCAAAATGTCATAAAAAAGTCATAGTATAGTATGACGTCCAAAACGTCATAAAATAGTCATAGTAAAGTATGACGTCCAAAATATCATAAAAAAAAGTCATAGTATAGTATGTCGTCCAAAATATCATAAAAAAAGGCATAGTATAGCATGCCTTCTAAAATGTCATAAAAAAGTCATAGTATAGGATGACGTCCAAAATATCATAAAAAAAAAAGTCATAGTATAGTATGACGTCCAAAACGTCATAAAAAAGTCATAGTATAGTATTACGTCCAAAACGTCATAAAAATGTCATAGTATAGGATGACGTCCAAAATATCATAAAATAGTCATAGTATAGTATGTCGTCCAAAATATCATAAAAGTCAGAGTATAGTATTACGTCCAAAACGTCATAAAAATGTTATAGTATAGTATGACGTCCAAAATGTCATGAAAAAGTCATAGTATAGTATGACGTCCAAAATATCATAAAAGTCAGAGTAGAGTATTACGTCCAAAATGTCATAAGAAAGTCATAGTATAGTATGACGTCCAAAACGTCATAAAATAGTCATAGTATAGTATGACGTCCAAAATATCATAAAAATGTCATAGTATAGTATGTCATCCAAAATATCATAAAAAAAGGCATAGTATAGTATGTCTTCTAAAATGTCACAAAAAAGTCATAGTATAGGATGACGTCCAAAATATCATAAAAAAAGTCACAGTATAGTATTACGTCCAAAACGTCATAAAAATGTCATAGTATAGTATGACGTCCAAAATATCATAAAAAAAAGTCATAGTATAGTATGTCGTCCAAAATATCATAAAAAAGGCATAGTATAGCATGCCTTCTAAAATGTCATAAAAAAGTCATAGTACAGGATGACGTCCAAAATATCATAAAAAAAAAAGTCATAGTATAGTATTACGTCCAAAACCTCATAAAATTGTCATAGTATGACGTCCAAAACGTCATGAAAAAGTCATAGTATAGTTTGTCGTCTAAAACGTCATGAAAAAGTCATAGTATAGTTTGTCGTTTGTCATCAAAAATTCTTAAACATATAATATTTAAAGTCACAAACCTCACCATGTCTTTGTCTTCAATACAGGATTGTGAGTCTGCATCAGAAGCTCAAGGCCAAAGCGCCTCTGCAGAGCCAAAGAACAGTTCGTCTTCTCAAAGGTACACAGAGACATCAGTGCTTGCACTTTTAATAACACAGTCCTGTTCCATGGTATTTCTTTTCATTATTTGTAGATGAAAAGTTTTTTTGATTGCTTACAGTGCATGTACGTTCTATAATAAACTTTATCCATGGGTCTTGTGTGTCGTGCAGACAGAGGAGGGAATTGTCTCCGCCTCGTTCATTCTTCTACCGGGTGCTCCGTGCTGCCTTCCCCCTCCAGCTCCTCCTGCTGTTCCTCCTGCTCCTCCCCTGTCTGATACCGCTGTCAGACAGCGAGCCCGGCTGTGCTGCGACCAACAACTACGCCTGGTCCTTCTACCCCACATTACACTATACCAACGGCCCACCACCCACCTGATGTATTTGGGATGTGAAAAAAAGAGACTGAGAACACAGTGAGAAACACAGGCCACCTTTATAACAAACATGTAAAACGATGAAGCAACTGTCTTCTAAAAGAAAAAAAGTCCAAAGTGCAGAAAATGTATTTCTGTTTTTAATATATTTATTTTGAATCAGCCAGAAAAAATGTAAACAAAAGTGCAGATGTTGTAGTTTAATGATGCAGAGATCTGAACACCGTCCACAAGAGTCTGTTGGAGCTCTTCCTTTGAGGAGGCACAGCAGATGGGACGTGTTGACACGTGGAGGTAAAGCAGCATACATACTGTAGCAGTGGCAGGAAGGAGCTGATGCAGAGGCCTGCGAACATCTTCCATGAGGTGGAAACAAAGATGACATCACAGTATTTTCTTTAACTGAACAAGTCGCTGCTCGGCTTCTGTCAGTTCAAATGTAAATAATCGTTTTATGAACTGTTGACCTTTCATGTTGTCTGACTCGAACCAGAAAACAAAAAGCATGCTTGATCTGTTTTTACGTTGGACTGAAGTTTATTTTTTACAACAAAGGACACTGGTTAAATTTGAATGTTATCTTTATAAAGCCAACCGTACAAAGTCATGGCAGTTTCATACACACAGATGTATATCCATATTTTTTTAGATGCCTTTCTTTTGTAGACTGTGAGCGTGTGAATGGCTCCAAGTGCACTGTTGAAACACTGTAGAGTTAGCAGGATGACGTGTATGTACAGAATGTAATAATATAATGCTTTATTTATAACAAACAGTGGATTTATGCTCCGAATGTTCTGGTAGTAAACACTGATTGTCTTAACTGTTGACTCAAGGCATTGTTTTTTTTTTCATTTTGCATAAACTCCTGATGAAGAAACGAATATATAGATATACTTTTGACAAAAGGTACAGCACATGCTTTGGTCAGTGAGGAGGCCATTGCTCTCTGACCCAACACAGCTCAGATGTTTAAGGAGTGAAGTTACATTTAAAACCCCTAAACATGTAAAGGAATGGGTTAATTTGGGAGCTATGATTATGTGGATGAGAAGATTGATACTATAATGAAATCTCATGACTGCACGTTAAGTACAGAGCTTGAGTCTGGAGGCAGTTCAGGCTGGAGAAATCTTGGCTTAATTTTTACTTTCTAGAGCTTTCAGCTCTCAGCGCTCACAACAACATACATGTACAAAAATAATTTTGGATTTTCTTCAAGCAAAACTTGGCAGGAGTGTAGTGTTGTCTTAAGAGCAACAGTGGTTGTGATTCTTCTCAGAAAACAAGTGAAAAGTTTTTGACAATAAATCCAGGACTGTACAAGGACAACTGAAGAATACTCTCAGGTCTGAGTGTGTGTGTGCTGTAAAGAGCCCTCTAGTGTAGTGGTTCCCAACCTTTTTCTTTAAGAGACCTCTTTTCTGTCATTGAGTAAACTAATGATCTCTGACTATATGACATATTTCATATCATATTCAATGCATAACAATAACAGTACAGACAACTGATTAACTGTGTATACAGTGAACACAATAACTGCAAGACGTTTGTGTAAAATGAGAGATTTGGATGCATTTTAAGCAGATTACTGATGATAGACTTTTTTTTTTTTTAATTCAGTATTTTCTTTCCCCTGATGTGTGGTCCTTGTTCTACTAGCTCTTAGGTTGTTTAATTGAGTACTTTTCTGATGCAGGACAAGGCTGTTTAGCAGAGAGTGACAGCTTTGTGTGCTTGTGTTGGGTCTTTACTGTGTTCTTATCCTGTGAGGTGTTTGTTTTAAGATTAAATCTTGACTAATGATCTTAAATATAAAAAAAATCAACTTCACTTAGTTTTTTAAACCAAAATTAATGAAATGCTCAGATGAAGGCCTACTGTTTATTTTAAATAAAAAAAAGTGTTCTTACACCCTCACAATGCCCCATGAAGCTTTGGGGACCCTTATGCCCGGTTCACACTACACGACATTTCTGTCTGTTGCATTAGTCACATTGCATCATTTACATTACGCGATTGTGGAGTCATAAAATCGTGCTGTGACTTGGCCGACAGACACGACACACGTCTTTCACTACATGTGTGATGTCGTCAGGTTATTCTTGTCCTATTTTTTTAATTACTATCATTTTAGTCACTGTGTCTGTTCACATGCCAGAAATGTTGCTCTAGTAATGTAAAAGCGCCAGCAGATGGCAGGAGCTACATTTGAAGTACCGTATGCAAACATACATGTCAGTGAATCCTCCACAACAAGTTCCTGCAAATGTTTCACAATAAAAGATTTTTTTTTAAAAATGGAGGGATTCTCTCAGCCGAGGTTATAAGGGGCTTTTAATTTGAAACAGATACAGGAAGCGTTGAGTTTGAAATGACTGCGCCATGCATTCACGTTATCAAGGCAATGGTAGCGGATACAAAATAAAAATATTAAGATAACGGACCGTCTATAATGTAGTCTGTTTCAAATGATGCTGGGAGCCTCTGCAGCTGTGGTGAGTAAAAGCCACTGTTATTTCATTTCCTTACTTTATGTCCATCTCTATTACGAAGACGTAACATTGTTTGCTAGCTTGATGCTAATGACAGTAACGTTAACTCAGCGGGTTGACAAAGTGCCTCTGCTGTTTCACACCATCATTTCCCCTAGGGCTGGGCGATAAATCGATTTTATCGATTAATTCGAATTTGTAGTTAAAGACGATTTATTATTAATGAAAATCGGCTTTTTTCCTTTTTTTTCTTTAACTTACACCGCTGGCGCTCCCCTTTGCTCCCGTAGGTCAGAGTGCGCTGCAGTGCAGCAAGCGGAGAAGCGCTCATCCCCAAAAAAGGCCCGGTGTCGTCAGTTATTTGGAACTGGTTTGGTTTTAATGTGTCCGACATCAAACAAACCCATCCCGCTGCAAAATCTGTCTGAAAGCTGTTGCAACCAAAGGTAGCAGTACGACAAATTTATTCCAGCACCTCAAGCAGCGGCACGCAGCCGAGTGGGAGGAATGTTGCTCTCTGCGAGCTGCACAAGACAGCAGCGGCAGCCCACAAACACCCGCTAAAAAACAGACTAAATTAGTGGATTCATTTTCACAGTGTATCCCATATGATAAGAATGGGACCCAGTGGAAAGCCATTACTGATGCAGTCGCGTTGCATATTGCTAAGGACGTGGTTCCCATTCACACAGTGGAAAAGCCGGGGTTTATCCATATGCTAAAAACTTTCGACCCCAGGTATGTGCTACCAAGCCGCAAGTATTTTGCCGGAGTTGCCCTGCCTCACCTGTACAACTGCACACGGGAAAGGATCGCTAGAGAGCTGGAAGAGGTGTCGTTTTACTCCACCACAACAGACCTATGGTCCAGCTGAACAATGCAGCCCTACATGAGCTTGACTGTGCATTTTATCAACAACAACTGGGATCTGCGAAGTGCCTGCCTCCAAACGGCTTATTTCCCCGATGACCACAAAGGTGAAATAATTGCCCAGGGGCTAAAGGATGCTCTGAGCTCCTGGAAACTTCCTGAAGAGCGACTCATCTGTATGACGACAGACAGTGGCACCAACATAATCAAAGCTCTCAAAGACAATGAGTGGCCCAACCTCCAATGCTTTGGACATAGACTGCACAACGCTATAGGTAAGAGTCTAATGGGCAATGATGCATTCAAGTGATGTGGAAAAAATGGTCGACACAAAAATGTAATAAATTCCCAATGATGTAATGAGGTATTACATTATCAGTCACCTAACCTTTATATCAACAAGTTAAACATTACAGAGGCTGCCATCATTAAACAGAAAACATCAGTGTAATAATTAAACACAATATGCAGAAGGCAGCTAGCTGTACTACTGCACATTTGACAAATGTTCAGTCCACTTCGCACTGCCTCTGGGCCCGTTACATGGGTACACACTGCCTTCTAGTGGTCAAATGCTGCTACAGACTTTAAATTACCTCCTTTTCAATTAAACAGTTAACGTCTTAAATTAGTCAAACTAGCAATGAAAACACCACACAATATACAACTATACAGACTAATAATCATTTCTATTTTTACAGTATTTAATGCCACAGTAAAAATTGTTTCGTTTGTGTTTTCTTTATTTATTTATTATACAGAGAATGGTGTGAAGGACCCACGGATCGAGCGTGCCGTTGGGGTTTGTAAAAAGGCTGTTGCTGCCTTTTCCTATAGCTGGGAAAAAAGAAGAGAGATGGGTGAAGTACAGGCTGAGCTTGGTCTACCCCCTCATCAGCTAATAACGGAGTCCCCTACCAGATGGGGTTCACGACAAAAATGATAGAGACATTTCTGGAACAGGAGAAGGCCATAGCCCGTGTCCTGGGCGCAGACAAGAAAAGTCGGCATCTCGTGCCCACATGGCAAGACACTGAGGTTTTAGAATCAATAAATAAAGCTGTCAAACCACTCCAAGACTTTACTGACGCCCTGTCCGGGGAGGGTTATGCTAGCGTTTCCTACATTAAACTGGTGCTCCATTTGTTCAAAACCAGTCTCCTACAGCCAGAGGAAGAAGATACCGAGCTCACTAAAACTATTTAAAAAAACCATTCTGCTGTACCTTGAGAACAAATACAGCAACCCTGTGACGGATGAACTCTTAGACATGTCCTCACTGATGGACCCCAGGTTCCGAACAACCTACATTGACCCAGGAAAGGTGGAACAAGTAAAAAAAAGAGCAGTCACTGAGCTGTTGTCTCTGCCTGCTGAAAAAAGTACACCACAGCAGCCTGGACCAGCTGTGCAGGTGCGCCAAGAAGCCCAGCCTCCACCCAATAAGAAAATGACTTTAGCTTCCTTCTTCAAGAAGAGTATGCCAGTGCCATCTCCCCACCAGTCAGAGGGAGGGAAATAGAGACTGAGCTGGCAACCTACCTGCTGACCCCTGAGGCAGACCCAAGACAGCATGGCAAGCACCTCATGTCCTGTATATCTTCTAAAATTTGATGTTGACTATGCGATGCATGCAGATTTCTGATGATTTTGTTTACATATTCAGGGATACAAAATAATCTTCGTATACAAGAGGCACCTTTTATTTATATGCACATGTGAACTTTAATGAAGGTTTTGTTTACCAATGAGGAAAATGATCTATTTTTGTAATGACATGTTAAATGTTAATGTTTTCAAAAAGTGTTTTATCAGAAAGGGACTCATTTTTTTCAAGAGGAAGCACTTTTATTTGTTTATTTTACTTTAGTTTGAAGGTGCGCTGTATCACTGTCAAAGAAGTGAACGTTTTCTTAGTTGTGTTTTCAAAACTGGGAGATTAGGTCCCTGGAAGTTGGGACATTGTTTGAAGCCAGTAGAAAGCTTGCTGCAAAGTTTAATTTTCGCTGTTGTTTACAATGGCAGGGCCTGCCATCTTGTTTACAAGCTTGTTTCAAGACTTGTGTTTTGTTGCACTTTAGCCCTAATGGGAAATTTTGTTCAAATCCCAGAAGGGAAAATCATTCAATCAAGGGAAATCATTGTAGTGTGTTTTTAAGAAGGAAAAAAAAAATCAATTAAAATCGTAAATCGGGTTTGGTGTGAAAAAATCGGAGATTTTATTTTTAAGCCATATCGCCCAGCCCTAATTTCCCCCTTTTACTCTGCGTGGTAACATCCCTAGAGGAAATATCATAAAGGCTGGGGTGTTGTTGCCCTACAGTTGTGTGTGTGTGTGTGTGTGTGTGTGTGTGTGTGTGTGTGTGTGTGTGTGTGTGTTATGGCAGCAGCTGTGTTTCTATTGGTCAAAGTGACGGCTGTGACGGGAGAAGTCGTGAACGACAAAAAGAAAATCAAA